AGTAACTCAACAATTTTCGAGCATGGGAGTGTCTAGACAAGACACAAACCCTTGGCAACCCATCCCGAACGAAAAGCTGCCATTACAAACATCCAGCCTTCAACCCGAGGATTCCGGAAATGAAGCCTGGTCAGGCGCAAATCCCCCAAATACCGTTAACTCTTCCGGCTTGTCCCAAGATTCGCAACAACCAGTTTTGGTAGATATTGATGAACCTGAATCTCCAGCATGGGATGAGGATGATTATGACGAGGGTGAAGGGGAAGAAGGAACGCCGGTTAGCCCCAAAAAGTCGACATTACCTACGCACGAAACGCAGGAGATACTGGAAGATCAACATGCATGGGACTCTACTCATGGCCAAAGTTCGAACCAGTCACAAACGATTCCAGTTCAGCCCTCTGAGAACACACAGTACTCTGATTCTCCTGCCGAAGGGTGGAATTTAATTGATCACGATACCATACCGGAGAATGTTCAGCAAAGCGGAGTAGTCGGAGCAGATGGCACAGAGATTTCTAGAATACCCTCTGAAGAAATTGCTCCAGCGCTTCCACCGCGAAATGCTCAAGAAAATCCTCCTCAGCCTCCGCGCCCAATTTTAGATGCGACAAACACAAGTGCAACACCGATTACGACACCTGGCACATCAGCCGCTGTTCTAGGACAGAAGAAAGAGACGTACGAGATTAAGAAAATATCTTGGCATGACATCAATGCCCAACATAACCCCAGAATATCACCTATTCTGGTACAAAATGCCAATGGACCTTGCCCTCTGTTGGCTCTTGTGAATGCTCTGACTTTATCGACTCCCGCAAATTTGGAAACCGCTCTAGTGGAGACACTCCGGTCGCGAGAGCAAGTCAGTCTCGGATTACTGCTCGATGCAGTTTTTGATGAACTCATGTCCGGGCGACGCGGAGATGCTGCACAAGAGCTTCCAGACGTGGGCGATCTCTATTCCTTTCTGCTAACACTCCATACTGGAATGAACGTTAATCCTCTCTTCTTCCCCGTTGACTCTACCCAGTCAGCGATTGATCCCAGAAACTCAATGCTACACATTCATCCAGCTCAGCGTGATAGCTCGCTTCCGGGTACATTTGAGGAGACTCGTGAAATGAAATTATACGGTACCTTCTCTATACCTTTGATTCATGGTTGGCTCCCCGAGGAAGAATCGCCTGCCTACATGGCACTCAAAAGATCCGCTAAATCGTATGAAGACGCACAAAACTTGATGTTTCATGAAGAGGAATTAGAAGAGAAGCTAGTTGCTGAAGGCCTCAGTTTCGAGGAACAAGGGATCCTAGAGGATATTTCAACTATCAAAGCTTTTTTCATATCCGCAGCAACTCAGCTTACAGCTCACGGCCTAGATCTTATAACTGAGTCGATGAGTCCGGGTGCTGTAGCCATTCTATTTCGAAACGACCACTTTTCCACAATTTTCAAACATCCGACAACTCTTCAACTATTGCAGCTCGTGACAGATTCTGGTTACGCAGGACATGCGGAAGTTGTATGGGAAGGCCTTATTGATGTTAATGGAGAAAGGGCCGAGTTCTATTCTGGCGACTTTCGTTTAGTCGGTGGACCTTCCACATTACCCCAGGGGAATGAAGAAGGTAATTGGACTACAGTCACTGGTCGTAGAAATAATAATCGAGTTGAGACTTCACATGATGCGTCGTTGGAGAATCAACAAGAATCACAGAATCACGAGCAAGGTACGAACACAGAACAGGAAGATCACGATTTCGCCTTAGCACTGCAACTGCAGGAAGAAGAGGACGAGCGTAATCGGAATGAAACCGCACGAAGGCAAAGAGAGTCGGTGCTTTCACAGCAGTTCATCGAGCAACAGGGGAGTAGCAACAATAGTAGCAATGCCCCTGTTAGCCAGCGGGGTGGTAATGGGCGGGGTAATAGTACCAGAGGCCGTGGAGTCAATGTACCAGTCCGAGGAGGGTCAATTCGTGGTAGTACTAGCATTCGAGGTCGTCCCGCAATTCCACCTCGCAACAGTAATGTTGCAACTCCCGCCGTCGACCCAGAAGCAGGTATCGATGCACCACCTCCTACATACGAGCAAGCTGCTACCGAACCGGCTTACCAGCCTCCAGATAATCATCCTGCACATCCAAATGCAGATCCAAGCCGGAGAACAAGTGCTTATACAGAATCCGTTAACAGTCAGCAACTTCCTCCAGCTAATGCTGCAGCTCGCCGCAATACGGCTTCCTATGGTGGCATTAGAAGGGGTAGTCAGACACTCATAGATCAGGTTCCTGGGCGCAGGATCCAAGCTCCAACTCAAGGGCTACCGACCACTCAACAGCCAGAAAGGCAGAAGGATTGTGTCGTTATGTGATTATTGCATTTTATGAATATATGGCAATGATGGATAAGCAATTGGGATATGAAATAAGCGAAATTCTAAGCTAGGCGTTTGGGCAATAAGCATATTGATTTACAAGAAGGAATATATCATGAGCTACGGGTGGATCAGGGGGTTATTCTTAATGTATTATACGATTTTTGCAAGTGATTGATTTGCAGGCGATGAAGGTGAGGATAGAACTGGAGGGTGATGTGGTTGTTGTTTATCAATTTATCAGTATACTTTGCAATTCTTGGGCTTGATTTGAAAACAGTATATATAGGTACTTCTTTTTTCTGCTTTAAACCAGATCAATCAACGATCGAGATTGGAAAATCAGATGTGATTCTTTCAACGCTTTTGATCAACTTTATGTCCTAAATCAGGGGACCGTACTAGGAGTTGTAACATGTCACGATTAATAATTGGATCTTGTTGTACAAGTGTACTCTAAGTTATTGAATTGCTTGGCCAACTTTGTCGTGTCTATAGCTAGATACTGGAACGCTGTTGGTATGCACGATGCGCCTTGATTGTATCACAATATGAAAAGATCCGTACTTTTTATCCTTGAATAAATATGTGAAAATGCGAGTACCAATTCGCATTCCACGAGGATACCTGGAAGCCATAGGTGGAACAGTTTGCACACCAAGATCATGTATCTTGGAGCTCGAAGTCAAATTGAAATATCGAAGAACGCTTTCAATTCCTCGGGCTTTGGCCTTCACTTTGGCGTGTGGTTGATATCTTGGATACCCCAGTCTTCTGTGGTGTTTTCTCAATATTTCTTTTTACCATTTCAAACTGGTTTTTTCCCCGTATTTTTGATGTCATTTAGATTTATGATAGCCAAGCTTGCCTATTCAGCCAACGAATCAGAGTGGACGAAAGGACCGACTTTAAAAATATTTACCCCTATTTAACCGCAACTGAACTAATTGACCCTAACCAGTATTGTGGATAAATGGATAAATGCAACGAACCCCCACCACAACTTGTGCCTGCATATAATATCCCCTCCTGTTCCTCACCTTTGAATTTGATTTCTTTCAATTACAACGTTTAAATCCTCATCAATTACGTCCATAATGTCTGACAAAGAACCTCTCATTACTCACATCTACACCGCCGATCCGTCGGCTAATGTCTTCAACAACACTCTCTATATCTACCCCTCACATGATATCCCGACCGGTATCCAAGACAATGATAACGGAGATCAATATGCAATGGAAGATTACCACGTCTTCTCGATGTCCTCGATCCCCGGTGAGGTAACCGATCACGGCGTCGTTCTCTCTAACTCTTCCGTACCCTGGGCCTCCAAACAACTATGGGCCCCAGACGCCTGCACCAAGAATGGAAAGTACTACCTCTATTTCCCAGCTCGCGACCATAATGGTGTTTTCCGTATCGGTGTTGCGGAGAGCGATAAACCTGAAGGCCCTTTTACTCCCGACGAGAACTATATCCCTGGAAGTTATAGTATCGATCCTTGTAGTTTTGTGGACGACGATGGAGAGGCATATCTTTATTTTGGAGGAATATGGGGTGGCCAGCTTCAGTGCTGGGGAAATCAACATGAGGTTTTCGAAAAGGAAAAATATAGCACTATGGAGCCTACTTCTGGATCTGCACTGGGTCCAAGACTGGGAAAATTGAGTGAGGATATGCATTCATTCTCTTCTCCTGTCCAGGAAATATCTATCTTGGATGAGAAAACTGGCGAGAAGATTGGTGCAGAGGATCATGATAGAAGGTTCTTCGAAGCATCGTGGATGCATAAATTTAAAGGAAAATACTATTTTTCATACTCAACAGGTGATACACATTACCTGTGTTACGCGGTAGGAGACAAGCCTGAAGGGCCATTTGTGTATAAAGGCAAATTGTTGGAGCCAGTGGTGGGGTGGACGACTCATCATAGTATTGTGGAATTTCAAGGACGCTGGTGGTTGTTTTATCATGATTCTAGTTTGAGTCAAGGAAAGAACCATTTGAGGTGTGTTAAGGTTAGAGAGATTTTCTATGATGAGGATGGTGGAATGAAGGTTGAGTAGTTGGGGAAAGAGGGTGTACAGTTGATTGGCGGTAGCTACTTATTACGTGGTATGACATGAGCGACTTCTTTTATGGTCTGCTGCTTCGTATGTGTCGAGAATCCAAAAGGAAAGAATTGAATGGCACTTTCCTCAGCAACTTCTAGCGTTAATCTCAGTGTGTGTACATTTCCTCTTCAACTGAAAATATCTTTACGATCCACATCTACAATGAATTATTGTTAGGCCAGGATAAAATCGTCCGTGGTCATATTAACTTGCGGCAGCTTCTTTGCCTTATCAATCCTCCGTTTTTCACTGTTTTGTTCTTGTGATGACTTTAAAGTCGTAGGTCTTTCTCTGATAAATTGTATATGTGCCGCCTTCTTCATTGTTGTTCAACTAAAAAGCCGTGTCGATCGTAGCTTACTCTTCACGTTGAGTCTGTCTCAGAAATATCTCATTACACTCGATGATTCCAGAAATTTTTATTTCTCTATCAGAGAAAAGTATCTAATATTCATCATTGAGTTATTACTTATCTTCATTTTTTCTGGTAGCAGTTTATATAGATGAATCCTGCGTTTGCATCTCGGGTGTATGTAATAGTAGAGAGCTTTTGTTTATTCTCAAGTTTTGCACTGACTCCATTATTATAGTAATCCCGGTGGATTTTCCTGGGCGACTCAGCAGAATGATCGTGATTTGTTGACGGCAAAACTTTCACGTCAATTTGGAGTTCAGGTGCCGTTCATAGGGGATAGATTAGCTTCCAACTTTCACGGCTTCATTAAATTTCCACACGAGGACGTTTGTATTCGGTTTTTTGAATACTACTTTTCAACACTTGGGCAGCTGTTCTTCGTCATCGACAAGGACGATTTTTTTGCCAGGAACAAGGGTCAACTGATCTCCCCAGATAGAAATGATAGGTTGTTTTATTTCCAGAAAGCAGCTATTATTGCTATTGCGTCCCCTCTACACCCGGTGCCAGCCCCCTATGTGGAAAGCCATTTATCTTACGCAAGAGATCTGGCTTTAGCAGCTTGGCTACCTATGCGTTCCAAAACGGTCGATGACTTTCCGGCCGACGTGCTCAGATATCTCCAGACTCGCATTCTGTCATACCTTTCTAGAGTAAATGTGGGCTGTAGCCTCCCCAGTCTATATTACGCATCGCAAAAGGTGGTTAGAGACGCGGCTAAGATAGCCAGATCAAACCAGGCAATCGATGAAACACTCAAGTGGAAGCTGATTGTTATTGTTGCCTGTCTTCATTTACAGATTTCGCTGCTAACAAATATCCCTCCGGGAGATGATTGGGGGGTACCTACGATTTCGCCTTGAATTCAGAGGATTGTCTGCACCTAGCTGCTTCGCGCTCTCTTATAACCATGGATATCCATCGATAACTACGGCCGAGGAATACGAATATGTCATCAAGAACTGTTGGCTTTCTCATATGCAAGCACAGCTTCATGAACAATGGATAAGTTTGTCTCCGTTGAATAGGTTCAGAAGCATACTGGGTATGAAGACTTCTTCATCTGGAACTTAGATTTCCACATTGACATTTTCACATAGAGATTTTGCATCTTAACAGAAACAAGAGGAATGATTTGCATCAACGCTTTTGCTTTCGATACGGGGGAGGATTGGTCATGAATTCTAACGACGAGAACGAAACGGCGGCAAAAATTCATGACGAAAAAGTTAAATGTTACAAACAGATCCTAACTTGCTCTGGACTCTTCTCGGATCAAACTATGATGAGATATAGGGGGTTATTCAATGTCATGTTCCGATATGATTTAGAAGAGGCAAAGGCTTTTTTGAACCTGATCAACTTGGATAATAGTTGGCATGGGATATATCAGCTGCCTGGACTGGAAAACCAGCCGCAAACTTTTGCGCCCGGTAGCTCCAGCATTACCATCAAGAAAGAAGAGGATCCATAATTGAGACTGCGAGTATGTCATTGACGAAATAATTCAAAGACGCATAATTTACAGGGGTATGAACAATCATTCCATTACTCGATGAATCCATCAATCATTATTCAGACTAACAAGTGGTTCAAAAACTAGTCCCGCAATTCGTCTAAAAGTTATTGTTCGTAGAGAATTGTGAGAATCAGGGGAGTGTAGGAAATGCTTGAGAAGCTATGGCAAAGAATTGTGCATCTGAGGGATCTCTTTACGTTGAAAGAATGGAATTTTGGCATAGAAAATAGTATTGTGCCACTTGGGACTTCAATACGTCTTTGCTGAGATTTTAATTGTGATTCTACAATCTGTTTGAAAAAAGAACTTTGGGCGAGGGGGTTGAATAACAAATTGGCATAACAAGTTCACCAAACCATATCTGGAGGTGTCTTCGAGTTTATGTAAATAATGAGCAACGAATAGATTATTAAAACAACGGATATCTTCTTACGCACCAAAAGCAAAAGGCAAAACTGTCTAACTGATCTAAATTCCCCCACACCTGATGGCTCCGCCCATGCTATTGTATCATCCATTCATTAACCCTGCAATCACACTTCCCATACTTCCAATCACCTATAACTCCCTAATTACAGATAACCGCCACCTTATTCTCCCACTTCTGTCTTTCCGCCAACTCCACCATGTATCCCGCAACACTCTTCCTCGTACAACCCGGCAAATGACCCATTCCCTTCCCCTCAGCCCCATACTCCACAACACTCTTCTTCTCTCCCTCCTTCAACATCGCACTTCTCACAACACTATACTCCAAACCCGAAGCCTTCAACACCTCCTCCGCCGCAGCATGATCCTGAAATCCCACCTTCCCCATCGTCGAATTATTAATCAGCAAACGCATCGGTAACCAAAGCGCGCCATTCGAAGAACCCACTCCAAAAGCAGACATGTAGACTATTTTCTCAACACCATGAGCAGCCATTGATTGCGTCACTGTCGCGATGACATTTTTGAGGAAATCAGGTGGAGATGTCGATGCTGCGAAGGGGGAATCTGAGGCGCGACTAGATGCGAGGGTTACGAGAACAGCGTCGATTTTGGATCCGCTGGTAAAAGCGCTGGTGAGATCGGTGGTAGAGGTTGGTGTGCCTTTGATGATTGTGAGGCCGGGGGCGGCGGGGATGGAAGAGGGGTTGCGTGCCAGTGCGGTGACGGTGTGGTCTGGTGGGTAGGGGTTAGCGAATGGGATGGGGACTTTTGAGAGGCTTGGATTTATTTATTTATGGTGGGACTGAGTTGCTTGGCTTGAGACTGGGGTCAAGGGATGAGATATACGTACTTTGTGAGAGAGCTTCAGCAAGTACAAGACTTCCTGTTCTACCAGATGCACCTAAGATGAGGAAATGCATTTTTTCGATTATGATTTTCCTTTTCTTTTCCTTTTGTGGTTGTAGTTTATTTGGAAAGTGATGATGTGTGTGACGGAGAACTGGAAGTAATGGTTTGTATGTATCGAACACAAGAAGTAGTTGAATATTGCAATGATAACTTTCTATTTTCCCTTTCTACAATGCGAACCCTCAAATATATGTACTCGCTTCTCACAAGAATTCCACGAGTAGAAAGAACGAGGCAGTGACTAAGGAGGCTCTCTTTCCATATTTTTCGGATCCGGATCCGGACCGGAGATAACAACTCCATAGAGCGGTCTTTTTTGTGAATACCCCGATTTTGTCATTATGAATCATCGAATTATCGAATTATCGGATTGGAGGGAAAAGGTGAGAGAACGCTGCAGCTGACAAATACGTAAGGCTGAGTGAGTCTCTAATAAAAGGCCTCGGGAGTGGTTGATGTGGATGTTGTGTCCCGAGTTTGATGTTTGGGGGCGAGGGAAGGGGATGACTGTGTTACGATCTCCGGACGAGGCGAATTGATATTTAGGGTGATTGAGGCTGCGAAATCTCTCCTTTAATTTTTGAGGTTTACATAGGTAGATGATTCTACGATGCTTACGCTATACCCCATCAAGCAGCCTGCGGAATGCAGGCTTCTGGTACCAGCTTTCGTGTGGCTGCAAAAAGGGACGTTGGAGGAAGATACCAACATCCTCTGGAGATGAAGATCTTAATCTCCGAGTAGAGCTGTCACAGAAAACAATCAACATCATTATCATCTTGTTGTTTGCGAAACTCCGAAAGATAATAGCTGCGCAGGTCAATTGTCATATAGAAACCGATTTGCGATCTACACTAGCTCTAGAGCCTACAACTAGCTCTTCGGTTGATTTAAGGAGGAGCCTAGCATCAAAAGTACCACAACGCAAATACACACAATCGTCTCATCGCAATAAACCACCAACCATTTCTTCACCCCTATCCTACATCGTGAAACTTTAACCCAAACGAGTTCATGAAATCCTCTTACATTTCAAAAATTCACGCACGAGATAAGTGTACTCTTGTTCACAGTAGCACTATGATACTCGCTAGTAGTGTCATGACGTAAGTTAGGAGCTAGTGTAAGTATTTGTATACTTATCAAGAACGACATCTGAGATTCAATACGCACATACACAACTCGCTTACCGCTGATAGTCAATGTTCAAGAATAAGTAACAGGAACCTTCCACTTACTTTTCCATTACAAATTATCATTAGCAAGCTCTGGGTAAACTAGTATTGTGGTCATCGCTATACTAGTCAGATTTCTCCTGAGAATATGACGCATATTAAGCATTTCAAATGATAGCATTGTAGTTAGGCAAAAGAAAACCCGACAGAATGGTTTGGAAGCAGAAAGAATTCAAGAAATCTTTATTTTAGATATAATCTAGAGGATCCATATTTTCATGAATTCCCATCGCTAACGTCAAAATTCAAATCACACTTCATTTTTGACCATTCATCCGTCACCTACACCCCCAAATATTGTTACATTTTCCCATTATCACCTAGCCTCTTAAGAACTACTTCAAGTTCTCCAATTATTTGGCGAAATGAAGATCATATCCTAGCCATTTTCTTGCGTTGACCTCGGAGACGCTAAGGCCTGGGTAGCCGTATGTCAATGGTAGGAAATAGTACCATCCGAAAAGCACAACAGAAAGAATGACTCCAACTGCAGCCCAGGACATCATCAAGTTCTGTCCAGCAAGTTTTTCACGTGCTGGAAGATGCTTCTTGACTGCACCTGCTTTCTTTGCGACACCTGATGGAACATCGTCCGTAATAGGCTCTACGTTGAAAATGAACTCAAGAAGCGCACCGGTGATCAAACATGATGCTAAGTGAGCAGGTAAATAATGATGTAAGAAGAGTTGACGGCCCATGAGGTAAAATGGTAGATAATGTGTTGCCCAAGCAAGGAAAAAGAAACCGGTAGAGTTGTAAAGACGGGATCGGGTACCTAAACTGGTTGTTAGTTGAGTCTTTTGAGGCTAAGCGAGGATAGGACTCACGGTTGTCTAATGCATCAACTCCGCGGCGTAAAGACAATTGATCAGCAGCCCAAATTCCAGCATAAACTGCAAGTAAACTACTTGCCAACCACCAACCAAGGGGGTTTCCTAAGAAGTAGATTTGTTGTCTGGTGTCATTATGAGTCCAGAAACTAACACCTCTTAATAGGAATGGCCAAACGAAAGGTTCGCTAGCATATGGATGGCTGCTAGTCAAAGCATTGTTGTGATAGAACATTGCTCGTTGCAATTCGAACCATTTCTTCAAGAATGGAACGCTCTTAACCTTGCGCTCCTCTTTGACTAAACGTGGAGAGTCCTTTGGAATGGATGGTATCTCATCCACATACCAGATGTTAGAGCTTTGAGCCAAGTTCTTGTTTCCGTTGATTTCTTGTTGTTTGTAGGCCCAATCTGGTAGGGGGGTTGTGTGTGTCCACATAGCAACCTTACTTGGCCAATGAATGAGCTTGAATTGTCCTTGGAGACTCTTGAAATCTTGGCGTGGTTTGCCGTTTTCAATTCGAAGTTCAAAGAGAGTATCATTTAGACGCTCACCCAATGCATCTTCGATGGAAACGGTGGTGAATTCTTGGTTTGTTGGGTAATATGGAGAAGCAACATCGTGGGACAAGAGCATTGTGTTTGTGATAACGTGTCTTAATCTAACAACTTCATTGTTCTTGACAGGGCGGCCTTCAACTTCTTCAAATGTGCCTGCAGGAATGATTTGCCAGTGGTTGTTGGCATCGGCATAAGGATAACCAGTGACTTGTTGACCTTGACTGGAGACTCTACCATCATCATATCTAAGAGGATATGTATCGGGATGACTATGAAGGTATCCATGCGTTTCCTTGTGCTTGATTTGAATGTTGTCGAAGTAATTGATAGTGACAGCGTTGGCGGTCATGGCATTATCGCTAAGAGTCTCTTGAAATTCAGGAGACATGAAATCATCACCTGGACCAGACTTGGTCAAGATTGCAAAATGAACTTGGAACCAAAACAAGTAGAACAGGAAAGGTACAATGATAAGGGCAACAGCGCGAGCGGCGAAATGCTTGCCAAATTCTGGCAAGCTCAAAGCACCCTGACGGCGATTGATATCCAGCAAACTCCAGAGGTCGATTGCGACCGCAGAACCAATTGTAACAAATGCGAATGTACCGACGTATTTGGTGGAGATATCGCAACTCAAGGCAAAGCCAGTCAAAAGAAGCCACTTCCACCACTTTCTCGAGAATGGAATGTGTCGGAGTTTGTAGAATTTGATATAGCAGAGAAGACTGCATGCCATTGCAAGAACAAGAGTGGCATCCAACAAGATCAAACGGGTTTGCCCAATATGCGCATTATCGAATAGCACCAATGAAGCGGAGAGAACGCAGGCAGGTAGAGTGTAACCAGATTCCCACATGATAGCGAAGACAGTTGGGACTGTCAAAGCTCCTAGAAGAGCAGGCATAGCGCGGAAAGCCACATATGGCACCTTGTTGTCGATGTATGAATCCCCAATGTTTTCGAAATGGAAATGCCCGTCATATCCCACAAACCAGCCCATCAAGGCGAAAAGAAGCTTTCCAAAAGGAGGGTGAACATCGAAAAAGTAGGTTCGTTCAAGGTAATATGAAGCAAACTATTGAACAATGGGTCAGAAAAGCTATAACTATCAAGGGAGGAATATAATGCAAATTACCTTGCCGAAATGAACTTCGTCAAACACGACCTCATTAGGATGGCTGATTCCCCAGAACCTTGTGACGAATGCCAGAATTGTAATGATCACCAATGCAATTCTGTAATCCCATTCTGGTCCGGTTTTGGTTTGTAAATCTTTCACCAGAGCATCGAGCTCAGGATGCGGTGCCGCAACAGTAGAGGCATCTTTTGCTTGAGGCGGAACTGAACCACCTTTCCGTTTTCGAACGGAACCTTGGGAAGACATATTGAAGTGTAAAGGGTAGAAGAGATTCTAAAGGACGAAATGCAGATTAGACATATGTACCTGTGCGAGGTGTGGTTGCAGAAGCTATGATAAAACGACGCAACTGTGTCCAAACTGGGAATAACTTACAAGAGTGCTTCACAGCAACTTTATTTAGAGAGTGTAAGAAGATAGCATTGATCTCAAAAGAGACCAGCAGGAATGAATGGTTGTTCTCTCGTGTTGATTGACTTTTTAAAGAGATTGAAGCCCCCTTGACAGAAACGGGTTGAAATTATTACTCCAAGTTTCAAGCCGCGTAAGAATAGGACACTTTGTTAAGAATCTCGCCTGTTTAAAGTGAGCTTTAGCTTCATCATCATTTGTTTGATCAACTCAGGGGTATGAAAGAGATTTGATCTTAAAACGGAACATGTTTATATTATTTTTGTGTATGTAACTATTCAGATTTACAGATCAATATTCGACACCAACATTTATTACATTTTCATATTCTTACCTAGTAATTGACCGGTGCTTATTATTAACCTTGAGACCAAGTGGAAAGGCACAACAAGAAATATATGTCTAAAATTAGCCCTGTCACGTGAGGATAAGAGATTGAGATAAGAGCTCTGACAAACAGCTGCTCGAAACCCAACTCGGTGATCCGTTACAATAGCTGGGGGGAAAATACTCCATCGCTAGCTATACTGGACTTTCACTATATCCTGAATCCGAACGAGAATTACATTGGTATCACGGAGAAGAAATGTTTTCAAGAATCGTACCTAGATACGGTGCCATTAGGTTGGCTACTCGTCACTCGCTGACCACAACTCTTTCTACAACACCTCAGCGAAGTACTATCTCGACGACACATACTTTGGGAGCTTATAACACAATCTCAGCTAGACATCGGCCGTGCTTGAGATGTGGTAGATACAACTATGCGAAGAGAGAAGCAGGTTTATGTGGTCAGTCCAAGAGGTCTATTACAACAATCAATAGCGCAAAGCTCCCAGCTCGTAAGTTTTTAGATCGAGTTTACAAGATTAGACACTAACAAGCCTGCTACAGCAATTGGTCCATACGTAAGTCAATAATGTTCAACCAGTATTTGAATATTCATCCGTATTAAACAATCTCTTCGAGCATTAGTCCCATGCTGTGCAGACACCTTTCGGTGTCTTTGTTTCCGGTCAACTCCCTGCAGATTTCGAAGGAAACCTCGTAGAAGGAACAATGCGTGAAAAGACGGAGGCAGTTCTCAAAAACCTCCAAGAAGTTCTTGTCACTGCCAAGTCCTCTCTCGACAGGATTGTTAAAGTTCAAGTTTTCTTGACAGACATGAAAGATTTCGCCGAAATGAACGAAGAGTATGAAAAATGGATCACTCACAGACCGGCGAGAAGTTGTGTAGCTGTCAAGGAGTTACCAAAGGGTGTCAATATTGAGATTGAATGCATCGCCTTGCCTTGCCCTTAAGTATTGGACCCATGGAGTAAGACTTGCTGATTATGAGGCAGGATGGTGTTGCTATCATGTACTACCTTTCAAGGTATATCAAAAATATACAAATTTTATCCCGCTCTGTGTTTTTTTTGGTCGGTGACTAGGTCCTGGGCTGTATGAAAGATGAGATACGGGCTAGAGTAAAGACAGGCATTCAAACGGTAATAGTACTTTCTCTTTATCTAGCTGGCAAAGTGGCATTGGCACAAACTTTCTTACGACTTCGAAACTCAAAGTTGCAGTCATAATAGGTAGTCCGGTATCAATGTTCCGGCGAGATTCACTAGAGAATTCGGTATTGTGGTCAGTTATTACACGGTTGAGGTTATAGATCCGGTGAGTGGATCATAGATAAGACGAAGTATCTATGAATACCCTGCAGGCTCTCTTTCAATTCACTGCTGGTGTATTTACCAAATCCCGAATAACAGCTTGGGCCCGGCTTCATTTTCTACTTCGGGACTTCCAAAACTCACGTTCTCACATATTCACCCGGTACTTCCGTTAGCCCTCCAACTAAACTATATATAACGGTGGGCATGTGACGATGAATTTAAATGGATTATTGGAAGTCCCCATATTATCTTGAACCTATAAAGTATATGATCCTTCAAGCGAAGTCCTTTTCTCACTAGTCAATACGTGGCATCCGCGTAAAATCCACTAGTGTCTCAACTCCCGTTCAAGCGAACCGGATAAATTGAGGCAAAATCACGAGTTCATCAACTTCATCATTTCACGGCCCGTCATTTCCTAGTATTAATATCAAATCTTACATATGCACCCCAGATAGTTGCAAGATAATCTGGGGAATTGTGTAGCCGCTTAGGTTAGACGACATTAATTACTGGAAATGACAGGACATGTTTGGGGTTCTGCAGGGTAAATTGCTAGGATGGTTTGATATTTTGCATTCGCCATTTTTTTAGTATAAATGGGTTCCCCCGAGATTCTCATATTGCCTTTGAGATCAATGTGCGTTCTCTTCTTTGCTCAAGTACATTTCAATTCGAATTTTAAAAGGTACAGAGCTCTCAGGCCTGTGTTATAATAGACATACTGCAACGAACCCACGCAAAGCTTATCAACAATGAAGGCCAATCTCGTTTTCTCCGTTCTATTCTCTTGTCTTCTTCCCATAATCATCTACGCTCAAGCATCCGGAAGTGGTACAACAACCCGATACTGGGATTGCTGTAAAGCATCCTGCGGTTGGTCCAAAAAAGCTACTCTAGCCACTGGTTCCAACCCTGTCAGTTCCTGCGACATCTCGAACAACCCACTCACCGACTACAATGCTGTCTCTTATTGTGCTTCGTCCTCTGGTACTGCATTCATGTGTGGCTCACAAACACCTTGGGCAGTCTCAGATACACTGAGTTATGGCTTTGCAGCTACGACCATCTCGGGTGGAACGGAGGCGAGTTGGTGTTGTGCTTGTTATCAATTGACATTCACAAGTGGACCAGTAGCTGGTAAACAGATGATTGTTCAGGCTACTAATACAGGTGGGGATTTGGGAAGTAATCAATTCGATCTTGCTGTATGTCTACATTCTCCCCTCATCCCATCACTGAAACACGTGAATTTCTCACTAACTATTTCCGTCTAGATTCCCGGTGGTGGTTTCGGTATCTTTGACGCCTGCACACATCAATACCCATCGACTCCCGCATCAGCGTGGGGTGCTCAGTACGGCGGCCTCTCCAGCCGCACTCAATGCGCCTCGCTCCCCGCCGCCCTCCAAGCCGGCTGCTACTGGCGCTTCGACTGGTTCCTCAACGCCGACAACCCCAGCATCACTTTCAAACAAGTCGCATGTCCTGCTGCGCTCACCGCCAGAAGCGGCTGCGTCCGCGCCAACGATGCGATCAACGAGACGCCCACAGGTCCAAGTGCAGTACCTACCTGGGCGAGCTCAACCAGCGCTGCGGGCTCTACATCTTCAGCAATTACTAGCACGAGTAAGAGCACGAGTGTGGGTGTAACGATCAGTACTTCTTCGACCACTAGCGGTGCTGCCAGTGGCGGAACGGGAACACCGGTTGCGCGTTATGGACAGTGTGGTGGATCTGGATGGTCGGGTTCTACAGTTGTGAGTTGAGATTTGTGTTTTTGCATCTTGGATTTGTGGATTGGTGCATTTTACACGTTGTCTTTGATTGGTGCTGCGTGTTGGGTATTGTATTGACATGGCTAATGCTAACTGTTTGAATATAGTGCGCCTCGCCTTACACGTGCTCGGTCTTGAGTACCTATTACTCGCAATGTGTATAAGGGTTTACTGGGTTGGAAGGAAAGGGAAAAGGGAAATAGTTATTAGACAAGTGAATGGATGGTTGGCTGGCTGGTCGGGATGTCGACATTGTATATATTGCGATGGGTTCTCTGTACATATGGAGGAGGGGTTTTCAATGCTAGTACAACTTTTGATGCTGTGGCCTCTGGATCTCACAATTGGATGTTGATCTCGGTATGTATGAAGGAGTGCTAGTAAACTTTTATCATGGGAAGCTTTTTCTTGAAGCGCATGTGATCTCAAGATCGATGTTCAAACCATGCTCGTCAATGGGAGTTGATGTGTTGGTTTCCAATAACTTTCCTTGTCAATTACAATCCATCATGGTACTTCTATTTACCAACATAAATGAGATTTTGGGCTCACAGTTAAAGCATTGGTTTAAGAATTAAGTCAATCGAGTATTCATTGACTTTTGTCAATCCAAACTATACAGTAGTGTTATATATATATACTTGATCCTCCTATAAGCGATGAATCCAATAACTCACTCCCTAGACAACAATACTATCCTCATCATCAGACGGAGTAGCCTCATATCCATCCACCTTCGAAACATAAGGCGGCCTACAAAAATCCATCAGCAGGCTCCTCACTCCCCTTCACCCACACAATAAGCACACTCACCTCGCCCAATTTCTCAATCCCACCAAGCCCGCCGTACCCAGCGCATAAACCCCCAACAAGTTACTCCACCCCGTCTCTCTAATCTGTCTCTGACCCACCGCTAACGCGACTAAATCATACACTAAACATCCGCCGAAAATCCAATCACTATTGCTAGCTAACATACCGAATCCCAATCCTGTAACGATTTTGACGGCGGTGGAAGGTCCCTCGTGGTCAAAATAGGCTACCGATCCGTTGTGGAGGAGATCCAAAACACCGATTCCGGCGAACGTTTTGGAAACTACGTGCGTGAGGATGGAAGAGGTGGATTGGGTGTTCATGGTGGGTTGACGGGCAAATATGTAGTAGAGTTGGGTGAGGGAATTGATGAGGACGAATACATTTGCGGTTTTGAGGGATGCGGAGTTCCAGAAAATCATCCAGGCTGGGTGGGTTAGTATTTGTGTTTCTTTTGTTTCATTTCGTCTAATCATTTCTCTCCCTGCATTCCCCCCTTCATTTTTATTTAAAAGAAAGATAGATAATAAGATTACTCACAAGCAATACACAAATTCCCCACGCAATAAAAGGGTACAAAATCCATCATTTTATCCACCTCCTCCTTCTCCTTAATACTTTTCTTCGGATCTAATTTCCACAATCGATATAACCATACTAATTGGAATATCTGTTGCGGGAAAAAGAATAGTGCGATGGCGTATGGTTGGGGAGACCAAAAGGAAAGATGCGCATCGTGGATATCTTTCATGTTGGGGGAGGAAAGCATGCCGTATTGCTGAGCGGCGAAGTCGATGAGGAAGGAGAGGGGAGCGACGTATCGCGCGGTGCTGTGGGAGATGCCCATTCTGGATGTGGATGTGAATGTGGAATTGGAATTGGAGATATTTTGGGCTGAGGTGTGAGGTGTGAGATTGAGGTTGGGGAATTGGATTTTGTGGTAATATCTTACTTATAGTTACAAAAAGATTTTGAAGGTTGTCAAGAGACCAAGAGAGGAATTGAGGAAAATATATAAAAGGTGGTATGTAATGGAATTTGATTTTATCGACAATGACGATGACGATGATGATATCAATTGGATAGCTCGCTCCTTCCGGATAATCCGCCCAAAAGTGATGATGTCAACGATCTAAATAAGTTTTAGGTTCGTCCCGGAGGCTTTGTCCCGCGTTCAATAATATGGTATACTACTCCATGTTTTAGTCAATCGACGAATTATATATACTAGCTATGCTTATTAAAGATTATATATATCAAGATCCAAGGCGATTCATTTATATCGATCGACCTCGCGTCTCGTTCATGAGGGGGTGAGGAGGGGTTAATTTTGTGGAGACCGAGATATTCGAAATAGATAGATGGGCCCCTGTCGTTTACTTGTCTACCGGTGGTTTTCGGTAAAGAGGTGAAATTGTAATTATCATAGGTATGTTAAAAATATAAATTTGATATATACACATTGCTACAGGATTAATCCATCAGCTTCCGATGTGCTTCTTGTCTCTTTGGTCTGGATAAGTCCAATACGATGGTTTATACTAGGCTCAAATGTCAAATCCTTCATTATGTCATCGTGAGACATTCGATACCTCGTTGAATCCAATCCGACATCACAACAAATTTAATACTCTCGTGACTTTTTCCTAAAAACCACTCAACTCAATCCTCATCGGCCCTAAACCATTAGCATCACTTCCACTTCCTGATACCACGCCTTCTGTCTGTGTCGCTAATCCTACCAAGATTGGTCCCTTCAATAGCCTCCTCAACCTCATCTTACCATTCATCTTTCTACCAGCATTCTCATCATCACTGCCACTCTTCGTCGTCAGTCTTTGGAACCCAGCTTGAATGTCCTCTAAAGACCCCAATCGCGTCTCTGGCATTCAGATAGCCGTTACAAAAACGGCCAGCAATGAGAAACCCCCGAACATGAAATAAGCACCATAACTAGAATGATCCAGAAAAATCGGTGTCAAGAACGCCACCAACCAATTTGTGAACTATAGTGCTATCAGTCAATCATCTTCATGCACTCATGTATTCAATAATTACAAAGTTCACCCCTTGAGCCAAACTATTCGCCTCATTTCTAGTCTTCATGAGTTGAATTTCACTGGCGTAAATCTTTCCCATGACCGCCCATGTCGTACAATACGTCAGCGCAAATATAAAAATTAAAACCACTACGACCCAGCGTCCAATCCCATAGGGGTGGACAGAGTTTGAAAGATATAGTGCGCCGATAATGAACATTGACGAAGATAGTATGATACCGCCAACAAGACCTGATGTACGACGCCCCCATCGATCATCGTAAAGGTAGCTGGAATGGTGATGGCGACCATAAGTATGGCACTCACACCCGAAGCGAGAAATGTGGACGTTTTTCCAGGGAGACCTGCAGTTTCGAAGAGAGTTGGTACGTACTATTTCATGTCAGTAATCTGTAGTCTAAAAATCCGTGAAAGTGATTCCACATATATAAACCTCCATCAATCCCACTTAATTGTAACGCCCCCAACAAGAAAACTGCCAAGAAAGTTTTGCTCCTATACTCTTTCTCAAAAATTCTCAAAAAGCCCCTGATTCCCTTCTTTACATCCACAGATACTGGAACTGGAACTAAAATGTCCTTCTCCGCTTCTTCATTCTCAATCTCCAATCTTTCTAGTGCCTGTAATGCTTCTTCTCTTCTCCCCTTATGAAGTAGCCATCTTGGTGAATCCGGAAAGTAAGCACAGAAAGCCGCGAGGACAACAGCAGGTAACGACTGAACGATAAACGGCGCTCGCCACGACATCGAAGACTCCAAACGGGCAGAACCAAAACAAGTAAAATATCCTGCGCAAACACCAGCTGTCACATGAATTGTGGTAGCGAGACGAACATTCCTCGTGATGCACATGGTGCTGTCTTGGTGATATACTTAGCTTGATGTTAGAAACTGCATATCATTCAATCCAATAATCTCAATCAAACTCACACACTAACACACCCCAACCACAAACCCTCGCCTAAACCAGCGAGTGCTCTTCCCGCTAACAAAACCCCAATTCATCTGCACCAGCTTCCATTCCCGTCCCTAACGTAAAACAAGTGATCCGGCTATAATCACATAAAGATGGCCGATTTCTCAGCCAATTTACCACCAAAAATAGAGGGCATAGCACCAGTCATCATGATTAATGAAACTGTAAACCCACGGAGTAGGGGTGATAGATCTCCGATTTTCGAGGTAAAAGATGGCATACTGGTGATTGCACCAATGGATCCGGTATCGTAGCCATTGAGGAAACCACTCCGGGAAATAAGAGAGGCAAAGATAGTGTAGCCTTTGGGTTTTGATAGGGTGATGGGTTTGGGTGAGAACATTGGGACAGATCAATATTGACTGTGAAAGTGGATGAAAGTTTTGACGAGAAATAAAATGAAACAAAAAATAAACAATTCCCGTGCTTTTTTAACACATCCTCAAATATAAGTGTTTTGAACATCATTTCATTGATGGTACATTCAAAACGGTGATCACATCGACACGCCCTTCACTCGTCGCGCCTTTCACTTGTCAAGGCATGTAAGATCTGATCTGACATATATGATCGGCAAAGAATATCCAATCCCATCATTTGCCATGGCTTCACTACAGCCTTGAATACATAAACGCAATTCAACTCTGATAATATTGTTCCACTTACTATGAGTACACCTGCAATCTGATCAGAAGAACGAGTGTAAATTAAAGCCAGAAGAGGAGGAAAACGAGAATATTTTCATACTATAATCATCATCCGAACCTTGGGAAGAACCCAACCACGGGCTGCCTTTCCGTGAACTGGACTGCGAATATCTGATGTCGATGAAGGAGATAGAGCATGCACATCATCGATCCAATGTGCGGATTGAGAATACGACCACCAGACGTGTTGATAAATTTTGCACTCGAAAAAGACGCGAAACTCCCCTCACTCACGTGAACTGCACCGAGTACTACTTATTCATTATTACACCCACCTGAATAGAAGGTTCGTCATGTTGTAACAGAGCCATTATCTAGTTACTAGACTTCTTAGTAAATTAGTTTGGATAGAATTGCAATTAGACATCAAATTCTCTAGGGGATTCGTTATGATAATCTTGTGTCCCTGATTGATAGTTGTTTGTTGCTCAACCTACCAGACCACGTAGACCACATCCAACATCTTCAATGATTCAACTACTCCCTCAAATCTTTATAGGATGATTCACATCCCAGATTTCTTTCGACACTGGTGGATTTATTTCGTTATTTCATTATAGCATTTAATCATTTACTTTGTCCATCCAGCTCATCGCATTCCATGTCCGTGAAAAATGTCTATCAACCTTATGATTCGTGCCAGTGACCTTCCAGACGGTACAGAGCCCTCGATGAACTTTCTTGATTCTTCATTTTTTCAAAATGTTCCTGGCCAGTAGTTACCAACACCAGCAGAAGTTCTCGCATTGTCTGGCAATGGGGCGAGGAAACGCCAACCTCCTCCTGTCATTTTCGAGCATTTGAATCTTCTTGTTAAATGAGGTCGTTACGTTACGGTAGCTGAAGCACAATGTCTTTGGATAATCAGAAAGAACCTTGGGGATGAAGTTCCTGTTCCGGAAATCTATGGCTGGAGAGTTGATGGGGATTACGTATTTATATACATGGAATTACCTCAGGATCCTTTCATCGGTATGTTATCAGAATTCAGGAAGCCCCTAGCATCGTTCTCAATGTCTAACTTCTTTATAGGCTCCCTCAGTCGGGGTCATCTTTCAGATATCATAATTGAGAGCCAACCTCCTGGCGGCCTATTTGCAATTATTAAACAATTTAGCGAGTGCTTTTCTTCGCTACCCTGGCTTGGTTTTACACTTGCGAGTAACTTCAAGGACCCTTGGAGGGAGTATCTACCAGATGACGGGTCGATTAAACCAACGCCTGGGGACTTATATCGAGGTAATATCATCGTTTCTCCCACAACACCGCCCCGTGCGCTTGCAATTATCGACTGGGCTCATTGTGGATGGTTTCCTGATTATTGGGAATACTGCAAGGCAGCTCATACATGTTTGTATGGAGGGAAATGGCTGAATAAATGGTTCCCGAAGTTCCTGACTCCATGGGTTGAGGTGCATGGGATTTTTGCCGAATATACATATGGGATGGGAGCTTTCTGAACTTGAATGCCTTTTCTCTATAGTAACTGATCTTTAGTTGAAGCTTTCAGGGTTTTTATCTGAATCAAGGCTGTCTTGAGTTAGTTTTTTCGAAACATATTTTTAACTATATCTAAGGAGTCATTTTGGGACCGAAGTGAGCCATCCGTTATCTTGAAGACGGGAAGGTTGGCGCAAACGTCGAATTTCGAGATGAGTTCTCTTGCATAATCAATTCATAGCATCCCAAGATTTATATAGTGTTGCTATTTTCTCATAAATTAATCCTACGATTGCCTTTTCCAAGTTGAACGCGCATTCTTTCAGCCCAAAAGTCGAGCTTGAGCCAATTTATAACCCCCATTTCTTGTTCATCACTTGACTGTATTTGCTTTGATACCAAATATAATAAGCTGGTTGCCGTTACTTGAGGGTACCATTTTAAAGGGTCAAGATGAGGATCTAATATTGTTAGGTTGGAAGAGACAGGATAACGAGGCCGCAAAGTGTGTGGCTTTTTGATCTCATTTGCACGTCTTGCGTGTATATTAATATAGCAAAATTTGATTTCTTTCAACTGACTTTCTGATAAATCAAGCAGTCATGTAAAACGAACCAGTTCGAATAAGAGCACCGGGTATTCCTGAAAATCTGCAAGTGTGACGAGCTGGGAATCTCATGGCTCGTTACTCAACTTTCGCGAAGTGAATAATTGTTTTAAACGAAGTGATCATGAATATTGATTCATTAATGCTATCTTATACACCAACGCCAGCTAATATACACCCCTCTAGTCTTTAATAGACTTCTAGTTGTATTGCATATAAGTGGCAGTGGAGTTGAACTTCAAGTTACCCTTGATGACCTTGTCAACTGCGCTCAAGAAATCCTTTTCTGTCGCGACCTTTCTTCTAGCACGAATAGCAAACATTCCTGCCTCTGTGCAAACACTTCGAAGTTCAGCACCAGTAGAATTGGGGCAGAGACGTGAAATCAATTCCCATCTAATGTCTCTCTCGACAGACATACTCTTGGCGTGGATTCTAAGAATGTTTGCTCGTCCCTCGAGATCTGGTAGCGAAAATTCGATCTTTCTGTCGATACGTCCAGGTCTCATCAACGCGGGATCCAGGGTAGAAGGTCTGTTTGTAGCGAACATGACCTTGATGTTTCCTCTCGCGTCGAATCCATCAAGTTGGGTAATTAATTCCAACATGGTTCTTTGTACTTCGTTGTCTCCTCCGGCACCATCATCGAAACGAGCCCCTCCGACTGCATCAATCTCATCGAAGAAAATGATACAAGCTTTCTTCGTCCTAGCCATTTCGAACAATTCACGAACCATTCTAGCACCCTCTCCGACATATTTCTGCACCAACTCACTACCAATAACTCGAATAAATGTAGCATCGGTTCTGTTGGCGACAGCTCTAGCGCAAAGTGTTTTTCCAGTTCCTGGAGGACCATAAAGTAAAGCACCTTTGGGTGGGTCGATACCAAGGTTGACAAATCGTTCTGGTGATAACAGTGGCATTTCGACGACTTCTCGTAGCTTTTCGACCTGTTCCTTGCAACCTCCAACATCACCATATGTAACATCAGGCTTCTCCTCAACTGTCATCATCGTAACACTAGCATCGATTTTCGGAGGTAAGGGTAATAAGATTTGGTACTTGTTGCGGTCGACACTATTTGAGATAGGATTAGCTTTGTAAATAATTGAGATCGCATTCCGCATACCCAACTCTCATTCCTTCCTCGATATCTGTAGGACTGACACGATCGCCAAGGTTCACAACGAATTTCGCGATCTGCTTAACATTGATGACATATTTGCTCTTTTCCGTATCCTTCTCGTCTTGAATAATCTTCGTACATCTTGCAACTTGTAAAGGTTGCTCTTCTGACATCCGTTGTCTATCTGCTGCTACATCCCATAAATGAGGTGGCGCCAATCCGGTATCTGATTCCTGTTGGACATTTAGGCCCTGTTTGTATATGCTATAAATCCTGAGCTCCTACCTTTACGCCAATCTTCTCATTCACACTTGTTTGCTTCTCTTTGATCTGCTGTTCGAGTTTCTTCAGCGCGGCACCATATGGAGCTGCGCCGTAGGTTTTTAGGACTTGAATATCTCTACGATTTATTAGATACTGGAATGACGCGATAATGCGATGACCTGGATAACTTTACTCATCTGATAAAGGTGTGATCTTCTTCTCTTCAACCTCGTCGTCGGCGAAGTCCTATGTACTTGTCAGAAGGAGTCTTAGCAGCTTGGGTGCTCATATATATATACCTTCTTGTAGTTCTCCCAGTTTTGTCCCTTTGCGCTGACCTTCGAGATTGTTAGTCAAATATATAAACACCAGGCAATGAAGTACGGACCATGATGAGAGCTGAGTGACGAAAGGCACGATGTTGTAAGGTTGTGTTTTAGCTGAAGATTTGATGGATGAAGTTTCGTAGAATTGGTCGTTTGCGTAGAGATTAAAAATCTAAGGGTAATATACTGTCCTAACCCAAATTCCTTTCAATGTGGTGGAGAAAATGTGGTTGTGAGAAGTTTAGTTCGTTGTGTTGATAATCCTCCCATAGCTCTTAGGTATCCAAAGGTACGTCGGCGTTGCTTGATAAGCTAGTCCAAGATAAGGTTAGCCGATTTTTCAAAATTCGAAATCTCAAGACAGACGCGCAGTAGCAGTAGAAACGCGACGACGTCACTTCTTAACATATTCTGAGATTAAACGTTCCAGATTTCCTACAGCCAATACCAGATACTTCAAGATGGCTCTTACTCAATCAGCAGGAAATTCTACCAACAATGCCTTTAAGGTGGGACATTTAAGTAGCTTAGAGGGGTTGTTCAGTATAGCTAATGTGGTCTGTAGGACAAGGAAAAGCCTATGGCCGTTCGAAATGCCAACATTCTGGCTGCCAGAGGTGTGTTTGGAAAAGTAAAATCATGCGGAAGTGAAGCTGACAAAATACAGCTGTCGCAGATGCATGCAGAACCTCCCTCGGTCCTAGGGGAATGGACAAGATGATTCAAGACGGCAAGGGAGGAACACTTATCACAAACGATGGAAGCACTATGATGAAGAGTATGGCAGTTATGCATCCTTCTGCGAAGATGTTGGTCGATCTTTCAGCAGCACAAGATGTAGAGGCTGGAGACGGAACTACCTCAGTTGTGGTTATCTGTGGAAGTCTGTTGGGTGCTGCAGATAAATTACTAGGAAAGGGAATCCATCCTTCAGTTATTGCCGAATCTTTCCAAAGAGCTGCTGCAGCTTCAGTCCAAATTCTCCACGACATGTCGGTCCCAGTTGCTCTCAGCGACACCGCAACTCTTTTACAAGCCGCCAACACATCTCTTTCTTCCAAAATCGTTTCACAATACTCAAATCTTCTCGGCCCTATGGCAGTAAACGCTGTTACAAAGACAATCGATATCAAGACTGCAGAAAATGTGGATTTGAAGAACATCAGAATAGTTAAAAAGTCGGGAGGTACCATCGAAGATAGTGAAATGGTTGAGGGTGTTGTTTTGACTCAAGGTGTTTTGAAGAACGGAGGTGGACCTATTAGAATGGAGAAGGCAAAGATTGGACTTATTCAATTTCAACTCAGTCCTCCAAAGCCTGATGTAAGTCATTTCGAGAAATCATAAATCGAATACTGCTAACGTATTTCAGATGGAAAATCAAATCGTTGTCAACGACTATCGACAAATGGATAAGATTTTGAAAGAGGAGCGAACATATTTATTGAATTTAGTTAAAAAGATCAAGAAGGCGAAGTGTAACGTTTTATTGGTATGTTATGTTATAGTTCTTTCCCAGAATGTCTTTTTGTACAACCTATTTATCATGGGAGTGCTAACAACGACCTGTAGATCCAAAAGTCTATCCTCCGTGATGCTGTTAATGAACTCTCCCTCCACTTCCTCGCCAAACTCAACATCCTCTGTATCAAAGACATCGAGCGTGATGAAGTAGAATTTATCTGCAAATCTACCGGCTGCAAACCTATCGCTGACATTGACTCTTTCACCGAAGATAAACTCGGTTCAGCCGACCTCGTCGAAGAAGCCCAAACTTCCGGTTCCAGACTTGTTAAGATCACCGGTACAAAGAGCGCAGGCAAGACCGTTTCCATCGTCTGCCGTGGTGCCAACTCCCTCATTCTCGACGAAGCCGAGCGCAGTCTTCACGATGCTCTTTGCGTCGTTAGATGTTTAGTCAAAAAGAAGGCATTGATTGCCGGAGGTGGAGCTCCAGAGATCGAAATCGCATCGCAATTAGCACAGCAAGCACGAGAATTGACCGGTACTGAAGCTATTTGCTGGAAGGCATTCGCTGACGCCATGGAAGTAATCCCCACCACTCTTGCCGAGAACGCAGGTCTCAATAGCATCAAAGTCGTCACCGAACTGCGCCACAAACATGCAAACGGAGAGAAGAATGCAGGTGTCAGTATCAAGAGTGGAGGTGTCAAGGTTGATATTGCGGATGAAAATGTGTTGCAACCACTTTTGGTCAGCACGAGTGCTATTGAATTGGCGGCTGAGACGGTGAAAATGATTTTACGTATTGATGATATCGCTTTATCCAGATAAAATGTCCGTATCTAAAGCAGAAATTTAAGGAAAAGTTGATGATTATGATATCAGATGTACATTAATGCATGGCGGCGAGTGGGATATCATTATAGAGATGGATATTTCGCTTAACCCCTTTTGGCATCAGCTCTAATGAATGAATCATGATTGTCCTACGGAACAAATCTATGTTTACTGGTGCAGCTCTGAAGGGATATGAACCTTGAACATTCAAGGAGTTTGAATTACTGTGAATTATGAAGTGAAGACCAATGCCCAAGTCTTTAAGCAGAGAGTTCTAGTTTTTGTTTCCGTTGTAATCAAATTACCGTGCAACTTTTTATTCGGTAAATTATACAACCTTCTCTCATGGTTTCAGAAACTGAAAGGGTCTAAGGGGCCTGTCTATAACAATCAAACTCTACTTCTACTTCTACTTCCCTTTTATATAATCCACCCCTTTTCTCTTCCCCTCCCATTCCCAAATCTATTTGACACCCACAACTACCAAATTCCTCGGACTCATCCCGTATTCAAAAACCCCCTCCACCCACGCATCCCTACACTCTCCTCTCTCTACCGCTTCTCGCAAAAACACATATCGATCAACTACAATCATCGATTCTATAACCCCAGCACTGAACGCCATTAATGACCAAATGATACTGAGTTCTTGCTTCCTCGCCAAATACTGAGACTCGTAAGCTTGGATCTCGACATCGGTGATATGGCCGACTTTTTCTTGGACCATTGACGAGACGTCTGAGCGAGGAACTTGTGGTTCCTTGGAAGAAGAAGCTGGTGTCGCGGTTAATTTTTGAATCGCGCCTCGAACGTAACTGGTAAAAGATTCGTAGCAGGATTTTCGGAGGGAACCGATTATAATTGGGGTTGTGGTGATGGGCTCTTCTTCTTTGTCTTCGCAGCATTCTGTGGTGTTGCATCTTGTGGAAGTGAAAGTTCGTTTGTCGAGATGGTCGGAGGTGTCTAATGGGATGGCTTGTACAACGCCGTAATCCAGGAATAGCTTTTGGAGTAGAGCGCGATAGAAGTGGCGTGTGAAAAATGAATCGCTGTCTTTGGCGGTCCAGTTTGCAGGCGCTTGAACACCCATCATTCGAGAGGTTATGTTGAGTGTGATGCCGTGTTCGTTGTAGGTTGATAGGCGGTTGGACATGGGGAAACCGTGGGGATCTGATGTGGGGGTTGAAGTGGAAGAAGGGGGTGGAAGATTCAGAGCACGGAGATTGGGACGGAGGAGAGGATGTTTGTAGGAAGGAGTGTTGAGACGTTCGGAGAGAAGGTTGTAGCAGCAGCCTACAATGGCTATAGCGTGAACTGAAGGATTGAGGAGGAGAGAGCGGATTCCATGATGTGAGAGGTTGCCGCAGGAATGGATGGATATAGCCATTAGGTTTATTTCTGAGGGTATCGCTTCCGAGACGCGGGAAATGATATCTTCTTTAGCAGGAGCGGTAGAACCTGGTTCGGAAATGATGTTGAGATCACCGTCTGGGGCTGAAATTTTCAAATCCTCAATTTGAGATACCACATCTGATAGATCTCCATCTTCAACTCGATGTTCCACATATTGAATATATCCCTTTCCAACAGCCGGGGTATATATCGTCTGTAAAGCCCTCGCTGGTCGTAAATCTGCCTCTTCATCTCTATCGACTTTACCTTCTGCTCTTTTAGTCTTCGCTACCTCTCCCATAATCTTCTCCCTAAAAACTTTCTTATTCCTCATAACTTTTTCCCTCTCCGCCATCCCCGCCAAAATATCCATACTCTTCGCCCCCTCAATATTCCCCCCCTTACTCTCCACCGCCACAATCCACCTATTCCACGGCGGACTCGCTAACGTCCTCCCCAAATAATTCTGCCCACTCCCAAAATCCACAAAATGCGTGATTTCCTTTCCACTTTCCTCCTTCACCTCATCCGCAACCCTCGTTACATAATCCGCAAAATTCGTCACCTCGTGTATTTTCTTCGGAATCATACCCACAGCCACATGTCTTGGTAATTTCCTCGCACTGAGATTTTTCTTCTCCACGCTTCGGATCAGTGAATGTTTGCGGATATTGAGGATATATGTGATGAGCGATTCTGGCGGCGGATGGGCCATATCACGTGCCAATGAAAGATCATCCCGCATGAGCAAATCGAGAAAATCCATCGAGGGATAATCGAGTAACCAGGCGCGCCATTCTTCGGGGAGAATCTTATGGTAGAGACTTGGTTCTCGGATGAAGAAATCGAGAATATGGACGCCTCCGCATAGGGTTTGAAAAAGGGTAGAGGTGGTTGCAAAGTTTAGGAGTGAGTCGACATATTCATCTGCGGTGGAAAAATCATCTGGATAAGGAAGTGGTTTTTCTGGAGGCATGGTAAGGTTTGTTGGATATGTTTTTATTTGGTTTCTGATTTTCTGTGAATTTTTTAAGGATGATTATATTAAACCTTGAATTTTTTTCAACATCTTTTTTTTTTGATAATAATAAATAATACAAGCACAATGTGCGGCTAATAATTAGTGGTAAAAATTCACGAGCCTCATGTTCCTTATAATTTTCAGTCTCACAAACGCATACCTAGTACATAATAACATGTAGCTATTCGAAATCTCTACAAATATAACCATCATTTCTTCCTTCGTTGTATCCTTATAAATATTTATTAGAAAATTATTGTATTAATTGAGGTCCAAATTTGACCTCTGATTATTAATCCTATTTTTACCAGACAGCTAAGTAAGTTTCTTGAATCATGACGGTACAGAATCATTAATAATCCAAAAGAATTCTGCTATCTACCCCAAAGATTTGTCCTGCCAAGTAAGTCAATTAATGAAAGACATCCCAAAAAAGCTTATTGTGTTAATCCGTACCAGATCTAAGGTTACTCCCCTCTCTCCCCCTCCCCACATGGAAATCTAGCCCTCCCTCTTTCTGGAAGTCAATACGTCAAACTATGAACTCGATCACTCAAAATCTAAGCTTATATACGCAGTAATTGGTGAGCTGCCATGGATCAAGATACTGAACCTTCAAAAAATGGAATCTCCTCCACTACTCAGACTCGGTCATCTGGCGGCCGTCGACATGCCTGTGATCGTTGTCAGAGGCAAAAATTGAAGGTTTGTTCTAGTCTCGGATGATTAATTCGATCATGCTTCATCATGCTGGTATTACATGCTAAAAACATCTAGTGTGATATCGAAAAACCATGTCTATTATGTGTTCGTTCAGGGGCTTCGTGTGTAACAACACCGTCTAGAGCTTCAAGGTATGTGCTATACGAGCTTATGGATGCTATGAAAGCTGACCAGAACTCTCGTTGAAAGAAAATCGAAGCAATTCCGGAGAAAAACGGTCCACAAGAGTACCGCTACCCCTAGTGCTTCGGGGACGCCCCCGGCCACCCACAAAGACTGCGACTCTGGACCGTCAAATTCGCAAACTAAATATTTCCTAGATCATCCTCAACCCGTGGGTCAAGGAGAAAAGGGCCTCTATTCAAGTCCAGCTCTGTCAAACTCACTGCATGACGATGACACAATATCTCAACAAACTACACCGTTCCCCGCGCCAGATAAGTATGCTGAGATGTCTACGATTGGACTTACAAGTAAGGTAATTAAACACCATACCTGATAAGATGACCCTCTGGTAACCTGTAAGATCTGATTGCTAAACATGAACAGCTTTTTCACATTCACAAGCAAGAGTCAATCAACTCTTTGGCAGAAAGCTATAGTACAAATGCTATTCCAGGCGGAGACTTCGTAAATACCCATAGCAAAGATCGCCAGACGGTTCAGTCAGTTAGCTTAGACTCGCTGTTTCCAGGATTTACTTTTCCACCACGGCCAATTTGCGATTTTCTTGTAGAGTCCTACAGAAAGTCGGTGCATTGGTTCATGTTGCTTTTCCACGAAGCTTCATTTGCAAGCGAGTACAGGGAGGTGATGGATAGCCAAGCGGCTAGTCCTCGTCAACTTGGAACCGTTGTACTCTTTCTAATGGTGTTCGCTATGGGAGAGCGGTACACTACCGGTGAAGAAGTTTTGGAAGCCTGTGGGACGAATCTGGACGTAGAAGCACTCCAGCAGCGAATGCTCAAAGAAGTACAAGCACATCTTTTTGATGTTATCGATATTGGTGGAATTGAGTCGGTCCAGATTTGTGTTTTGCTAAGTTCGTTTTATATGTACAATGGTAGACCAAACCTAGCTTTGGCTATATTGGGAGCAGGGATACGAAGCTCACAGGCCATTGGACTACACAAGGAGTCTTTGTGGGGACCTCTTACCGAGACTGTCAAGGAGGTTCGACGCCGCACATGGTGGGCACTCTATGTTTATGACAGGTAAGTCTAGATTCTATAAGTTATTAATTTTCCAATGGTCGAAAGTCTTCTGTTGCATTAAAACTAAACCTCCTCTCAGGTTCTCGTCGATTACATACGGGCGGCCCTTATCCATCAACGATTCTGATTGTGATGTACGCATGCCCGGTAATCTGGATGATGCCTCCAGCGTCCATCCACTGTTGAATTCTCTAGAGCTTTTGGATGCAGATTCTTCAACTCAAGTCACCTTAAACTCGTACCATCGATTCAAATTCGCTTTGTATGCTATTGCAACTCCTATTATTGGTGATATTTATAATTTGAAAAACTCAAATCCCTCGAACATGGCACAACAGGCTGTATCGATTAATGCAAATCTCGTGAGGTTGTTTGACCAACTGCCTCCAGAACTAAAGCTAAATTCAAATACAGATTTCGATGTTAGCAATCTTTCAGCTTCTGAGGTCAGGATATGCAGGTTATTCCAGCTACAAGCTCTTGTATTGCAGCTAGCATATGACAATATTCAAATAATTCTTCACCGGCCATTTCTTCGATACAATCATTGTTTGGCTGGACTTCCTTCATCTGCTGCGTCTGATTTACGTTCCACAAGCTTGGAGCAATGCAGGCATTGCGCCAGACGAACCTGTAACATTTCACCGCGTTACTCAGATCTTCTCCTAGCTGCTCGAGACACCCATGCTGTTGCATATGTCGCTATTCAGAATTTCAGAGCAGGAGTCACATTAGGAATGGTGGCTTTGTCAGACCCAGGTTCGGAACAAGCACAGAATGCAAAAAGAGGGGTCTCGAATTCCATATCCCTTCAGAGGATGCTCGCAGTATCTTCCATCGTTCCATTACAAACGGTGAAGGTTTTGGAGGAGCTTCTACGACTTATATTCAAAAGAGAAATGGAGATAATGCTTCATGGTCCTCCATTAAATCTGGAGACTGGCAAAGTCGCTCCCAATTTTTCGCAGCAGGAACAAGAAATCAATGAGTCGCCTCATAATCATGTGCAAAATAAGGCAACACTACCCAAATATCCGCCATTGCAGACTTCGCAAACCGTTGTGATGGACCCCGTGCAAGATTCCCGTGAATTTAGAGACAGATAGCCGCAAGCAGAAATGAGGCCAGCGCAAGAGCTTAGTATTGGCATGGATTGGAACAATTGGTCTTTTGATGCAGGAATTGATAATGCCCTAGAATCTATCCAACAAGGTATTTCACCCTCTATTTCAATGCCTTCGCTATCTGCGAAACGTCTTATCCCAGCTGTCATTTTACTCTTAAGAAAAAAAGTCGTGCTGAGCTAATATTTTGACTCACAGTTCTCTGGCAAAATTCGCATCCGGTGACAAGTTCAGAAACATTGTCTATGAATACTACTGGCTTATGTGGAAATGCATGTGGACCGCAAAGGCAGGTGGCGGTTGACGATTTAGAAAATCCGATCACTCTCCCACCAGAAGTAGTTCAATCTTTCGACGTAAACGGGACTTTAGGACAGAGTTCCTGCGATCTATATGGACAGTGTTGGATGTGGAATTGGGATATCTCTGATGGGGATAAGGGACCCCGCTTCGGGTAAGCAACGTCTCGCTACCTGTCAGACGATTTGCAGGAATCTTAAACTCACAGTAAGCGAACTATTATAATCAAATATTCTATTTTCTTTTCGACGCTTTCGCATTTGTTATATCAAGATCACTCGCATGAATTTGTTGTTTTCGAGAGATTTTATTGTATCCAGGTATCGAGCCGTTGTATGAAGTACATATGATACAGGTTACAGGTGAAGAGGGGTAACCCGCAGTGAGAACGGCGCGATATTTGATGTTCTCTTTGGGAGAAATATCCTGTACGGCTCACCTCACAAACTGATCCACAAAATCTGCGCCCAATCCAACCTTTTCATAATGCGCCTTTGCGCTCGAAAGCTTTGAGAAAACATCCTCTACCCCCACCGGATTCCCAGCAGGATCAACATAAATATAAGCCCCCGTAACATGAAACAGCGTAATCATCTCCTCCACCCCCTCCGGCACTTCTAACGTATGAATATCACCCGGCGGTTCAAAAGCATGGCTTCCTTCCGTCGCCCACCAATCGTGTTCTAGATAATGCCATTTTCCCGGCAGCGTCGTCGCGTGCACGGGAACGGAATGGCGATGGCGGGAAAGAATCCCTGAGCGACGCACGCGGAGAATGTTGACGAAATAGTCCTGCGACACGCAGAGGACGAGCGGTCGAAACCAGACGTTGGGGGCTTGCGGGACCCAGAGCTTTTCGTCGCAGTCGAAGGAGAGGACGTTGGGGATTATGAGGTCTGAGGCAACGTGTGGGAGGGGCTCGCCTTGGTAGGGGATGGCTTCGGTGTCTGGGCGGGTGTGCGGGGTGGTCATGGTGTTTGAGGTATGAGGGGAGGATATGAGGGGAGGATATGTGGGGAGATGGTTGGTTGGTTGGTTTAGGGATGCTTGATTTTCTTGGAAAAATTTGTTTGATGAAATCTGAATCTGAGTCTGCTATTTGAGTCTGCTATTTGAGTCTGCTATTTGATGTGTCATAATTGTACTCCTCTATATAAATTCTCCTCAAAAATCCCTGCTTCTGATCTCATACTTGAGCAGATTTACTCTGTAAAGTGATCTTCGCTACCCGGTGGACACTAGGCACCATATACTAATCCCTCCACCGGACTTCATGTATACTGAAATAGCCGAGAACATGATCGAGGCTCATGGTATGAATTTATTAGTATCGCTCTTCTTGATGTTGATATTGTTATTGATATTAATCTCTTCAATAGATGGAAATGCGATTTTTTGCGTACATCAATCGCATTTTCAGTTTTAAAAGGGCTCTGCTTGCAATCTAAAGCAGAAGCCACTAAAGGAGAGAAAAAAAAATGGGTTGATATACTTTTCTCCCCTGAATGAAAGTAATTAGTTGAAAAAGTTTGAACACTATGCGAGTCTATCTGGCTTGATATATTTTGATTGCCTATAAACATCTGTGATGATACTGATGATGTAATTATGAATCTATGATTCGTTCCTATTCAAAATTATTATCTGTTAATTTGGAGACAGATTTGACTGGTGTTTTGTGGGTGAAAAGTCGGCCAAAATGTTCGAGACTTTCGGAACAGGAACGTACCTCTGTCAAATTTGTTGATTTGGATATGGTACATACAGTGCAAAATTAAAATGTGTTCGGTGAATATTCAACAGGGAAATACTTGAAAATACTATCCATCTATTCTTAATCTATCCATTGCCATCCTTTATATAAAACCTACACATCATCTACCACAAGATCCAAAGACTCCCACCCAACCAATTCTATCAACTCCAATAAATCCATTCCCCCTACAACTTACAACGACGCCGCAATCGTCGTCTCAAAATCTTCCGGTTCCCGTCCCAACAATTCCCTCAACAAAGGCGACACAACCGCCGCCTCACCTCTACGAAGCCCTTCAAACGCCGTCGTCCAAAGCACCGACAGATCAACTCCATGGTACACAAAACTCGGCGCAACCTGTGGCTGCTTCGCAAACTCCTCATTCGAAACCTGACGAATACGCACATCTTTCTTTGCCAGTTTCCCAAGAATCTGCACCGTCTCCTGCAACGTGAGGATTTTCGCTCCGGAGAGCAGAACCGTTTGAAGACGATACTTGAATCCCGCCGGATCCTTCACAAAACGAGCCAGAAGCTCTGCAGTGCCCTCACCAAGCTCTTCTCGCTTGACCCATGCGACACCCGGCGCGGCTCCATCGTGCGGAATACAGATCTCCTCGACGGGATTCTTGGGGTCGAAAAATGAGGTATACAGCGGGTAGGATTCAGAATAGAGTCCCTCGCGTACAATCGTGTATGCGAAACCGGGATGGGTGCGCGTGCAGTTTTCGAGGTATTTTTCGGTGTCCAAATGGGCGCGCATCACGTGGGCGACGGATTCTTGACTGCTTTCTTTATCAGCGAAGCCTAGGGAGCCGTAGAAAATGTTTTTGACGCCGCTGCGGAGAGCGAAGTCGATAGCGGTGCGGTGACGCTGGGAGTTGTTAGTTCTGGGTAGCTTTGGAGATGGAAATAGAGTGGTGGGATTGGGTGGCTCATCTAACTCGGAAACTTACCTCTGCGCGATGTTCATATTCTACTGATGCGTAGGAAATGAGGAAGAGAGTATCGATTCCTTGGAATGCATTTTTTAGAGAATCATCATCGTCATAGTTCGCCTGACGAACATCCGCACCGGCAGATTTAGCAGACTCTAGTTTTGCGGGATTGCGCGCGATGAAAACGAGATCTTGGGCGGGGAGACGAGGAAGTAGATGCTTGACTGTGCTGCCTCCAATACCTCCTGAGGCGGGGAAAACACCAACTTTGTGACCGGACATCACGGGATCGTTTTTAAAGATAATAATTCGGGATGATTGAAAGCAGTGGATTTTAGAACAGCAGAAGATCAATTGATTAGAAGGGAATTGATTGATTGATTAATTTCTGGATTGGAAGGTGGCAGACGAGGTGTAGTTATAAATTATATCTCTTTAGCAAAACAGAGGGTTGGTCATCTAATCTCTGAAATTCGGGTGTGCTTTAAAATCAGATATTGAGGGGGAAAATTCGACTGATGGAGAGAAACTTCAAGAAGTCGATTTGCTTACTTGACGTCATGTCAATTGTGGAGTATTTGAATGAACAAACATTTTGTATCATCTACATTATAACCTCGACGATTGGGTTTTCCCCATCATACAGCCAAGTAAGCCCTAGTGTTAACTCTATAAGAAATCGAAACCGAGATAGACTTTTGGACATAAGGAAACTAGAGAGACAAGTCAAGCCAAAGCCTAGCAATAAGGGATTTACCCATCTCTCGTTCTCTTCCCCATTCGGTTTCCCCCTATTCTAGCGACCTTTAAAATTTCTAAATTTCCACGCTTTAAAGATTATTGCGCTCATAATAGTAATAATATCTTCAACCCCAAGCCTACAAAGAGCATATCGTGTATCTATCTCTTATGTATATAATACTAGACTCATCAGAGCATACCTCGATGCGAAACTCATGGAGAAATGAATTGATCCCCTAAAGACAAAACATCAACATAGCAAACAATTAGCTCAAAGCTAGTTAGTACCCAGCGACCAAACTTCGATGCAATTACTCATCCCGTCCCGTCCTCGGCATTGCACGTGTCGGGAGACATGCACACAAAATAGACTTTCCACACTCGAACCAACCCACCGGAGCAAATCTCTAAGCGGCCCCATTACCGAGGCCCATTTGAATCATTTTGCCAATACCTAAAAAGTTAGGTTTTACATGAACTAAAAGCATATTTAGAATTTAATAATATATTTATATTAATAAAAATATTCAATTTAATATATAACCTTAAAAAAAATATATAAAATAAAAAGAAAAGAGATATTAATATAAATTAGAATTCAAAAAATTGATTAATATAAAAAATTTCGAATTATCTCAAGAATTGAAATTTATATTCAATATAAAATTATTTAAATAAACTTAAATAATAATATAATTTCAATATTTAATCTTTTCTTATTCAAATACTTTTATATTAAATATAAATTTCAATTTTTAAGATAATTTTGAATTTTTTTATATCAATCGATTCCTTGATGTTATGGGAGCTGCCTCTAGGGTCATGTGGAAGTGGCTAGAGATCTCTCGAAATGGTTTAGATTAAACTTCAAGTAGGAATTCAATAAGGTTATAACTGGTTGCAATTCTCGTAACTATAGTAATGAAACTAATGATTATTCTTGAGTATAAAGCTTTATATATAAAGAAACCTTATTCCTTATATAGACCTTTGTTCTCTACAGCATTATGAGGTTCTGTTCTGCTTGAATCCTTTGGATCTTATAGATCTAGATATTTATTCTTCGATCCCCTAGATCCTCTAGGTCCATCACGTGACCGTTTGGCCATGTGACGCGGTATGTTGGATACCGTCGTAACACTTGAATCCTAATTCATACTAATATCTCTTTTCTTTTCTTTTTATTAATCTCTTAAAGTTTTATACCAAATAAAAGAATTCTATAATTTCTAAATGCTAATTAAGGGAAGTTTGATTGAATTATATATCTTAATATTTAAGGTATAAATAAAAATAGCTTAGTTATTATAATTAAATTAATTATAATTTTATTAAGTTGAATTAGAATTTCAGTTTTTAATATAATTTAAATATAATTATATTAATCGATTTGTTGAATTTGAATTAATAATTTTCTTTTTTTCTTTTTTATTTCATTTATTTTTTTGAAGTTATGTATTAAATTAAATAATTTTTTTTAATATTATAGAAACTGATTTTTAATTTGAAATAAATGAGATAAGGAATCTTTATTGAAATTCTCTTGTTTATTAGTAATTGGTTTATATATAAAAAGAAAACTATTTAAAAAAGATTATATATTAGAATTTGAATATTAATATATTTCTTATAGAAAATTCTGAAATAAATTTTAAAATTATATTAATAATATTAATAATAAAAGCTTTTTAATAATATGTTTTTTTTTATAAAACTATTACTTATTATATAATTCTATATAATACAATTTTCTTTCTAAAATTTCTATATATATATTATATAAATTTTAGAAATTCTTTTTGAATTATGTAAAACCTAACTTTTCAGGTATTAGCAAAATGATTCAAATGGGCCTCGGTACCCATATACTGTGCACAAGTAAGCGAGTCGGAAGTCCGGTGGACATCTCAGCATCTCAACATCTATCTATATTAGTAACATTCAACACCACATATCCAGAGCATAGTACTGTACACACCTAAGGTTCTCTCCAATCCAGCTTATAAATCCCATTCATTCACGTCGAAACTCATGAATCATGAATCAATTACCAAGCATGCTCTTGAAGATATCGACCTGATACCCACCAGTAAGCGTAGCCATCCATCCATCATTTCCACTATAAGTAACAAGGTATATGATGTAACCCAATATGAGTTTGAGCACTTTCTCTAGTAAGAGTTTCGATACTACTCGTATGCGCCTACCTATTGTAACTCGTAGACGCCAGCGTTTCTGCTGTGAAATCGATGGTTTGATTAATAATATCCAGCTTTATCACCTAGTTCTATCGTAGATCCTTGAGCTTCAGACTTGGTCCCCTTTTTTTATAGATATAAAAGGGTTTACACTTTGGGTTGGAGGAGAATTGTTGCGTTACATCTCTCATCTGTCTATAAGGTACAGAATAACTTCTCAAATCTCTCATAGAGTTCTTGTTCTCAGGATCCTAAACTCATATACGATAACATTCATCCAATCACCTGTTACAAAACCACCAATAAGATGGCTCCCACACGATTCGCAAATGTCGACGACGAATCATCGATCATAACAATAGTGAACGAGCCTGCACCAAACGTAGTGATCCTCCTCTCCAAATCGTCAGTCCCTGAAAATATTAACTTTCCGCAGACTCCCTATTTCACACCCAAACAAGATCCAGTTTCAGGCACAGCCATTGCTACAAAAATCGATGGGCAAGAAATCCCACCTCTCTCCACCCCCTTGAAAATCAGAGGTGTAGAGCTCCAGAACCGTATCCTGGTACGCATTTCCTGTTCCATTACTACAAATCCGAATCCAAATCCAACTCACCGCCTCATATCCCATGACTAAAACAACCCCAAAGCTCTCACCCCTCTGTCAGTACTCCGCCGAAGACGGTCACCAAACCGACTGGCACCTTGCGCATCTCGGGGGTATCATATCACGTGGCCCAGGACTTTCCTTTATCGAAGCCACTGCCGTTGTCCCCGAAGGACGTATTACGCCCGAGGATTGCGGACTCTGGAAGGATTCTCAAATCGCGCCTTTGCGACGCATTGTACAATTTGCACACAGTCAAGGCCAGAAGATTGGTATCCAACTTGCGCATGCTGGCCGAAAAGCAAGTACCGTGGCTCCGTGGTTAAGTATGTCGCGTGGCCCGGCTGCAAAGACGAATGTATGTCTCACATGACTTGGCTATGATGTTTGAGAGAAATAGATGCTGATTTGAAAAGGTGAATGGATATGAAAATGAGGGATTGACACCAGTAAGGATATTAATACCTGATGAGCCAGCTGAATGAATGTGTATGACTGACTAACTTGAAATCATCAGGCTCACGGATGGCCAGACAATGTGATGGCACCTAGCCCCATCGCTTACAAGGACAAAAATATCATCCCTCACGAGATGACCCGTGATGATATCAAGTCTCTCGTCAACGCATTTGGAGACGCAACTAAGCGAGCCATCGAAGCCGGATTCGACGTAAGTTCCCAACCCTCCTCGTCAACAAACCACAAGACATCCAATTAACAACAACAACAAACACACACAGACCATAGAAATCCACGGAGCCCACGGCTACCTCCTCCACCAATTTCTCTCTCCAGCCACCAACAAGCGCACCGACGACTACGGCGGCAGTTTCGAGAACCGCATCCGTCTCTCCCTCGAAATCGTCGATACCGTTCGCCAAATCATGCCCAAGGAAATGCCTCTCTTCTTCCGCGTCAGCGCCACAGAATGGCTCGAGCATCTTGCTTCCGAACCCAGCTGGGATGTTCAAGAATCCATCAAACTCGCTAAGGTCTTAGCCACCCACGGCGTCGACGTCCTCGATGTATCCAGCGGTGGAAATGATCCCCGACAAAAGATTAACGGGGGCCCCGGGTACCAAGCTCCATTCGCTCGACAGATTAAATTGGCCGTGGGAGATAGTCTTTTGGTGGGAACGGTCGGATCCATCACTTCGGGTGTGCAAGCGAATGATTTGTTGAAGGATAACGGGCTTGATATGATCTTCAGCGGGAGAATGTTCCAGAAGAACCCAGGTCTAGTCTGGACATTTGCGGATGAGTTGGATGTGGATATTAAAGTTGCAAACCAGATCCAGTGGGGTTTTGGTGGACATCGCAGAAAGTGATGTATTAGAAGGAGAAAAAGTATAGAACGGTAAAGAGAAGGGATAAATGATGATTGAACATTATCAATTCTGTTTATAGAGATGGAAAAATTTAATCAATAAGATTTCATATTTCTAATGAATTGTTTTTACTACAGAGTTGAGACGTATCTTCTACTAGACCCTCCCTCGATGGGTTGCACGTAAATAACAAAGTAAATCGTTCACATATTTATGCTCAATACCATCAGACACCAAGACAACACACCCAATTTACCGAATTATTCAACATTCCAAATGCACTTGACCTACTTCAGAACCAAAACCAAAACCAAAAAAACAACTAATAACTTCGATAAAAATGCATTCATTGTCTGTGGTATCCTTCGCTCTAATATCCGCTCTTCAAGCTATTTTCTCTCGCTGGATCTATTACAACCATTCGATCTTGATATCAATCAACTCACAAAAATCCTCTTAGTCTCCCATCTTCCCACCCTACCTAACATTAATTTTGTTCCAGAACCAAACTCCTCCCCAGGGATACCATGCTATCCTTTTCCCGACAAAATCTCTATTCCCAAAACCCCTCTACTCAGCAAGTACACCTCTTAGCATGCTCAAGAATCCCTCCTTAAGCTTATACACTTCAGCCACTTCTGGCTTAGCAGGTTCACCCGCAGTTCTCCTCAGATGATCCTGTTTCCTGGCTCTCCTCTTCCTTTCAGCAGCAATGGGATCCAACTCATCATCTTCCTCGTCCTCATCACTACTGTCTTCGTCTTCTCCATAGTTGATATCCTCGAGATCCCCTTCGTCCAATCCAAAATCGGTACTCTTGAATGCTAGTGCGCCGGGTATTTGCTCTGGGGCGCCTGTACCTTCTGCCGCCATCTTTTGTCTTGTTTTATCAGAATGCCACTTCTTACGTGCTTCTTGCCAAGTAATCAATTGGTTTATTTCGTTGATAGCAACTTCTTTATTCAGTTGATTCACGCTTACGGCACCTGTAACAAGAGCATTGATGTCAAGTTTTCCACCCTTGGGACCTTGGCGGAGGAACTCGAGGATTCCCTCTATCCAACCCATCAATTGAGTAAAGAGTCCATTATCATGAGTATGTACTTCATGAACGAATTTGTAAAAATTGTGCTCATGTCGCTGGCATAAATCGATAAATGCTTGAACTGTTTGATTAGGGTCTGCTGAGAAATCTTGTTCTCGGCACTTCTCAACAACCTGTTTTGTATACCATTAGTTATTTTCATCTATCGATGGAATAGAAATACACTCACTTTTACCGTATCCTCAATGAACTCGGCAAAATCAGTGACACTGTCGTACACATTTGCTGATTTATATACTCGTACCAAAGGCTCATAGAAGATTGTGAACAAGTCGCGAAGAAGGCGTAATGTAACCGGTTCCTCAATCATGTTTAGCATCATAGCCTTATCTCGCTGTCTTGTGTACAATTTGAGGAGTTGTTTCAAGTATGAGAACAATTGTGCTCCTTGCTTCATCTCTTCATCAACGTTCTCCACAGCATTATTCCAAGCAACATAAGCGTTGTATATCTTGCCAACTTGACCCGAGTTCAGGGGCGGTCCGATATCTTCTGACCTTAAGATGGATACAATCAAGTCCACGCCACTCTCTTCTGCATCAACTCTTATGACATTTTTTAAATCTTCAGGATTGTCAGAGAATTTCTTTAATTTATCACAAAAGACAGGCTCATTGATCTTATTCTGGAGGCCATCGATAGACTTTTGGAAACTTCGGATCCCATCATTTAACGTCAAAGAAAAGATCCTTTGCATGAGCGATCTCGTTCCGAAAGGTTGAGCTAGGAAGATGTCTAAGATGCTAGACATAACAGCCGCTGGATTAGCTATTCGAATTGCATTCTTGATAATTGTGTATGGTATCATTGAATGAATCTTTTTAGCTTGCGCGAACAATTCCGGAGAGTTGTCTTCTGCTAGGAATAAATGATAAAGGGTCGCTGCTACTTCAATTCGTAACCATTCTGCAAATTTCTGGTATTGAATGCTAAGATCTTGAATGGTTGGTTTATCCTTGATTTCTTTGAATAATTTTGTAAGACCATTGCTTTCCACAATGTCGCGGCGGAATCTAAAATACTTAGTAAATGTATAAACATATTCTCAAACAGGGTTACGTACTCTTCCATATAGATGTCTAGTTCGGCGGCGCGCTTTCTGGCTATTTCATAAAACTGTTGCTGCTCTACAACCCTCTTTTCGTCCATTAGCCTTCTTTTCTCTACATCCTCTACATCATCATCGCTTAGTTTAATAGGTTGGTGTGACAGAAAATCTTGCATCGCTCGGGTTCCAGCAATTTGAGGATTGGCAAGAAGACCACGGAGGAATGCTCTCAAGGATATGCGTTGATTTTCTCGCCACAGAGTTATGCCCTGGAAAAAATTAGCTCATATTATGATAATTTATCAGCAAAACTGACATCTGAGTCTGTAACAGGAGTCGAGGGAGGTCTGAGAGTCCTATCTACTGATGGTCGTGGGGATGATGTTGATTGTCTTGGAGATGATCTTCCGAATGACGCTGCTGACCCAGAGCGACGATGATCTGTTAAGATTAGTTGTGGTACATCAAAATTTAGCAGGAGGATTATGAACTAACCACGGACAGACAAGTTCTTCATGCCAGATTCGGTGCCCATGGTCCCCAGGGTCGAAACCGAGGACATAGAAGACGCATCGGAATCTTTGCCACCCGTAAGACCACTAATCAGGTTCGATGCAGTTGAACTCTCCTTATTTTTCCGAGGCATCGGTGGAAGGACTTTGCCAGGAAGTTCTGTTCGTAGCCTCTTGTGAAGTCTACTAAAGTCGCCATATCGGCGTCCGATGAAGTATGGGATTTCTCCCTTCTTCTTGACTCGGAGAATGAATTCCTAAAGTGGTATAAGTAGTTGCTCCACGATTTGCAGCCATGATTGACTCACGGCATGTTTGTGGTATCTGATGTTTCGTTTGACTTTTGTCGTTCTTACACCCGCCACATTTACATCCCAACCATGCAAATAATGGCCTTCTGGCAAAGTCGAAAGAACTCCATGCTCGATAGCACCCGCATCGACAACTTCGAGTTCAGAGAACCTAATTCTTTCTTCATATCCTGAAGCCGTAGGTATACCAGATACTATCATCAACTCCACTAGCTTCTGACATTTCAGTGATAGCTTTCTGCGCTTTGTTTCTTCGAGCCTATCTTCGGATGATGAAATGTGCTTCTCAGCGAACGATTGTAGGAACTTGCATAACAGGTTCATTAGATGTGTTTCCTCAAAGATCTAGAGACTTTCTCCAACTCACCACTTGTAATTTGTCCTGCCAGAACTCCTTCTCCTTCGCCTTATCCAAAAATGGGAATTCACGAACATGATGTACGAATATGTATCTGAGAATCGGCAGCTCGGAATCTAAAGGAGACACTTCCCCGCGATCGGATTTGAATGGGGCGCCGAATCTCTGTAGTGCTGTGGGAGAATTTAACTCGGTGATTTCGAACTTCACTTGCTGCGAGATTAATTCACGTTTTAGATCTGTAGAGAATGAGTCAGTCTATATGCCAACAAAAGAGGGTAGGATTGCCAAATACATACAATGCTCTTGCTTTCCCGTAAGTGCTTGTCCTTTGTCATCTCCAAAGCCGCTTCTCGTGGGCGACAGTATGGCACCATTTTCTGCCATTTTGGGGGGAGAGGAAGGAGGAATAATGGGATTTCTTCCCTCAATCTTGTTTTCGTCGTTCATCGAACAACTGGTTATTTTTGAGGATTTTGTGGGATAGATATTTATCACGGAAATTGCGCGACTCCTAGATTCTTGCGATGTTGTTGCACGTTGAGGGATTTCAATGTTCCAGGATGTTTTAAGTTTTTGAGGTCGGATGCGAGGGGCTATGCAACTCGTAAAGAAGCTTACGGTGCAGCGGGGTAGTAGTTCATGAAGTGATGCTTTTTTTCTTCTAGTAATAACCTTTAACCTTTAGCAGCACAGGTAGAGATGCTCTTGCACCAAGGATAAATAAATTGGTATGTATGTCACCCACCACCATGAACGATTCTAAAAATAAATGAAGAAGAAAAAGAACTCAAATGACAAACATTTGTCGTATTTGACATTCACAACCGAAGGGGAATCCTCAGGTGTTATATATACACCATGCCATGTATTGATATTGGATGGGTGGCTGAGGGAAATGACGACTGATATGGATGTATTGTGTGCCGGTCCACGGTCCACGGTCCACGGTCCATGGTCCACGGCCCACGGCACCATGCCACCATTCTAGAATCCATAGGATCCATACGAGTAGAGTCCAAAGAATCCAAAGGGTAAGATAGATTCCAAGGTTGGTTAAATGTAAAGCGTTTTATCATATATATCATTGGACATGAACCCTGTATAATCATCTCGGCATTCGCCCGTCTATCCATCTACCTAGTACCTTTCTATAGACGTGAATCCTCAAAACTGCCTATGATTACATATGAGTGTCTCTCGTATTTGCGTACCGGTACGATTAATTTGAATGATATGTAATATTCAACAGTGCTAATAAGAAGATGGACGGTAAGATTACATAGATTGCCATGCTAGTTTTGATGTGTACCAGCATCCGCTGGCTCGGCATGTCAATATTATAAGTTATGGGACCGTCGACCCACTGATTTTGGGGGTCCCGTAAGGCGTAGTATACTTGGAAAAGTGGTACTATTCACAATTACACTTGGGCTGAGAGATGTAAGCCCGGTGCATACATTTTCGTGCCAATAGATTATAACTCATCGAGTACTTTAAGTCTCGGGTCCTCTGTCAACTTCTCTGCTTCCTTGTTGACTTCACTTCCAGGCGTTGAACTTTCCAATATATCGAGAGTAGGCTTCAGCATATTTCTGGTCTCATTTTGGGCCTTTTCCAACTCTCTCAGCGCGGTCGGATTAGAGATGTTGAATCTTACAGCGCCATGACCTTGCTCTTTTGAGGGAATATATGCCAAAATGACGATGGATAGTAAAATGGTTGCGCAGATCGACATCAGAATCCACATCATCTTTAGTCGCTTTCGTGTTTTGTCTTGCCATTCCCCCTCTGCTTGTTCCCAGCCCTTGACGCGCTTCCTCACAACGTCTACCCGTCCACTTAAAGTGTTGACCGTATTTCGTCCTTCCTTGACACGTTTCTCCAATGCTATGATCTTTTGTTCCTGTGCTTCGAATTCTTCAAATCCTTCTAGTTGTGCTCGACTTTCTTGGACAAGCTCTTCTCCCTCTGTCCTAAAATCCTCATTCAACTGTCTAGTCATGACTGCCAACTCTTTGAGGGATCCGATTGTCTTGTGAAGATCTCCTAATTTCTCCAAGACGGAATAGTATGTTGCATCTAAATGTCGGGAAGTATTGTCCGCCACAACGTTCACATCCGTTAAGGTATTTCGCAGCTCCCTAATCCAGCGCATTAGCATCAGAGAGTAGAGATGGTAAGTGAGACAAACGTAGCCATCATGGCGCCCTTCTGTTTTTCAGCTTCGAGTTCGCCTTCCCTTAGAGGCCTTCTCTCATTGTTCTTGAATAAATCGAAGCCATCTACAGTAGAACCCAAGATACTAGCCCTTCGACTTCCATTCCGGCTCCCATCAGGTGAAACTCCCTCACTTTTTGATTCTCCAGATGGACTGAAAACTCTCTGCAAAGTAGATTGAGACGATTTCTCGTCTTTGTCTCGACGATGTATGTGCGGATGGTGATGATGGTGGTGGTGGTGGTGGTGATGAGATCGGTGAGGTTTCAGGGGAGGAGATGATATCTCAGATACCGACCGTGTGACTTGATGACGAGTTTTCTTTGGAGAAACATATTTGGATCCATCACCGTTGGAAGACATGACTCTTTTAGTTTGTGATCAGATGTTGTTCCGTTTCATATTGAGGTTCCGATGAATGCATGTGCGAATGAAGCTTGTATGGTGAGATTTAATGACCATTGATGCAACTATAGGGCGGCCGTTAGCACATCGCTGTACGAATTTGTTCATCAAGGATACTGAGTAGATAAAAGGTAGGTATCTATGTTCAAAGTACAAGTTAATTAATAACTCAATCTAGAAGATATGATGGAAGATTGAATCCTTTGGTTATTTCTGATATTGTTTATCATTTATTTGAAATAGCTAATATACCCAAGGTTCTTACTCCTGATCGAAACTTGTTGAATCATTGTCGAAGTTTCTGTTTCGGCAATCCCATAACGTCCTCCAACTTCCAAAAAGCTTCGCTCAGTCCGAATTGACTTCATCCTCAATGATAGGAGATAGTCCTCGTTGGTGCTGCTGTATCCGACTTCTCAGTAGATAGGCATATATCATGCCATCAATAGCTGGATATTGCTCGACGTTCTATATATGACTTGCGCAAATCAACCACATCACCCATATCAACCGATTGCTTTCAATGCGTTCCAAGTTATTCCATGCGCCATGCTCCGTCCCCGAAGATTGTCTATCATGACTTCAACATCTTGTTTCTCTTCTCTCTTCTCTTTAATCGGTCGACACGCTTCTGGTGCATCTTTTCGGCCATTTTCTCGTATCGTTCTCTTTCCTCTTTATTGGCGCGCTTTTCCTTGATCTTTGTAATATGGGCCTGTAACAATGATTAGATTGAATCCGGAAAGAGCTGAAATGGCGCTGACCTGTCTTGCAGCTTCTTTCTCCTCCTTCATCTCCTTTTCTTTAGCCTTGGTGGCTGCTATAGCCTCGTCATTTGCCTTTCTCTTTTCATATGAGGTATTTCCAGCCTTTGGTCGGAAAGCTTTCTTGACAGGATGCCATTGTTTGCCTAAGTATATCGAATTAGAGACTTGTTGCCCGGGAAGGGATTGAGAAGTATCAATCGGAGCACATGCGTACCATTCTTGCGCATTCCTTGTGGAAGGACGGTCGACTCAGCTGCAGGAGCGGGAGGGGCCACTTCTGTTGACATTTTGATAAATGAAATCTTGGGCAAATATTGGGTAACAATCTGAATATTCGTATGTGAGAGGACAGAGGCTGAGGGATTTAATTTTGGGGCGTTATTGATTGTTCGTACACCAAATTGTTTGTGAACAGGAAGTCCAAAATTCTAAGCATACATACAGATTACGATGCAGGAACTTTTTTTTCTCGTTAACCATACCTAAGGTACTGATAAGCGTGATTGATTGCTTATCAGTAGAATGCACTAAAACTTTACTAGGTAATAGCTAAAACCTATCCGGACTTGTCTCTTTTTTCCCAAATTCTTTGAGCCAATTTTTTTCATTTTTTTTTCTTTTCATTATTAGTATTGTATTATTACCTAGGTAGGTAGGGAGGTCTCGAGGTAGTCAGTCCACCGACACCTTGAATCAATTTATGATTCTTTGATTGTTCTCGTTCAATGTTCTATTAATAATACATTAACTACCTAGATATACATGATGTACATGGTATGATGTATATAAAACTAGGTATATAATTAACGCATTCCTATATTAGAGACATTTGAAACTTCTTCATCAGATGTACTATGTACTATTACTACATTACTATTCCCACTAGTAGTATCCATCCTTTTCACTATCAGTACCTACAGTACTACCTACTGAGACTTCTTGATCTTGCCTTCATCATAAATCCCCAGCTTTATGGAAAACGCAGGACGGGACCGACTGCCAACCTGGAAGAAAAAGTTATTTAGATTGTGGAGACTTTCGCAGATTTTCAATCTGATAAAAAAATAGCTCCATCCTCCCCCCACCTCACTTGGAAAGTTGACAGACCCCCCCCAAAGATGATTCTACGATAATCGGACTTCCCTTGCCTATCCATGACATTCAAACCTTCGAAGTTACTCCACTACCACCACTCTCGAGCAACTACATATATATCTATTACCTTGGCACACCCAGTCTACGCTGTCTACCATGTGCTTCTAGCAATGTGGTTGGCTTGTTGGGGATCAATTCGCCCTTCTTCGTTTGTGGGTCGCACGCTGATTTTATAACTATTACGAGTTCACGGCAATAAATTACGAGAGAGTAAGAGAGACCTGGGTGCAACCCATCGTTGGAGAGAAAACCTTGCCCACAGAAGACCGGCGATATCTTGCAACTGTTATTCATTTGCAGCGTGGAACAGCAACTTCATTATCCACACGGCACACAAGGAATCCCAACTCTGCCGTGTCTCCTCAACTTATACAGAGTCATTCAAAACCCCTTCCTCCTTTTCGAACCCAATTCCCGATAGAAGTGGGAGAAAGGCGAACTCGAAGAATACACACATTGATACAGCCAAATAACGGTTCATCACTCTACCGGAAACAACTTCCTTTGTAAGCAAACTACGATACAGTCATAATGGCAGCAGCAATGACAGCGGACTTCACTCCCGACACACCACAGAAAGTAGTATCCAAGGGGAAAGAGGCTCTAATGAATTCTGTTGAGGATTGCCTCTACGGTTCCGTATGTTACACTCACAAAAACCGAGCAAGATAAATATTAACAAATGAGCAGATTGCTGGAGTGGCTGGAAAATATATCGAATATCCTTTTGACACAGTGAAAGTGCGATTACAATCACAACCATATCATCTCCCTTTACGTTATACTGGACCTCTCGATTGCTTTAAACAATCAATTCGCAGCGATGGGTTCTTAGGATTATACAGGGGCATCAGTGCTCCGCTAGTGGGTGCTGCTCTAGAGACTAGCAGTCTTTTCGTTTGGGAGCAAGCAAGTAGAGAAGCACTTCTCAAGGCTGGAGTCTACAAGAGAGATCAACCACTTCCTCTGGAGGCATTGTGGATGACGGGCGCACTATCTGGTGCCCTTACTTCTTTGATTCTCACTCCCATTGAATTAGTTAAATGCAAAATACAAGTTCCGGCGACCGCGCCAAATGGTTCAGCTCCTGTCGCTGCAAAAACAGTCTCATCGGTTATTCGCGAGGTCTGGCACCATCAAGGTATTCGCGGGTTTTGGAATGGGCAGCTAGGCACTTTGATCCGTGAAACAGGTGGATGCGCCGCCTGGTTCGGTAGCAAAGAGACGGTTACTTCTCTTTTTCGAAAGCTGAACGCTAAAAATAGCCCCCAAAGTCCTTCCTCCGTTCTATCTACTGAACTAGCACCTTTACCTTTCTGGCAACAAGCTCTCGCCGGTGCCTCGGCAGGCATGTCTTATAACTTTCTCTTCTTTCCCGCTGACACCATCAAATCTCGCATGCAAACCGCCTCTACTTCATCTACAGCACCACGCACCACATTCATCCAAGAAGGTGCTCTTCTTTGGAAAAAACATGGCCTGAAAGGCATGTATCGAGGTTGCGGTATCACGGTTATGCGATCAGCGCCTAGCTCGGCATTCATATTCATGATCTATGATGGATTAAAGAGTCGCTTCCATCTTTCTTAGTACTTATTCCCCATTTGATCACTTACGGCACGACGCGCATATACATAGCATTGGAATCTTTGCCGCTTTCCACTTTGCATATCACATTTTACCATACTAGATGGCCGGGTATACAAGAACGAACTCGGGTCTGGTTTTTTTTTTGGCTATCGGTTAATGGAAATGTTGAAAATTTGTTGGGGGCGGGCGTTGGAGAGGCGTTCAGGGATATTATATCGTAGATCTGTATAGTCGTTCGGTTGACTTGGAAAGGAGGGGTAGGGGTGAGAGTGAGATAAGCAGGGCTCAGGTGAATTCCTGGTTAGAATGAAGGATTCACAGATATCGTGTCGAGTTGAAAAAAACTCGAGACTGGAGCAAGTCAGCTTTTGAGCGTTGCATTTTGATATATATATTATAGATGGGACTGGATGAGATAGCATGGAGTAATGTGGGATTATAGAATTTAGAATTTTACAACTTGGTTTGAGAATAAAGTGTTTTGCTTTGTTTAGATTGGAGTTCTTGTGTGTGTTTGGCTTGGTTTGGTGTGTATGTGCTCTAGGTGATAGATATAGCAGATGTCTATGCATGGGAGTTCTAGATATATATATACAAATCCCAAAACTGGCATTCTCGATTCTATCGTCCACGGGTCTCAGACCAATAACAGGTACCTACTTAGGTATATAGGTACCAGATGTATTGTAAATGCTAGATAGAACCAGTATACGTATCGATTCTGAATGTATGCATGTATCTGGTGGGAAATGTATGGATATACCTACCTACAGATGGTCGCGCGATGAAGTACACGTGGATGCAGGTATGTATAGATGGCGATTAAGATTGTCATTGTCACAGATAGAGAGTATAGATACCTAATAAGTAGGTAGGGGAGTGGGAGGGTGTGAGATGTCATTTCTGGTTAAGAGGCTACTTATTTTCCCGTGATGTTCCTGAGAGTGGATTGTCACACCCGTTTGTACTCGTGTGTATTCAACAGCTTAGAGGACTTTGCGGAGCATTGGGTGGGGATATGATATTGTAGATATAACAGTACTCAAATTGTAGTCGAAAATAAGTAATTCATTCATGATTAAAAGCTATGGTATATTGTTATCTGAAGACGATTAATTCAGGACAGCGCGAAAATTTGCGTGGAATCATAGACTGGGAATTGGTTATTCGTTCATAAGATGATGAATCCTCGAGAAGATGAAGGATTGTGGATTTGCACACGCGTATGAATTTTCACGCGTACTTTGTGCACACTGATCCTCGGCTTCCTTGTGTCTCCTACTCTTCCTTCTCATCCACATACTTGGTTCCCTTTCCCTTGGGACTCTTCTCCACTTCCTTGTCGCTGAAGTTCCAATCGTTTAGATAGCCGGCTCCGGCGCTGAGATAGGTAGCGAATCCGAGCCAACCGACGTAGGGAGCGAGGGCCCAGGCGGCAACGGTGTCGACTTGGCCCCAGATGTAGGTGAGGTAGGAGACAGTTCCGGTGAGGGCGACAATGTCGACGGTGGCGAGGATGGGGCGTTTGAGGGAGAAGAAGAGGGGCATCCAGATTAGGTTGAGGCCGAGTCTGAGAGGGGGGGGGAGGGGAGTTAGTGGGGGTTTGGGGGGATGATTGGGAATTGAGGATTGGGAATTGAGAGTTGGGAAGTAGTGCACTTACTGAATAGTATACAGTGTAGCACCTTGTTTGAAAAGAAGATGTTTTTCAGCAGATGCCAGAGGAGATAATCCGGTAGAGTAGGCGCGGTAGGCAGAGTATCCCATGAGACCGTAGAGGAGAGTCCAGGCGGGACCGAAGACATAGGGAGGTGGACGGAATGGGGGTTGTTTGAGTGCCATGTAGGTCTTTTGAGTTTCTTTTGCTGGAGGGGTGTTAGTGGTTTGTTGAGGTGGTGGCTTGCTTCCTGTTGTAGAGCATCTTGTTGAGGATATAAGAAGAATAGAGATTCATAATGTATGATCTCGTCGTAGATGAATCAGCAATGGAATGGTAAAAGATTAATACGTACGTCGAACTGCGAAACCAATAGCAGATCCAAGAGTAACGGGTAAGAGAACCGAAGCACTTGGATTGGCAAATATGGCTGCTGGCAGCGTTAAGCTGGGAATGAAGGTCGTCATGATGGATGAATTGATTGAAGTTTTGATTGATGATGAAGCTGTTGATGACGGGGTGAAAGGGGTTTGAGTATCAGTTGAGTGGACGTTGAGTATTAGTTGAGTATTAGTTGAGTTGATGTTGTCTTTATGTCCTTCTCTGGTGGAGAAGTCAGTTCATCCCCTCAATGACGTACTGTTCTTGTTTATGCGAAAGCAGTAAAAGTAAGTATGTGGAGTGAGAAAGTTGAGGAACCTCGGTTGGTATGGGAGAGGAATGGGAAGGGGAAGGGGAAATTGATATATGATTGTATGGAGGGATTATGAGTTGATTACTGCGTATGAATGCTTTGTATATGCCCATCTACTTAATCATGATCTCTCCTCTTTCTTGTATGCTTCAATATGGTAACAATCATTTGTATGATGGATCTAGGATCTAGAGCACTCCCTCCTCCCTCCCTACCTGACTCGAACCTGGGTACCTAATATTTATTATCTACTATCTACTATTTACTATTTAATACCTATTATTTACTACCTACTACCTACTATTTACTACTTACTACTTATTATTTACTATTTACTATTTATTATTTACTATTTACTATCTATTATTTACTATTTACTATTTATTACTTACTACCTACTACCTACTATCTACTACCTACTACCTATTACCTACTATCTACCTAATACCAGTATCTAGCTTGAGTGAGAGCTTCAATTATTAATACTTGTGCTCGCAGCTCGTGACTCTATACTATTACTTCGTACTACTCTGTAGATCTCGATATGGAGAACTGCATTTGGCTGAGTTCGGGAATTGATGGGAATTGGGTGGATTTGATTGGCTCTTGATTGTACCTTGCTGGAAATCCTTGCTGCACTCGGGAGCCCTTTTTAATGATTGGCTGGAATGTGATAGATACATTGTTGATGTGAGATGGAGACCGTCGTATGATTGGTTGGAGTATTACTCATAACTTCATAAGCTTCTCACCCATTACGACCATGTCCACATATTTGGGCACAGAGAGCCAATCATGAGCTTTCACTGCAGCATCACGTGCTTTGCCGAGACAGACCATCCCATATCTGTCATCCTTACCGATCCACTTTCCGCAGGTGCGATGCTCCCTAGTCTCCTTCAAAGTTGGACTGTGCTACCTACCCTAATCACTCTTTAGGTAAAGTTTCTGATCAACACCACCTATGTACTAGGTAAAGTAGGTAATAAGCCATGTCGAGAAGCGCGAGAGCTTCCAATCCTCCGACCTCATTAATTAATCAACAACACCATCTATCCAATATTGACTTGGTAGAGGAGCTTTCTTCAAAACAACAGTTGATCATATCTGAATCTTGTTCGTCAGTCCTATTCTTCTATTCTTCTATTCTTCTTACACACTCTGGTCTCCCTCCCAAAAGAAAATGAAAGAAAAAAGAAAAAAAAAACACACAACACAACACAACAACACCATCGCACCTAGAATCCTTTTTCTACCCCCATTATTATCATTGCGATAACATACATAGCAATTGCTTTTCTTCTTCTTCTTCTTCTTGATCGATTCATTCAAAATCCATCTTGAAACCAAATCAAGTTGATAATATCGTATCACATCACATCACATCACATCAAATTCAATTCAGAGATCGCATATCCATCAACAACAACAAGTTGTCGTCGTGTTTTTTTTTACCTTGCCATCTATAGGCACTGAACTTTTTTATAATCCTCTTTTCTCTACTCTGCCTATTCTGCCTCTTGTCTCCCTGTTGATATCGCATTTTTACTTCCCCAATTCAAACATACACTTGTTGATTCTATTACATTTTGGAACAATCCTCTAACGGGCAATCATGTTATCAAACAGCAGTAGCTTCGTTGTCAACACCTCCTCCCGACAATCACCAGGTGTCACTTGACAATCGCAATCGACAAGAACCGATTACCTACATCGATTTCGTCAAAAGGGTTTCTAATAACGAAACGGTCCTACCAGAACGCCCGACTGGTCCATTGCCTGAATATCGAAAGAAAGCCAAAGGAGGAGTAATTTTGCACGGTACCAATTACATCATGGACGGCTACGGAAGTTACAGCAGAGAGCCACCACTCGCTCGCTCACCAACTGAAAGAACAAATTGGGCTGGACGTGATGATGGCTTCAGAAGTGTTAAGATTGAACGCGACGAGGGATTTAGAGGTACCAGACCTGACCGCGACCGTGAATCATTTCACCGTGGTAGATCTCCTGGTATGTCGCATTGTTTTCCTTATCTCTATGGTTTCACCTTTCAGTCCTTCGTTGTTACAATGTATCCGCTCCAGAACGATACCCTCATAAGTTGATATCCATATTTTATTTGCTCTCATGCTTACGTAGTTTTTTCTTTAGTCGGTGGTGATAGGCAGCGTCGAAACACACGCGACCGCGACCGCTCTAGATCTCCTGTAGACCGTTATGAACCTGTTGGTAGAGGAAGAGAAAGAGAACACGATTACAGATCGAGGGACCGCGAGGACCGAAGACGAGTGGCTTCACCCGCTCCAGCCAATATTGATCGATGGGTTCCTGGTCAAGATTCAGGTCCCCCTCCTCCAATTACTGTCAACCCACTTGCGGACCCAGTCATCCTACCTTTTCAAGTAGGCTTCTCATACTATGGAGAATGGTGGCGTACAAACGAAAAGATCAAGGAAGAAAAGGAGCGTATTAGATGTCACAAGCGTGGTGAAATTTTCAGACCTCGCGAAGAAGACCGCGATACCGAAAAGGCACGCATCCAAGTTGCTTATGACGCGTACAAAGAAGAGCTCCAAGCCAGGATGGCACGCACATTTGTGCAGGAGCACAAAGGTGAACAATGGTTCATGGAAAGATATGTACCGGAGATGCGAGACGCGTTACGCCTACAAGTCAACGAGTTCCGCCGCGGCAACTATAGTCAATGGGAACAAGACCTCGAATCCGGAACTTTTGATGAGTACTCTTTAGAAGGCATTCCAAAGAGCGAAAGTAACGGAACGGGTGGAGTTGTTGAAAAAGAAGAGGGAGAAACAACCGCGGCCAACGAGGTTCTGGGTGTTGGTGACTTGGTTCCCTCTAGAGGTGGTGATATCCGAGACGAGAACGCTTTCCAACCCACATTACTCATCAAGACGATTGCGCCACATGTTAGCCGTTCGAACCTGGAATCTTTTTGTAAGGAGCATTTGGGCGAGGATGAAGGCGGCTTCAAGTGGCTTAGTTTGAGTGATCCAAACCCAAGCAAACGTTACCATAGAATTGGCTGGGTTATGCTTCACCCTGCCCCTGATTCGGTTCCCGTTCTTGATCGACCTGAAATCAAAGATGATGAGGAGGGGGATGTCACTGCTGAACCAGCAGTCCCACTCACTACTGCCCAGAAGGCACTCGAGGCCATCAATGGAAAGACCGTCAAGGATGAAGTCAGGGGGGATTTCACATGCCATGTCGGTGTCCATGTCCCACCCAATCTCCCACGTAAGAAAGCGCTGTGGGATCTATTCTCCGCCCCCGAACGTATCGAAAAAGACCTTGATTTAGCCACTCGCCTCGTCAGCAAATTTGAAGAAGATTTCGGTTCAGACTTCAATGCTGTCTTGAAGATCGAGGAGAAAGTAGATGATCTAAAGAATCAAGGCCGTCTCCAACCACCAGTGACAGCCCCTACTCCAAAGAAAAGCAAGGCATCTAAGAATGGTCTTGGTCTTGACGAGGCAATGGATGAAGGTGAAGATTTCGAGGAGATGGAGGAAGGGGAGGAAGAAGAGGAAGGCGCTTTCGATTTCGAGGATGTTGACGACGAGGAACTTCTCGTCAAGAAGAAGCAGCTTGATCTCATGGTTGAGTATCTAAGACGTGTCTTCAACTTTTGTTTCTTCTGTGTATTTGAGAGTGACTCAATTCATGAACTTACTCGAAAGTGTCCTGGAGGACATCTTAGACGACCACGTAATACTCTTACCACATCGGCTAAAGCAGCAGCTCGCGCTAGTGCATTGGGAGATGTATTCCCTGGAAAGGTCAAGGTTGAGGACAAGATGGATGTGGATCCCTCCTCTCCGGATGGTGAGCGCAAAATCAATCCACGAAACAATATTTCCAAGGCAGAACAACAACTTCAACGCGCTTTCAATTGGGTCAGAACGTTTGAGGATAAGATTATGCAAATTCTGGATCCAGATAATGTGGATGTGCGAAAATTGGGTGGAAAGCCAACCGAAGAGGCTCTGAAGGAAGAATTGGTTAAATTCGTCAAGCAAGAAGATGACCACAAATTCAGATGCAGAGTTCCAGAATGTACCAAATTGTTCAAGGAGGAGCACTTTTGGAAGAAACACGTCGAAAAGAGACATCCTGAGTGGCTAGAAAGCATTAAGTCTGATGTAAGTTACTATTTCTACCCTTTCCCAACGACCTAAGCTCATTCACGTGTAGTTTGATCTGGTCAATACCTATGTTCTTGATCCTGCACACATCGCTCCATCGAGATCAGATGCCAACAGTAACGGGCATTTCCCTCCAGCCAATGGCCATATGCCAGCTGGTACTCCACGAGGCTTCAATCTTCAAAACTTTGGCATGAATGGAATCAATCCTATGACAGGCTTCACACCTTCTACCGGTTTCCCACCATTCCTTGCCGGACATGCTGTCCAATCACCCATGGGTTGGGTTAGTGGCTCGGATAACCGTGGTCCTGGTCCCATCAGAAGAGGTGCTGGTCGATATCAAACAAATAATCGAACTGGCCCTTATGATCGTCGACCCAATCAGAATCATCAAAACCGTGGGGATCCCAATGCTGGTAGATTAAGCCCTCTTACTGGTGGTGACCGTGGCGGTCGTGGAGGAGCACACCGTTTTGCGGGAGCTAATGCCAATCACCGATGGGGTGATGGAGTAGCACCGGGTGGTACAACTACCGGACCTCGGGAAGCAACAGCCGGTAGAAGCTTAAAATCTTATGAGGATCTTGACGCTGTTGCTGGAGCTGGATCCGGAGAATTAAATTATTAAATTCGAGGAAAGGAATTGGGGTGATTAAAAGTGATAGAAAGAAAATTGATATCTGGTGCTCATGGTAAATGAATACCATGAAGAATCTGATTGGGGACATCGGAGAAAATTTGGTAATGGAAAGTAGCAGTTTGCGTTTGCTTTTTCAAACTTTCTTTTTGGCGTTAAAACACATGTTGTGCAGGAAACAGTTGCTTTGTATTTTTGAAAGCTTGCATTATTCAATCGAGAGTCCTTTTTGCTGGTTACCTTCTTTGATGTATATTAAATTACGGACATGGGCTCTTTCGTATGCTTGTATTCTTCAAAATTAATGAGATAAATTTGCAACAGTATTGATGATGACTACTTATTGACGTGTTTTCGGGAATTGTATCCATCAATTTTGTGAATTGAGCTGGATTGGGAAGACTTCTGATTGATGTATAATTGAGCTTTGGGGTGAAGATGATTTGGATGTAAATGATATTTATCCCACCCTGACACTCCCAAGAATGGATTCGATGAGTGGGATGATCAAGGCCATATGAGGTTACTATACGTCCGTCAGATCTTAATATTAATGTTTGTTGATTAGGATTGGACTGGAAAATCCAATTTGCGGCACAGTAGACTCCCTGGTAGATAGCAATGGCTTTGAGTGATGAGGGAGTGTAGGTAGGTCGGTCGGTGGATAGGAAGGCAGGAAGAGAGACAGGGAGAAAGGGAGAGTCGAGGTGGTTTTATGTTTTATATTGGAAATCTGATGGTGGTATTGGTATGTATATAGAGAGATGATAGAGAAGAGAGAGTCTTCAATGATTCTCTTCCCCCCGAACTAAAGTCGTCTAGAACCTACTTATGTATTCTTCGTGATGATACTCGGGTACATGTATTCCACATTGGCATTGTATTGCATTGTTCCAACGAGAACGCATGACATTTGATATTGATAACATTTCATCATTCATCGGCAACACATACAACACGTGATATAAACCCATTGTAAAATAAGACAAATTGGGTCTAGCGTGTGTCTCAATGCCAAAATTCTAAGGTTCATCATCGTTTTAACCCCTGAAACTCTACTTATTACACCGCCGCGTTATCTCCCTATACAGACATCCCCCACATTCAAAATCAACCAAAGAGGACTTTGCGAAATTCGAATTTGAACACTTGCCAGCAAATCCACTCTTTCCCCCCCAAAGAATACCCAGTATTGCTGAGATCGCGCAAAGGGAACGAACATCTTTTGCCAAAGCTCAACGACGTCGACGCCTTCAACTGATTAATCTCTTCCCTCCTTCTCTGCCATTGACATTCCCATTTACTTCGAGAAAAGGATAATTCAAGATGACTCGCGGAGAGGTAAATATACAAATCAATTCTTATTGGAAACCACACAGCTACACTACTTCCCTCGAGTAGTGTATCTCTTCTCTGCTTATTGATTCAATGTTTTTGCGTCGCAATGATGTGATTGGTAATTGACAATTCATCTATTATAGATTCTTCACCTTCATATCGGTCAAGCTGGTACTCAGCTTGGTAACAGTGCTTGGGAGTTGTAAGTTGATTAGACACCTCGAGTACACTCGGTTGTATACTAATTTCCCTCTTTTTCAGATATCTGCTTGAGCATGGTCTCTTACAAGATGGTCGTCCTGATCCCGAGGCAAAGGCCGTCCACGAATCTGGTGAGCTCGATACAGTCTTCACTGAAACCGGCAATGGTAAATATGTACCTCGATCCATCTTCGTCGATCTCGACCCATCTCCAATCGACGAAATCCGAACTGGTGATTACAGATCCCTCTTCCATCCCGAACTTTTGATCAGTGGAAAGGAGGATGCTGCCAACAACTACGCTCGTGGTCACTACACAATTGGAAAGGAGATCTTGGATGGTACTTTGGACAAGATTCGTCGCGTTCTGGTAAGGGAATACTGTATGTGTCTCTTGGTGGGCGTTACTAATCTTCTACCCCCAGGATAACTGCTCTTCCCTCCAAGGTTTCTTGATCTTCCACTCTTTCGGTGGTGGAACCGGTTCTGGTTTCGGATCTCTCTTGCTTGAGCGTCTCTCCACCGATTACGGCAAGAAATCTAAGCTCGAATTCGCAGTTTACCCAGCTCCAAGAGTTTCTACCGCTGTTGTTGAGCCATATAACGCTGTTCTCAGCACCCACAGCACCATCGAAAACTCCGACTGTACCTTCTTGGTTGATAACGAGGCTGTTTACGATATCTGCCGTCGCAACTTGGACATCCCTCGTCCGTCTTTCGAGCATCTCAACAGATTGATTGCTCAAGTTGTCAGCTCCATCACTTCGTCACTTCGTTTCGATGGTGCTTTGAACGTCGATCTCAATGAGTTCCAAACTAACTTGGTTCCTTACCCAAGAATTCATTACCCATTGATCAGTTACGCTCCAGTCATCTCTGCTGCTAGAAGTTCCCACGAGAGCTTCAAGACTCAAGAATTAACCCTCCAGTAAGTTTTCCCCATTTTAGTATTGATATATTATACTAACTTCATTTAGATGTTTCGAGCCAAACAACCAAATGGTTGTCTGCGATCCCCGCAACGGAAAATACATGGCTGTTGCCCTCCTTTACCGTGGTGATGTCGTTCCCCGTGACTGCAACGCCGCTGTCGCTTCCCTCAAGGCCAAGACATCCTTCAACCTCGTCGAATGGTGCCCAACTGGTTTCAAGCTCGGCATCAACTACCAAAAGCCTATGTCCGTTCCATCTACCGCACCAAACGACGGGGCCCTCGCCTCAGTCGATCGTTCCGTCAGTATGTTGTCGAACACCACCGCTATTGCTGAGGCCTGGTCAAGATTGGATCACAAGTTCGATCTTATGTACAGCAAGCGTGCTTTTGTGCATTGGTACGTTGGTGAGGGTATGGAAGAAGGAGAGTTCAGTGAAGCAAGAGAAGATTTGGCAGCATTGGAGAAGGATTACGAAGAGGTTGCTGCTGACAGCTTCGATGCTGAAGAGGGTGAGGCTGAGTACTAAGTTATTCAGTCCGTATATGACATTTTGAGCCTTGCGTCATTGTGATCCATATGGAGTGGTTTGTGTTCTGCGAATATCCGAAAATGAGCGTCTGATTATTCGGTGAGGTTGGTAAATGAATGGAGGGATGAGGTAGAGCGTGTTTTGAGTTGGGAAATGAGAGGGATGAGATGAGATGAGGTATTTTAGTTTGCTAGATGATATTATGAAAAGTCGATATGCAATATAAATATGATTCTCAATGACAGAAGTGATTTCAAGTGGTGCAGTGTATTGTGCGGGAACCCTGAATCGCTTTTGTTAGAAGAGTTTTTGGGCTCTAAACACTACTAGGTATGTGTGTTTAAGACATTAAGTATTGTCTTGTCTATCGTCTGTCGTCTATCGATACATCTAGGTACATAGGTATACCATCTAAGACATTCAATCACTCGCTTAATAGGTGTAGAGCACTAGACGAGAGTCGATCATTCTTCCATTGTATTTGTTTTTCTGTCTCAGTACGAACATCCAACTTCATCCTTTTTGGTATTGTGAGGTGGAGAGAAAAGGGACTTGTACAATTGCATATCTCTCCTACGCTGTCCACTTGAGAGAATTTTCCCCGAACGAAAAGGAGCTAATAGAATCGTTTCGATTGTGAAAGATTTGGGAGCATGAGAGATGTCGCTCCATCGAATAGAAAATTCTCTGGAAATCTGTATATTCGATTCGATTCCTGGGGGGGAGAAGAGAGTTTACGCAGATGCTGTCAAGCGAAACTGTATGAACACTGATCATTAGGATCTAGTGAATAGCTTCAATTCATTAGCTACTGTATTGCAGTCTTTAGCGAATGCGGGATATAGTAGCCTCAAGCGAAAGCAGAAGAGACTAGTTCCTTTTGTAGTGGCTATATAAGATCTACAACTTCCTGTATTTAGCTAGCTCTTTAGATAGGATATAATATAGATATTTAGGATTTATGAATACTATAGGTGCTACGTCTTCCGTATCTTTCTCGAACCAACAGAAACCATTGGAATTTTTTGATAATTTGAAATATTTTAATAATTTTACTTTTTAATATTTAGTTATATAGCTTTAGGTAGTGTTTAATAGTCGAATTAAAAACTAATCGATAGTATTTCATATAATATTAGTGGCCGGTAGTATATAAAATACTAGTATTTAAAATATTTAAATAAAAGTATGTTTGTAGTTAATATAGTGTTACGGGAGCTGCCTCTAGGGTCACGTGGAAGTGTCTAGAGATCTCTCGAGGTGGTTTAGACTAGACTTCAAGTAGGAATTCAATAAGGTTGGTAACTGGTTGCAATTCTCGTAACTATAGTAATGAAACTAATGATTGTTCTTGAGCACGAAGCTCTACATTGTAATGAAATCCCATTCTTTATATAGACCTTCGTGCTTTGTCCTGGTCCCTGGGACCTCTCCGATATGTTGGATCGTTAAGGATCGCAACGCGCTCCAGGAGCGCTGAAGCTCCTTGACGCTCCATCACGTGCGATTTATGTCATGTGACGCGGTGTGTTGGATGCCGTCGTAACATATAGAGATCTCTTTTACTTAATCTTTCAATATATTATTATTATTATATTTATTATTATGAAATTTTAAATTAAAATTCATTTTGTGATCATTTTTTAATATTTTCTATTTAATTCGATTTTTCGATTTTTTTCTCATTTCTTTATATAATTAAATTAATAAAAGATATATATAACTATATATAAATGAGTTTCTAGGTTTCACAAAATGAAATACATATAATCAATAATACGTCATATAAAAGTTTTGTGAAATCCAATGTATAAGTGTCTTCCGCTATGCTTGTGAGTGTGTGGTAGTAAGGATATATTACCAAACAGTGATCTGTTCTCCAACAATCACTAAATCATTCATGGTTCAGTGGTACCCCGACCTGATTGAGTTCACTCGATTATCACTCTCGGTCGTCTAGTTGGTTTATGACGTCAGACTGTAATTGTATATTTAAATCTGGATGTCGCGTGTTCGACTCACGCCTGAGAGACTTACCTTTTGCATTTTTTGAATTGGTTTTAGATGATGTTGTTGGAAGACATTTCTTCTTTTTGGAGGAGATGGATGGCGTGGATGGCTCGGGCGGTTGGTGGTGGGGTATTTTGATATCACGTGTTGATAAGATAATGTTTCAGAATGCTATGATATGAAGATATTCATATCTAACTACAGTAGACTCTGTGGAATGAATTCATGATGATTTTATTGTATATCAACTATCAGTATTATACCGCTCATGCTAATTACATATCTTCTAACGCTAGCAATATCTTGACGGCTATGTTGAAGAGCTAAATAAAATAAGAGGTTGAGTATGCTAGCATATTATGATATTAAAATGATTCCACATTCTTTAAAAGAGGTTGGGGCGTTGTAAGATCTTAGATCATCCGACATTCACCCGTATATGAGTCGCACTCACTTCACCGGCGCGGGGAAATTTAAATAATTTTTTTGTTTCCTCTTTCATCTCTAACCCCGCCATTCCCTCAGAATTATATATTGAAAATTCGAACAATTCTCGAGTTGTGCTTCATCGCACAACAGGCAGAGACAGGATGGAATACCTTAAATTGCCTGGAGATTCTTGCTTCACTCCAGCTGAGGCGACAAAGCTCGCGGCTAGAATCAATGATCTTTATCAAGTGGAGGTAGAACTTACGGGTGTTTGGATTCATTATACACATTTGAGACACTCGGATCCAGAAACTGAAGCCAAGATTAAACAATTACTTCCAGTCTCAGGAGTGGATTTGGAGGCTAAGCTGGGAAGCAAGATTTATTGTAAGTCGTCACTTATTCAATGTCTGACACAATTCTGGGCATTGAAAAGTGGTTATTGAGGGTTTCAATGCGCGCACGCCATAGCCCCTCGTTACCTTTTGCATACTGCAGTGCAGTGTAGGCAAACACTAACTCTCCAATTCACTAGACGTTACTCCAAGAAATCTTTCTCCATGGAGTTCCAAGGCTACAAATATCGCACATGTCTGCGGTCTCGAATCCCAAGTTCAAAGAATTGAAAGAGGTCGGGCTATTTTGATAAAATTCGCGGAACCATCTGAGGCAGAGGTGAGCACCAGTGATTTCATATCGGTACAAATTCCCTGATGTGGAGAATTATTTGGAGATTCATTTCTATCTGGATGCTCAAACCAATTACTGATTTCCTAATTCTCAAGAGGGAGGATTTACCATTCAAAGATATCCTTTACGATCGCATGACCGAGAACATCGGTGCCGAAGAACCAGATGTGCACAAAATCTTCGAAGAAGGAGAGCCAATTCCCTTGGAAGTTGTTGATCTTTGGGTAGAGGGTTCAACACCAATCGAGGTTTTGAAAGCATACAACGTAAAGCGTGGTCTCGCTCTAGATACTCCAGAGATGGAATACCTTGTCGAAAAATATACCCAACATGGCAGATCACCTACCGATGTCGAATTGTTTATGTTTGCGCAGGTCAACTCTGAGCATTGTAGACATAAGCAATTCAATGCGAACTGGACAATCGATGGCAGGGGTATGGATATGAGTTTATTTGGAATGATTCGAAACACCCACAAGAAAAATCCAGATTTCACCGTGTCAGCTTACAGCGACAATGCTGCCGTTTTACAAGGAGAGATGGCTAGTCATTGGGCCCCCGAATACTCTACTGGTAGTTGGAAACAGACTCCCGAGGTTGTGCACATCCTAGCGAAGGTGGAGACTCATAACCATCCCACAGCAATCTCACCTTTCCCAGGAGCAGCAACCGGTTCGGGTGGAGAAATCAGAGATGAAGGTGCCGTGGGTAGAGGATCCAGCCCCAAAGCTGGTCTTTGCGGATTCTGGGTTTCAGACCTTTTGATTCCAGGACATAAGCAACCATGGGAAATGGATGTTGGCAAGCCAGCACATTATGCCAGCAGTTTGGACATTATGTTAGAAGCACCAATTGGTAGTGCCAGGTTCAACAACGAGTTTGGTAGACCATGTCTTGCTGGAACCTTCCGTACTCTCCTTACAGATGCAGATGCCTCAACGGACGAGTTCCGGGGATACCATAAGCCTATCATGATCGCTGGTGGACTCGGTACTGTTAGACCAGAACATGCTATCAAGAATGGTGATGATGTCAAACCAGAAGCTCATGTAATTGTTCTTGGTGGCCCAGCAATGCTGATTGGTCTTGGTGGAGGTGCAGCCTCAAGTAACACATCTGCGGGAGAAAGCTCAGTTGAGCTTGACTTCGACAGTGTTCAACGAGGAAATCCAGAAATGGAAAGAAGAGCACAGATGGTTATTGATCACTGCAGAGCCTTGAAGGATGAGAATCCTATTGCGTTCATCCATGATGTCGGAGCCGGTGGATTATCCAACGCTTTACCGGAGCTTGTTAAGGATGCTGGATATGGTGGTAAATTCGAGCTTAGAAATGTCGAGAGTGCGGACGGCAGTATGAGTCCTTTACAAATCTGGTGCTGCGAAGCTCAAGAACGTTACGTCTTGATTGTCAACAAGGAAGATCTTGGTAGATTTACCAGCATTGCCAGTAAGTTTAGTCTCAAAATGTAGTAAACTTATACTAACCATTTACAGAACGTGAACGATGTGGCTTCTCCAATGTCGGAACCGTTGTTCCCAAGGATCAAGATGGAGTTGCCAAACTTGTGGTAACTGATCGAGATTCTACAGAGCACCCTACACCCATCGATCTCCCTATGTCTACATTGTTCCCCAAGGATAGGAAATTAGACAGAATCGTGCAGTCCAGAAAGCCACAGCTTCTCCCATTCAACGCAGAGAAATCTCTGAAAGAAGCATACCCCCAAATTCCCGATCATGATCTCTTGAGGATGGCCATCGAGCGCGTCTTCTCTCTTCCATCTGTTGGCTCCAAATCTTTCCTCATTACTATCGGTGATCGTTCCGTTGGAGGTTTGACCGTTCGCGACCAAATGGTCGGACCATGGCAAACCCCTGTCGCAGACGTAGCTGTCACAGCTAGTGCTCTTAACATTGGTGGCAAATTGAAAACTGGTGAGGCTATGGCCATGGGTGAAAAGCCTACGTTAGCTTTGATCTCGGGTGCAGCTTCGGCTAGAATGGCTGTTGCCGAAAGTTTAATGAACATTGGTGCAGCACATCTTCTCGGCAACTTGCCCCGTATTCGTTTATCTGCAAACTGGATGGCCGCAGTAAATCAACCTGGCGAAGGTGCAGCTTTGTATGAGGCAGTTCAAGCAATTGGAATGGATCTCTGCCCTAAGTTGGGAGTTAGCATCCCTGTCGGCAAGGACTCTACATCAATGAAAGCCTCGTGGAAGGATCAGAAGAGTGGAGATTCCAAAACTGTCACAGCTCCTATGACTGTGGTCATTTCAGCCTTTGCACCAGTCGCCAATGTCCGTAACACATGGACACCCGCACTCAGAAGATTTGAAGATGTCGGAGAGACTACACTGGTGTACGTTGATCTTGCTCAAGGTCACAAGGCTATGGGTGGATCGGCACTTGCGCAATCTCTTGGTCAAGTTGGAGATGAAGCACCAGATGTCAGAGATACTGATCTCATCATTGACTACTTTGATGCTTTACAACAATTACACGAGTCAGGAGTTGTGTTAGCCTATCACGATATTTCAGATGGTGGTCTATTGACTACCGTCGCCGAAATGATGTTTGCTGGACGATGTGGCGCTGAGATCATGCTTGATGGAGTATCTAAGAGCGCATCCCCATCTCACGTCATCGAAGCTTTGTTCAACGAAGAACTTGGTGCTGTTTTCCAAGTTCGAAAATCGGACGAGGTTAACTTTATGAGATGTTTTGCTACTTGTGGTCCTCCACCAGGACTCGTCAGAAAGATTGGACGAGTACCAGCTGCATCGAAACAACAACTCGCCATTCGCTACGGACAGAAACCAATCTTACACATGTCAAGATCTGAACTTCAACAACAATGGACCAAGACATCTTACCAGATGCAACGTCTCAGAGACAATGTTGATTGTGCTGACGTCGAATTTGAGAATATTAAGGATGATCGCGATCCTGGTCTCCACTATACCCTTACCTACGAACCTAAGGAGAACATTCTTCCATTGACGGCATCAATCACATCCACCTTCTCTAAGGCACCTCGCGTAGCCATTCTCCGTGAACAAGGAGTTAACGGACATGCCGAAATGGCATTTGCTTTCAAAGCCGCAGGATTTGATGCTATTGATGTACACATGACTGACATCATTTCTGGACACTATTCTCTCGCTAATTTTGTTGGTATTGCTGCCTGTGGTGGTTTCTCTTACGGTGATGTCATGGGTGCTGGTCGTGGATGGGCAAATTCCATTCTTATGCATGAACAAAAAGCTCGACCAGAGTTTGAGAACTTCTTCAAACGCCCTGATACATTTGCATTGGGTGTCTGTAATGGTTGCCAAATGCTTAGTCGCATATCTGAACTTATTCCTGGCACTTCTCATTGGCCTGTCTTCACCGATAACCAATCTCAACAATTCGAAGGCAGAGTCAGCATGGTAAAGATCCAAGACAATGCCAAGAAACCATCTGTATTCCTCCACGGTATGAATGGTAGTTCCTTGCCTATCGTCGTTTCACACGGTGAAGGTCGAGCTTCGTTCAAAAATGACACAGATTTGGGAGCTTTGAACTCGGATAATCTCATCCCAATCAGATACACAGATAACTTTGACAAACCAACAATGAGATACCCATACAATCCAAACGGCAGTCCTGAGGGTATTGCAGCAGTGAGAAGTTTGGATGGAAGAGTTTTGGCTATGATGCCTCACCCGGAGAGAACTATCATGGCAGATGTCGGTAGTTACATACCAAAGGAGAGTGCAGAGGAGTGGGGAGAATTCGGTCCTTGGGTTAGAATGTTTAAGAGTGCTAGAAGATGGGTCGGCTGATTGGATCGTTGCGATATGAGATGATATGAATGGGACATATGGATAAAAAATGGCTAGAATTGGGTTAAGATATCATTGCATGTATGCTTGCATTATTAGTGTCGATGGAGTTTAGGGGTGGATATTGAGATAAATGGTTGTCACGCGAATATTGAAAAATTGGGCTCTTCTTTTGCTTGTTCTTGGTGTATTGGAATTAGATGTGAAATCTGAAGTCCTTTGGAGCTATTTACAACCCTTTCTGGAAAACCACCTAGTCAGGGACTTTCTGGATAAGATAAACGTCACTCTACGTCCTTCGCCCTTGTTTGAATGCATCGCATTGCCGTCTCTTTTCTTGTGCGACCCTCAACTGGAGAGAGAATTCAATCCCATGCCTAGTATTCGAATCATTCGTGGGTACCTACTGTGGCGTGCCGAGGCAAGTATGACTACACTACGGCATTGCACTTTCTTGCGAATAATATCTGGGGTTCCAGTAATCGCTATGCTCACGTTGTTCGAGGTTCAGTTTTAAGTATATTTAAGTCTCGCCCGTAGTAATAATCAGCAGGGCTACTTGCTGATTTGGGGGTTGGACGATTGAAGGATGTATATATAAGGTGGTGCGATATGTGTAGTAGAGCAGTAGATTGATGGGGCGCATCTACGAGGTAATTTAGAATCCCCATCCGTGGGTTTTGTCTATGAGGGTATTAAGGGAGGCTGAGTTGCTAAGATCTTGGCATTTAGAGTCGTATATAAAGGTGCCGTGTGGGTTATTAGACGTGCTAGAGAGGTTGCTGTAGAGAGCTAATTGCCGACTCCCGAGTCAAATGATAGTTGCATTGAGGATGTGAATGGAGGATATAGGGGATTAATTTGCTCGATAAACCCTGGAGCACACTTCTCCCCTCATGCCCAAATCAAAAGAATCTTAGCCAGCGTTCTGAGCCCTGAGACGCTTGATAATTGCTTCATCCATATCATGTTTGTGTTCGAGGTGGGCAATCTTCTGTTGAAGCTCTGCAATCTTTGTATCTTTGGTTTGAAGAGCTACGCGTGTGATGTCCCGACCTTTCACGATACCCGATATTTTTAACGCGTGTCTGGCTAACATTTGACGTAGTTGAGCGGAGACTTCATCGTCGATATGTTGATCCTTGAGGAGATTCATGATGTCTTCCGACATGTCGTAGTTTTGCGGCGAATCACCTGTGCTGCTTTTTGAAGGAGAAGCCATGAACTTGGGAGGTGGAACTATCGTAGCATCTTTGAATCTCATGGTTGAAGGTGTCTCCGCTGGACTGAACAAAACGGATCGTTCATTCCCATCCCGCATCCCACCATTTATTCTTTTGCGGCTTGTAGAAGGAGTGCCAAAAATGTCTTCGTCCCGTGTACCTCTTGTCGTAGGCGTAGGATACATATTGGCACCATGACTTTCTCCTTCGCCCCGCTTTCTTTTGCTTCCCGGTGTTGCTGTCTTGCCATCCATCCTCCCCTTTCTTGGAGTCTCTGGAAAGCTTCCAGGGTCCGTTCTCTCAACAGTCTTAACCACTTTCTCCTCATCTTCTTGAGTTAAAGGCCATGCCCCGAACTCATCATCTTCCTTCTTCTCAATATCTTCAAGCCATTTATTACTAGCAATCGCATGTCCTTCCAAGGTCCTTTCATCTTTTGATGGAGTCACTGGTGAGCGCGGTTCAGGTGTATGAGGCTCCGTTCTTGTATTGTTCAGAACTGCGCCCATCTCTCTTCCTTTGGCTTTATCATCCCATAAAAAGAATCCGCAGCTAGAATCTTTTGGTTCTTGACATGTGTAGAACCATCGTCCTTTATTTGCTCCTTCTTTCTTCACTTGGAATCTTACAGCGGGTAGTCTGGGGTTGCAATTACCTGTCGCTATGTTAGCTAAATGAAAAATAGATATTTCGTTTTGAGGTAACCCACACTGCCAGTTGCCATCAGAAAAGAGTCCATTCAAGGCAACCTTTGTTGGCGTTGCTTTGAATGGCGGTGCTCTTGATGGTGTCGCTTTGGATGGCGTTGCTTTGGAAGGTGTTACTTTAGATGATGTTGCGCCATTGCGCTTTTGAGGTGTGTTGAATACACTGTACATTGTCTATTAGTATAGGATGGAATTAAGTGTAGCAAATCTTTCAAATGATCATCTTCATTTCAAAGAAGTGGTGGTGATGAAACATTTCCCCTCTTGTTGACATCGTCACCATCGCAACCATTGGATGAATGACTTTATCCGTTATCTTATCGGAGAAGTCGATCTAGAAACTGCATCAATGAATATCGGATTCCGGATAAAGTCAAGTACCGAGCAGGAAAATAAGGGTATTATGTCATCAATTAATGGGATTCATTAACTTAAGTTATCTCCAAATTAATTATTGTTGAATCTGTTGATTTGACACAACATCTAATTCAATTCTTTCCAATTGTCATTGTCAATCATTTTTTCGTGTCTATGGACTTTTTATTATAAAATCCCTCACGTCTGCCATTCCTGGCTTTGAATTGCCAAAACTACCACTGCCAACATGGGCCTCGTTTCATTCATCACTGGCTATATAGCCCCTATGTTTATCATAATATCTCCCATAACGTCGTATGCGGATCAGACATACTCGATACATAGGAATAAGTCCAGTGCGGGATTTTCTTTAGATATCCCTTTGATCATGCTTGTAGCATCGTTTTTGAGGTACGCTGTCCTGCAATGAGCTTCGAGAGACTGATGCTAATCTTCATTGTAGAGTTTTCTATTATCCTGGAGCCCATTTCGATACTTCCTTATTGATACAGTCATTCATTATGATTGCGATGCAAACTATGTTATTGAAGGTTGCGCTTGATCATCGACCATCACCATCATCGAAAGGAGGAGATGCGGCCATACCATTTGCTGGGCACAGAGAAGGGGATGGAGCGTCAAGACCATATAACTTCTGGCAGTGGCGTTCCCCAAAACCGTACGCATTGATTCACTGTGTTGCTTACCAAAGGGTTACATGATGCTAACGAGAAAATCAACAGTTACTGGCAATTCCTCCTTTACCTATTCATAACTCTCATCGCATGCGAACTTATTCTCTCTCCAGCTCCATGGTTCTATTCCGTCTATTCTGACGCGATTGGCTACATTGGACTCGGTGTAGAAGCAACCCTCCCAATTCCTCAAATCATTGCAAACTACAAATCTCGATCCTGCAAAGGTTTCCGTTTTTCAGTCATGGCCAGCTGGATTGCCGGTGATATAATGAAGATGTTCTGGTTTTTTACTGCCACAAGTGCGATACCGTGGGCTTTCAAACTTTGCGGAATGTTCCAAATGTGCTGCGATTTGTTCTTGGGGTTGCAATTTTGGATGTATGGAGATGGTGATGGAAAAAAGAAGGATGACGACTTTAGAGCACCAATTGGGGAGAAAGACGGCCGGTTATCATGAGATGAAGGAGCCAAGATTCAGAAGTAGGGGGAGAGCCGAACAAAACTGACATATATTTGTTATGAACAAGCGAGACGAACGAACGAAACTAGAGATGAAAATGACGTGAAATGTTAGTTAGAATACATAATGAAGTTGGAGGATTTTCAAACTTATTAGAAAAATGTTAACGGTACATAGAAATTCAATCAAATCCCTTTATTGAAGGAAATTTTCTCTTGAAAGTAAGCGGACTCCTCATACCCTTGGAATCAATCACAATTGCTTCATCTTGGACTGGTCATGAGGAGTGATTTCCATATTGGTGACACGATTGACTTTCGAGAGCCTGCCAGCGTGTAATCAAAGATCTTTGCCAAGTGAGAGGAATCATCGAGTACTTAAGTAAATTGTAATCTTGGAGGTTGCTATCCGGCTTGGCACAAATGCTTCGGCTCATTTCTTGGAAGTTAGACGTCGCGTATTTAGTTAGTGCTTGAGTCATTTCGTCTAATATACGTTCTAGTTTCATCTCACTCAGTATTAGTGAGAGTTTATTCTTCCTTTAAAATGATTGAAAATAGATGAAGAAGTTTCCATCGTTAAATCCATGTAGCTAGATTCGAAGCTATGTTCACTGGTTGTTGTAGTGCTGAAACATCAGATGAACTCTCTACCGTATATGTTCATCTAATATATATATGATCTTATCTTTGGATTTTTGTCGGTTGAAGCCTTTTTGACGTAGTTTGATAATCATTTCATATATCAGATGAGTGTTTACAATGGCCTATAAATAAGCCAATAAATTAACACTCTACCTTGATCAATTCTATTCATTCCAAGATGAGGGACCCCTCAATGGTCTCGTAAACAGGCCTGGAAGAGGCTGGTCTCTGTCCAAGTAGCAACATCGAATCTGCTATACTTTGTGTCTTCATTGAGCGACCGCGGAATATATACTTGCAACGACCTTCATGCATTAGATGACTACTCGTCGATTGTGAATCTGAAGATATGAACTCATTGCTAATATCTGTCCAAAAGTTTTTTTTGTATCCGCAACCAGTTTTTCTGTAATTTCTAAAGAAGAGTTGACAGATCTATTCCAAAAAGTATGTACGAACTTACTTCCTTCAACTCCTTTACTCACAAAGACAACTGATACCGCATTGCTATATTAGTGACTTGCAGCGAGGGGCCGTACACTTGAAGAATGTTCGAAATCAAATCGTCTTGCTCAGCATCTCGCAAACCATATAGCCACTAGATCCTGCACTCTCTATTCTCTCAACTATCCATTTATCGTTAGCTCTCCATCAAATAACTGATTTTCTATCACTATAACCTTCACTCCTATCTTTATGTTCCATCTCATGGGTTCAGTTACACAGCTTTTATATTGCACACACAAAAACTTGTCAGTTGTCTTGCATTCATATTTTCGAACCATTTGTGCCATTGCAATTGATTGCGTTCTCTATTCTTAGTTCTATATCAACTTCAAAGTAGTTTATGAACTATCCATCAGATGTACGTCAAATTTACCTTCTACTCGCCAGCATTCACGAACATCCTTAACCGTAATATGAATAGCCAAAAAGTCTCATTGTTAGTCCGTAACTAAGCGATTTATAAGGAAAAGATAACAGGCCATGCTCGTTAAACATTTTAGTGGATGTTTATTTACTACTGATTTTCTTCTGAGCGACTGATATATACACAAGGTTAAACAAATCCAAACCATCCAATTGGCTGTCCCAGTTCTCCAAAGTATAAACACCCGTTCATACCCCTCAAACCCCAACCACAACCAATCTAGCAACATTAATATTCTCTCAAAGTACCACATTCAATTCTCACCGACTAAAACCCTCCCACTCCATTGGCTCCAAAGCATCCCGCCAATAAATTCCCAAGCCTCGTCTGTGCGAGCTCAAATGAGGGGTAAATTTAGCGGGAATGTAACAAAGGAGGGGTAAGCAATATCGAACCATAAAATTCAATAATGTAGCTGAAGCTCTCGACATAATTGAAATCACTCATTCTTTTATTTATCGCAACTGTAAAGTCTTGAATGTTCTCCATTGTGAAGAAATATTAATTGAACCATTGCGAAAGATGAGAGGCGTAGTAATCAAAGCCCGTAATTCCCCATGGGAAGTCTCGAATGATCTCGAGAGACCTGTTCCGGGAAAACATCAGGTTTTGGTGAAATCGCTGGTTACGGGGATTAATCCTTTGTAAGTTCTACATCTCTCACAATCCTCTCTCTCTATCTCTCCTCTTCGCAAATCACCAATCCTACCGCTTTTCCTCACGAGCACACCACTAACCCAAAAATAAAGGGACAACATAATGCGACAAACCGGTTCCCTTATCCCTTCCTACCCAATAGTACTCGGCTGTGACGCCTCAGGAGTGGTTGTTGAACTAGGTCCTGGCGTAGAGAAATTCAGAGTTGGCGATGGCATTTTTGGATGTGCGACGAGAGTTGGGGAGGAGGGTTATGGTACTTTTCAGGAGTTTGTATGTTTGAGGTTCTTTCCCATTCGGATCGGAGAATTTGAATGGTGGATGAGGGTATATTCTGAGAAATGAGGTTGAGTGGGAATGAGAAATGGAGAGTTGTGGAATGAGGTGAGAGAATGGCTAACTATTTACTTTTACAATAGCATTTAATGGATGAGAAACTGGCGTTTAAAAGACCAGAAAGAGTTTCGGTCGAAGAAGCTGCAACGATTGGAGTGGGACTTTTGGTAAGCAAATCTTTCCTTCTTCTCAGTTGTCATGTTATGGTGTTTGCGAATGAGCAATGCTGACTACGATAATGATAGACAGCAGCAATATGTCTGGATGAGGGAAACGATATCATGTATCCTGCCACTCGCGAGAATCAACCAGAATGGTTTATCGTTTTAGGAGGCACGTCGAACGTTGGACAATACGGAATTAAGGTTAGTGTACAGGTATACAATTTGCAAATGTTGGCATTGACAAATATCTAGCTTGCAAAACTGTGCGGATACCAAGTCCTTGCTTCATGCTCGCAATCTAATGCTGAGGTTAGTTTCGCAAAAAGAGGAAGAAATTGAGTATAGTAGCTAACCTATTCCACTACAGCTTGTCACATCTGTCGGTGCAGATGCAACATTTGATTACAAACAATCTACCGAAACACAGTTGTCTGAGATCGAAAGAATTACCTCGGGAGAGTTCGCTGGTATATTCGATGCATCGGCTGCTAGTTCCGCGGTAGGCTTAGCTGCTTTGAATACCAAATCCACAGCCAAAGCACAAAAAACATTCTCGACTACGAATGATTGGTATGTAAAATCTTCCAGCCTCTCTTCACTCTGGAACAAAACTACAACTAAATAAATAGGGACGAAATCGACGAGCAAGAGGACATCAAAGTTTATCACGTCCACCTTGGACAAATGGGCAATTTTGGAGAGCCATTAGGCGATGCAACAAACAGCATTGTCGAAAAACTAATTCCAAAACTTGAAAGCTTGCTTTGGAAAGGACTCTTGGAGCCGAATGAAGGAGAAGTAGTCGCGACTGGGTTTGGAGGGGTAAGTTTTGGTGTTGATCTTTCGACGAAAAATGAGATTGGAGGGAAAAAGATATTGGTTAAGCTGCAGGATTTGTAAAGCGGAGGTGCATTCATCAATAATGGATGGTAATCATATGATACCACTCATTGGTCATTAGGTAGACCCTTTCGGTAGTGAATACTTAGTTTATCTGATATGAGTTCTTCAGAGTGCGGCCATGTGGCGGGAATAGTAAGCGTGAGTGTAACGGGATAGATTTTACACTCCATACTGGGAACTTTTGGCTCAGCTATTTGCCGGATAATACGTGTGCAACTCGAATAACTCTTTGAAAAGTCTGGCCTTCCAGTAAGAATTAGATGTTGAGCTTACTGTTGGCCGAATGAAGTCGCAGCAAGGGACGGCATGTACGTAGACCTGACTTGGCAATGTAACTCTCGGGTGAAGATCCCTTGCAGCCCTTGAGCATTTAAGTGAGGCACTTACCTGCCCACTTGTTACTTGGTACAAGTGGTGAAAGTTCAAACTTCGTACTGTCTTCGCCTTTATACTGCTTCATCATGCGGTCGCTTTCAATTCTCTCATTATTATCTTCGCTCACAATTGCTTCTCATGGCGCTTCTCTTGGTGCGAAGATAGTCGGTCGTGATACCGCACTGTTGTCTAGTTATGACTTTATTGTTGTGGGTGGTGGAACAAGTGGACTTGTCGTAGGAAACAGATTATCAGAAAATCCAGGTTAAGATCTACTCATTTTGATGCTTTGGATAAAAGGCTTACCATCATTAGCGACAACTGTTCTCATTATTGAGGCCGGCAAACTGTGAGTGTATGAATACAGTCTGACGTAACCATCTGATAGTGTATAGTGATCAGGGAGAAGACTTCATCTACATTCCACTTTTCGCAGGAATTGGGAATGGTGCGATAGGGACACAGTATGATTGGAATCTAACCTATGCTCGTCAGCCAGCTGCGAACAACAGATCAATTGCCATACCACTCGGTAAAATTGTAGGCGGTGGTTCTTGTTTGAATAAGATGACTTTTGATCTTGCTGGGAAAGCAGACTATGATCGTTGGATAGAAGTAGGAGCAGTTGGTTGGAATGAACTATTTCCATATTTCAAGAAGGCAAGTGCACTACGTGAAACAAATTGGATAATGCATGAGCTAAATCATCTTTCATCAGTTGACTAATTTCACATCACCTGCATCTGAAATTGCAAAAGAATGGGACATTCAAACTTACCCCTCAGCACACGGATATAGAGGCCACGTAATGAAATCTGTGCCGAGAATTGAAATACTTGCTGAGCGTATTTATAGGTTCATTCAAGTTATCCAACATTCAATTGGCCATCATTCAGTTGAGTAAATTGTCCTCGTAAAGCTACTTCTGCTGACATGCTGGTAGAGTACTTTATTGCGTCCATGAAGTACCTCGGGATACGCAAGGTGTTTGACTCTTTGAATGGAGATACGTATGGCGCTCTGTGGAATCCACAATCACTGGATCCAGACACCAAGACCCGCTCAAATTCTAGAACCGCTTATTGGGATAGTGCAAGTAATCGAACCAATTTGCACCTCTTAACGGGACACCAGGTGACGAAATTAATCACCAAAGCAACTAATGAAGGGATTACAATCATTGGTGTAGAGGTAAATGTTTGACGACCGCATTCTTTAGGTAACACTCTGACCATGAGCACAGTATGCAGCTGGCCCCAATTCTTCAAGATCAACCGTACTTGCGGCGAAGGAGGTAGTTCTCGCAGCCGGTGCTATTCATTCACCTCAGCTGCTTCAACTCTCTGGAATCGGCAGCTCTTCTTTGCTTAAACAATTTGGCGTCGAAACTGTGGTAAACTTGCCGGGAGTTGGGGCAAATTTCCAAGATCACCCATTGCTCAGAGCTAACACAACTTGTAGGTTGCTATAACAAAAGTTAATAGAGTCATCCACTAAGTGGAACAATAGTGCATATATACCTTTCCGCGAACAATTTGACCAGTAACACGACTTTCAATGCTGAAATGTTAGCATTGTATAGGCATAACAGAACTGGTCCGTAAGATTTATCAAACTTACCAAACCTTTCTAATAGGCCAAAACAGGTCCATACTCCACAGAAGGGGGAGGCGCCTATGCATTTATTGGTACCCCTTCTTTCACCAATACGACTTCACAGATTATATCCTCCGCCTCATCTATCACACCGGCATCATATTTACCATCCGATATCGACTCGACTATCTTGGCAGGATATGAAGCTCAATACAGGATCCTCACTCGAGATCTCGCATCCAACAAAATGCCAATAATGGAATTCATCTTTGGAGGAGGACCAGTTTCTACTGGTCTTCAACATCCATTTTCCCGTGGTTCTGTCGCGATCACATCCGCCGATCCTTTCACTTCCCCATCAGCGAACCCAGGGTTCCTTACTCATCAGACAGATCTTCTTCTATTAATCGCCGCGGCTAAGTATGCTCGTAAAATCATCAACACACCAATATTCGCACCACTATCGCCGGTTGAGACAGTACCAGGCCCGAGTGTACAAACAGATGCGGATTTTGAGGCATGGGTTCGTTCAACAATTGCAACGACATTTCATCCAAGTGGTACTACGTCCATGATGAAGAGACAGTATGGAGGAGTTGTGGACTCCAATTACAAGGTATATGGGGTCAATAACTTAAGAGCAGTTGATGCGGGTACGTTTCCAATGATACAGAGTGCACATTTGCAAGTGACTGTGTATGCCATGGCTGAGAGAGCTTCCGATGTGATTAAGAAGTCATGGAGACTTTAAGGCAGATGCTATGATATGATGATGTGCTGGATGCCATGGAGCGCAAAGAAGGGATACCAATAATTGCTCCAATCATATTGCTCTTCTTCCTGCTGGAGTGTTAAAGAAGCAGAGTACTATGGCATATATTGCCACCCCATGAATCAGTGTCGTGATACCCAGTAGAAAACCTGGGGATACACATCGTTGTCTACAGATTTAGTGAAGACTTGATCATCCCCTCCAATTGTACCGATGAGAATTTGTCGAACAGATCTTCGCTTTAATGTAGTGTTCTTCAGTTTGACAATTGTTAATTCTGAGATGTGATTGCAAAAAAACACGCTAGCATATTCTCCGACACAGGCAGGTACGTGCCTGTAAGCGAACTAAACCTGGGCTTTCCTTTTCTTCCATCTAACTCTTCAATTAACCTTACATTTCACAGATTTCGGCATTTTGTGTTTCTCCGTTATTGATCTAGATCCAGGGCACGTTTGAAGCATGAGGTGTATGCTAAAGTTTATTCAATTATAACACTGATATTACTTTGTCTTCGTTGAAGGCCAATGAACCCCCAGGATTGAAATATGGTTTTCAGAAAATCCAAACCCTGGTAATGACGGTTTTATATTCGGAACTTTACTAGTCGTCAGTTCTCCAGACGAGAACTCTTCATACACAAATCCAGGTGTATTGGTACATCACCAGAACATCGCCGCGCATGTCGGTTCCTCGTGTGAACGCAGTATTGACGTTGCTCGTACGCATGTCTATGGGGGCTGGATCCATCCGGACTTTGCTAGACTTGTCATCTCTACCAGGTGAAAGCCGTTTGATCAATGTCAGATCGACTGCCTCTTGATAAATTGTAAGGGGAGCTTGGGAAATTTCATCCAACGATTCTTCCGCTGAGCTGTCATGCAGTAGCTAAGAATATACTTTCCCTGGGTAATGTTCCACTCGAACCAATCAGACGGAAAAGCCAAAAGGCTTCTTGAGCCCTATATCATGCCTTGCCAATGAATGCACAGTTATGGACATATCCCAGGTGCAGGGTCTACACCGTAACGTCTCACATCAGCCGAAAGTTTACATATGAAACAGAAAGAGTTTTGATCAAAACACAGATACTCTCCACTGAGTCTCTCGGCTTTCTTAACAGAGATATAACACATAACTCCACAATTTGATGGACATCAAGGAAGACACATTACGATTGAATTCATTCACAGCATTGCCGCCGATATTAACGGTGAACATTCACCAATTCCATGAGTTACAGCCTCAGAGCTACCCCACCAAAATCACTCCACCCGCCCCAAACCACCCCACTATAGCTACGAATACTCTCGTATCTAGATACATAAACAAAGCTCTCCCGCGGAGATCTTTCAACTCATCATTTACTCCCAGATATCTCTCAATATGTCTCATTTTTTCCATGATGCCAAAGCAGCCATCGGCGACTTTGTACATGAAGTCGAGTCGGAGGTGTCCAAGGTTGCAGGAATCACAGACGGCGAGAAACACAGCCACACTCATATCGGAGAGGCATGCCATGCACTTCATGTAAATGGAAACGAGAACAGATTTGGCAGTTTCGCTCCTCCAAGAACCGGTCATGACATTAAATGGCATATCGACGGGTGTGCATATATGTGGGCTGTATCTGTCGCCTTGGAAGAGGCACAGGAAAGTATCTGGATTCTGGATTGGTGGCTTACCCCTGAGCTTTATTTGAGGAGACCCCCATCGGCAAACGAGGAATACAGAATCGACCGCATGCTTTTGGCTGCTGCTGAGAGAGGTGTCAAAGTGAACATCATCATTTACAAAGAGGTTACTGAAGTCTTGACATGTACGTTCTATTCTCATTTCTGGCCACATATCACGTGGACTAACCCCGACGTCCAGTATGCTCTGAGCACACCAAGAAAGCTCTAGAGGTTCATCCTAACATTTCTGTATTCCGACATCCGGATCATGTTCCAAGTGGCATTCACGTCGAATCGGAACTTATTACAGACTTGAAGAATTTCAGTTTGAGAGACTTTGATCTTGCGCAGCTTCCTAAAGAGGGCATTGAAGCTTTATATGGAGCCCGAAATGATGTTGTTCTTTACTGGGCACATCACGAAAAGCTTTGTCTAGTTGATAGTAAAGTAGCTTTTATGGGTGGTCTGGACTTGTGTTTTGGTAGATGGGATGTAAATCAGCATCCAATTTCTGATGCACACCCAAGTGACCTAGACAACATTGTTTTCCCAGGTCAAGATTTCAATAATGCAAGAGTGTATGACTTTCAAGATGTTGCAAATTGGCAAGAGAATAAGCTTGATCGTACTAAGTACTCTAGAATGGGATGGTCGGTATGTATTTTGTCAATCCCCAACTAATTGTCGGACAACGAAATCTGACTGTTGTAGGATCTATCAATGTCTTTAACAGGACCAGTTGGTAAGTTAATCGGAGACGCTACCACTATTGCACTCCCGTTTTTCAATGACTAACGCTTCATAGTCGAGGACCTTCGAGCTCATTTTGTCCAAAGATGGAATTTCATTTTTCGAGAGAAATACGACACTCAAGATACAAGATACACAGCATTGTCCTTGATTCCTAATAATATCCCTGATGGATACTATAACGAAGATGGTACAAATGTTGGTTCATCTACCGAGGGTGCAATTTCCAATACATTCCGTCGAGCAGGTACATTCTTGGGTGGCTCAAGAGGAAATTCAGGGTATGGAGAGGATCAAAATGGCGTTTCTATTCAACTCGTAAGAAGTTGTACTGAGTGGAGCAATGGTGTAGCCACTGAGGTAATTCTTCCATTCCAGAATTCGCGCATAGGTTACTAATCTACGCAGCACTCGATTGCCAATGCCTACATTGAAGTTATTCAACGAAGTCAACATTTCATCTACATTGAAAACCAGTTCTTCATCACCGCCTGTTCCGATGAGCAAGATCCCGTTGAAAACAAAATCGGAGCGGCGATCGCAGACAGAATCATTCGTGCTTATCAAAATGGTGAACAATACAAAGTTATTGTTTGTATGCCAGCAGTTCCAGCTTTCGCAGGCGATCTCCATGCGGATGATGCTTTGGGAACTCGTGCAATTATGGAGTATCAATATAATTCAATCTGTCGTGGTGGTAACTCAATTATGGAAACTGTTGCTAAAGCCGGAGTACCCGATCCAAAGGATTACATCCGATTCTACAATTTGAGAAACTATGATAGACTTAACAACAACGGCACGATGACTCAAACCGAGGAAGAAAGTGGTGTCAGCTATGAAAGTGCTAGAAAAGAGCACGATGATATCGTTGGTGCTGGATATGGCGGTTACGGTGAAGAAACTGGTGCTCGTTGGGGCCAAGAGAATTACGAGTATGAACAGTACCAGAGAGCCGCCCCTCGTTCCCAAGAGCACGACACAGTAGCAGCATGCTATTTGGAAGATGGTCCATCTATCACATCTATTCCTTGGAATGGTACCCCCGAAGCCGAGCTCGATGCTTTTGTCAGCGAGGAACTTTACATTCATACCAAACTTCTCATCGCCGATGATCGCGTTGTAATTTGTGGTTCAGCTAATCTCAACGATCGCTCTCAACTCGGTACCCACGATTCAGAAATTGCAATCGTAATCGAAGACACAGAAACCGTTGATTCATACATGAACGGTCGCGAGTTCCAAGCCGCCAAATACGCCACCTCTCTCCGTAGACAACTCTTCCGAAAGCACCTCGGCATGATCGCACCACAAGATTGGACCAGACCAGATGCAAATTATATGCCCATCAACAAAGATCCCAATGATTACGATTGGGGCTCTGACTATGATATCGCTGTCCAGGATGTGTTTTCTCCCGAATTCACAAATCTGTGGAATGGTCGTGCGAGAACTAACACAGAAGTTTATTCGAAGGTTTTCCATGCTATTCCGGCGGACAATGTGAGGAACTGGGATGATTATCATGAGTTTTATGAACAATATTTTGTATCACCTAGTGATAAGGATACTAAGGAAGAAGATAAAGAGCCTGCGAAATATCTTTATGGACATGTTGTAAAGGAAGAATTTCCAGGGGGTGTGGAGGAAGTTAAAGAAGAGTTGAGCAGGGTTAAGGGTATGCTTGTTGAGATGCCCCTATTGTTTATGGATGGGGTCGATTTCGCAAAGGAGGGGTTGAGTTTCAATGCTTTGACCGAGACGATTTATACTTAAAGGAACGTTTGGATAGATATCGGGATTGGTAGCTCGAGTCCTACTTGGGTTGATCATCGACAATGGTTTTGAAAGCTTTTGAATCTTTCTAAAGATAAGTTTTGTCTTGGATATTAGAATTAGGTACAACAATTAGAGAAGCCTGCTTAGTTACTAGCTACATAGATGACTCGTGGTTGATCTGTGTTTCTATTTTTTCTCCAAATTCCTCCATTCCATTCCAAAGCTACATATAAACGCCATACCGGCAGCCGCGATAGGAAGAATAAGAGTTTGAGATAATGCATAAGAATATGCATCAAGAACTTCATTAAGGTACTCTATCAGCACGCGCCTAGCGCTATTTTTCGGAGCTATCCAAGCCAGGAATCATTTTCAATTCTTGGGAAAGCGTATTTGTTAGTATGTTTTGAGCAATGTTAATTGTCAACGCGCCACCCAAGGCTTGAGAAAGACTGGCAATGAGTTTCCAATGAGGACGTCTTCAGTAGGAAGTACTATTTGAACAGCAGTATGTGGAACCTGAAATCCGATGCCGAAACCAAATCCAGTGAGTACCTTGGACCCTACCCATTGAGCGGTCGTAATGGTCACTTCGGTAGCGTTGCATTCAAGTGGTGTAATGCAGATGAGTTGCAAAGCCATTCAGGGCGAGGCAGGATTATAATAGTATGGATTTGATTTATGAAAGTTGTAATCGGCACCTCATACTAAAAACCGTTTTTCAGACATAATTCGTAGCATCCTGCTTGCACACTTATTCCTTTGATAACGACATACTTTCTAATAGTTTTGGCATATATTTGCTGGCAAGTGCGGAATAGAATTTCTCTCGATATCGTTTGAAGTTTTCATGCTGGCCGGGATTTTGATCACAGAAATATATACCGTTCTCAAGAAGAAGTATCACTGTACTACTTATATCATATTCTCTCTACACCCACTCGCGGAGATAGCAGGGGTGTGACACCATTGGCTGTCCAAACGAGCTTACCACATGATTCCACCCCAGCTTCCCAGCTTCCCTTCTTCAAAATCTCTGATTCTCTATCTCGACGACGAGTATAAATTTCTAAAAGCAGCATCCGATTCCAAGATGGTTTTGGTCAATACTTCTTGCAGAGCGTGCCAGAAATTCACTCTTGACCGTGGCTTACCCGGACGTGGCGAGGAAGATTGGGTTCATCAGATTGAAGTGCCATACCGTCGAAAAGATACTACTCCTGACTTCCCAGGTCTTTTGGCCTCGTTCAATGAGGGTTGCAACTTTTGCGGGGTATTGAGAGGTGTTTTCTTGCGCAAGTTCGCCGAAAGCTGCTCATCAAAGAACGGAGGTAAATAACAACTATAATCTTGCTTGCATGACAATTGCTCACTCTGCTGATTTTCCTCAGAAGTAAATATTTCTGCAAGTTATGGATGTCAGTTGGAATTACCAACTTACAACAACCTGATATTCGAAGTGGATGGAGCTTGGAAATCCGAGGCGAGTTTTGTCCTGTACGCAGAATATGGTAAGATCCAATCTTGTGAGCGACTAGATTGCTAACTCAACTAGGCGACGGTGGAAACACTGCTTCGAATTATTTCGTGGTTCGTCCTGGGTCACGGATATGGAATCATGAAGCTATGGATATTGCACAGATTTGGTTAAAAATGTGCGAAAAGCATGATACTTGTCGAGATATGACGCCCAGTATCCTTCCCACAAGAGTTATCGATGTCAAAAGCTCGCCTCCTAAACTTGTCATGGGTAATGGTATTATCGATAAATATGTGACCCTAAGCCACTGTTGGGGAATATCCAAAGATCACCCATTTGAAGCTCAATATACGACTCAAACGTCAACTCTGTCGACTCGGATGGAAGGGATGCCCTTGAAAGAGTTGCCCGCCACTTTTAGGGACGCTGTTGTTGCTACTCGTGATCTGGGGTTTCAGTATCTGTGGATCGATTCCATTTGTATTATTCAAGACTCCATTCCCGACAAATCAGTAGAAATCGCACGTATGGGCGATGTCTACGGGAATGCGGCGTTATGTATCTGCGCCACATCTGGTATCAATAGTAAATCTGGCTTCCTGCCCCCTTATCCACCGTTGCAGCCATCAGTCAAATTGCCTTTTTACACGGCGAATAACGAACCTGGATCTTACATTCTGTTCAGTCAAGATCTGTACGAATTACAGAACGAATTTCCCATTGATTGGACGTGGGACATTCATCGAAGGAGTATTTGGGATACCAGGGCGTGGACTTTACAAGAACGTGTTCTCTCTCCCCGTATCCTACACTTCACCTGCGGTAGGATGTATTTCGAGTGTGCAAAGGGATTCTTTATGGAGACAAACCCTGAACAAGAACTCACAGAAAATGATCTCGCAGGCTTACGAGTTGAAGCTGGGTTCATAAAAGCTAGACGGCTCGGACATCCGTCTGCACTGGACTCTAAAGACCTGAGTTTTGAGGCCCTTGTACGCCTTTACTACAATCTGGTGGACCAATACTGTCAACGCAATTTATCATACTCTTCAGACAAAGCAGCTGCTTTTGCAGCTTGCTCTGCTTTGTTTCAGAAACGCCTGGGATTTCATACAAATATCTTTGGCACGTTTCTTGAGGATCTCCCCAGATGGTAGGTGATATTTATACTGAGCTTTCCTTTTCAATTCGGTGCTTGAAATATCAATCAAACGGCACATATTTTGTTGTTTCTCATCTTGGTCCCGGATTTTATAGGCCAACTTCCAACTATTTAATCCAATCTATCACCTCAAGGCTAACATGTAGTATAGCTTGATGTGGGTCCCTCTCGGAAACTCATCCCTAGACTCAAGCTGGCCCTCTTGGTCATGGTGTTCTCACCAACACCTCTCATTTTACCAAGGCATTTTCCACATGGAAAGCTCCGAAGTGCTCCATACAGACCAAGAGCTTTCCCACCAATCTAATCACGAGTACATTCCTGCAACCGACTCTCAACCCCCAATACTTCGCCTTCATGCATTCTCAAAAGGCCCCGGTAAACTCATATGGAAGAAGTCGTACCCCATGAGCGTCAAGTTTTCGGTCATGGGCCATGAATATGATTTAGAACATACCGATATAACGGAAAACTCTGGTACCGGCAGTGAAGACCTCTGGCTTTTGAACTTTTGCAAACTCGGTCTCAAGGCTAGTCCAATCTCCGGCTTAATTATACAGCAGGCTGTAGAGTCAGGAAGCAATTATTATCGCCGAGTAGGATTTTACAGATTGAAGACTGCCGAGGATTCGAAGAAGCTATGTGAAACCGAAGCGCGGCAGTGGATGAATTTAGTCTGATCTCAAAAATATAAACACATCTAAGCTCATACAATTGTCATACGGCCATTAACATGTACGAAGGATACGAGTTCGTAGCGAACATCAGTTGTTGGTTGGGATCGTACGACTCCTTAACAGAAATTCGTTAAAGGAAGGGGTTCTCACTAAAGGCGGTCGCTGATTATGGTGCTTTATCTCATCAGCTCCCATATATTCGATGATCGAATGTAGAGAAAATCCACTTTGCTCCCATACTAGGGACCATCCGGACTTCGGAATGTGATAAATAGATCGGTTCTCGGAAGCTCTAATATTCCAGCTCGCGTCGATGTATTCTACTCCCCAAGCTTTCCTTAACGAATGAGTCTCAGGTGCAACTCGTCGAAGATACCCTCAATGACACTCAACGCGGATCAAGAACAGATGGAGTGCAGTATAGCAATTGAGCACACCTGACCTGAAACGAGAAACTTATTTATCAAAGCAAATACAATTCACGTCTCAAGGTATCGGTTACACTAGAGTTACGATGAACTGAAATATACCGGTATATAATCGTTTATCGTATTCTGCCCAGAACTTTTCCGTTTTCGAGATCTAACTTTAGGGGTGCAAAATCATTCACATCTTTCTAAATTCACAACTCCCTAAGGGCTACTTATCAGACTGTCAATTTGGGTTCAGAATCTAGAAACTCCGTAGAAGTGAATATACCCCATTCGGATTTAACGTAGATATAATAACGAGTATACAATTGGTTCGTCTAAACTCTCAAGTCAGGCGATCAGATTTTCTCTCTATTCATACCAACAGCATCTCGTTAATTGATTCAATATAGGACAGATTATTGTCGAAAAGGAACCCTGTATGTACGACGTATGAATAAGAGAAAAGAAGTCAGTTCTACAATGAATTCGATTCAGAGAGTCTATGGAGAATTATATCATTGGCAAAATCACGATTATCCATAACCAAGAAATTTGCAGCGGCTCGACTGAATAGAGTAGGCTAAAATACAACAACTCAAGAGCCCCTTCGCAACACCAGAACTTCAGCACATCACTACAAAGCACACCCAAACTAACAACGCCAAACCCCTAATCCCAATCACCAGTAGACATCAGTATTCAAAAGAATCCCTTTCATCCACTTCTAAATACCTTTACTATCATCTACATAGACTAACTTACTTACCAATCCAACCATTTTTTCAATCACAATAAAGACTGCCACCCTACAATATCAAAAAATCTCCTTAATTATCCATCTCATAGCCATTAAACCTCAACTCCATACTTCGTAATGCATACGGACCGGCAAAAGCAAAGTAAATTCTTCTCCCTCCCCTCTGCACAAAACAAAAACTCAAAAAAGACTGATCACTGGCGGTTTCGAACCGCCGACCTTGGCGTGCCAGACCCATTTCATCCTAAAGGAACAAGAGAAGATATTAGCACCACGCTCTAACCAACTGAGCTAAGCGACCTGACATGGTTATTTTGATATATTCTCCACCTCTCCGTTTTGTTATATATTTGCGTAAGAATTCCCACCAAATCATAAAACCTCCACACAAGTGGAGCAAGCATCCCCACCCCACCTCACCCCACATCCTCATTCTCGAAGAAAAAAGAAAAAAAAAACAGGGATCTGAATACCTCAGTAATCAATATTCGGGAACTTAATCAACTTATTCAGTATCCATTATTCATTAGCGTCCTCTGTACATTAGAAATCAGAACCCTACAGAACACGGTACCTCCCAAGTCCCGGTACTCGGGAAAATAAATGCTTATGAATAATGACAGCGGCATAAAGTGGGATGGGATGGGATGGGATGAGGGGAGAAGACGCTAGGAATATTCTAATTTCTACCGTGTCCATGTATATCGTGGCGCAGGGATGCAGTGGTCGGGAGATGGGATGGGGAGGGGAATCAAGGGGGGAGTGGTCATGTGCTATGTATTGTGTACATCGTATTGTAGTGTGTGGAGTATGGAGTATGGGGTGCGTAGGGATGGATGGGTGGGTAGAGATGATGTATAGGGTGTGAGATGGTGAGGTGGTAACGTGGTGGGTGGGTATGGTTTGGGGTATGATACTATGGTACGGTTCAGTGCAGGAGGAAGGGAGAGAGGAAGTTTAATGATCCGGATATCAAGGTAGGTTAGTATGGGGATTTGGGTTATGATCTAAGCACTTCATACTCTGTAGTGCGCACCCGTGGATATGTATAGAGGTATGGATGGAATTCCTCAAAGTCAGCCAGATCTTCAGGAAGTGGTTTCTGTGTTATTGACATGTTGCATCTTCATTCTCGTTATGATATACTTTCTGCTTTCTTCTCTCTCTCGCTGTCTCCGAATCCGGAGAACGAAGAAGGGAAGATGCTGCTGCTGCTACATACATGCGAGAAATTCCGTTCTCGCCAGCTAGAAGATTGTAGTTCACATCTCATCTCATCGAGGAGAGAGTGTATTTTCTGCTTTTGAAACTAGGTACTACATTAATATATCCTCACAAAATTACTACCATCCACCGCATCACCACCGCTCAAGAGACCATTCATTCAAACGAATAACTCTCCATTCGTTTGTGTAATTTACTCATCACACCACAATTCTCATCACACCATTATCCGATAATATACAAAAAAGGTCGACCATTCGAATCCACCTCGACCCTGTCCATTCATTCATTCAAGTGAGAATGCTCTCCGTCCCAAAATTTGTACTCCCAAGACACCCAATTTGCCCATATCATAGAAACCGGAATTCGATATCACGAACAAATAAAAAGCCTCCATCAATGTGAAATTCCCTATTGCGTATCATGCTTTTGCTTTTTGTTTGTGCTTTTCGCTTCTCAATTGCTTTTCCCAAGAAAATAAATAAGACCTCGCAACGCAATGCAATGCAAATGCTATAATATAACCCAAAGATAACCAAATTAACGTTGGTTATCCGCGCAAGACCAAGCACCGTGAGAAGTAGCAGTATCCAAGTTCATAGAATAACCACTAGCGTATAAACCCGCAAAACACATAATGCACGCTAAAATGATCAAGACAACATTAACGAAACTCAAGAAGATTTGCTTGGACCCTTGCATGCATGATCCCCAGTTGATATAAAACCAGCAAATACCAGGGAGACCATAAGAAAACCAAGAAGCGAACAGAGCAGAAATGAAACCGAGGAGATCGGAAAAGACGGGAATGGATTCGGCAATAATCCACGCTACGGTCCATGTTCCGAAAGCAAGAGCGACCCAAGTTCCCGTGGCAACCAATCCTCGGCTGTTCAAGTGTTTGGTTCCGGAGAAAAGTCGAATGTAAATGTATTTAACAGTGACGTGAGCAAAAATAACTCCTGCGATGATGATTGTTGGTAAAGCGATTCCCCATGCAACCTTGCGAACAATAGGACTGTTGCTGTTAAGAGCTGGACTTGCGACATCTTCACCAGCATATCTGTAAATAACGAGAGCAGCGACGAAGTAAAGACTGATATCGACAGTTTGAAGGAGGATGAGAGACTTTGGGAATTCCTTTGGATCGCGGAGTTCAGCAATGAAGCTGACCCAAGCAACGTGGCCACCATATGCGAAAACGACGTTGGAAATACTGTTGAAAGCGGTTGGGAAAGATGGGCTGTAAGTTCCCTTCATGTCTGCGGCGGCTGCTTTTGGCGAAACGCCCAAGGCAACCATAGTGAGGATGACGGCGGAAAGAATACTGGTGAATGCTATTGCAGTTGTTAGCGCATTCGGTAATGGAGGAGGACTTGGCAAAACTTACAAACAATGGATAAGAACGAGACATTCTTAAGAGTTCTGTTCAAGGAGAGGAAACTGAAAACAGCCAATCCAACAACACCCCAGATAATAGTACAAGTTGCATGGTTCGTGAGAACATTCATGGCAATGGTAAAAGTCAAAAGATGCGAGGCCATGCAGAATATGCAGTAAATGACGTAAGCAGCACCAACGATTTCTCTGCCCCAGCTTCCCATCAAGATACCACCAATGTCTACATAGGTTGTAACCTAAAGATTGGTTAGAGACTAGAAAGTTTTCAATTATCACTCCGAGAGTTTAACATACCTGAGGATATCGCATTTTGAATTGCCACAAGATGTAACCAGAATATGTAGTGAAAACACCGAGAGCAAGAATCGAGATGAGACCACCAATAAGACCAACCTTGGCCAAAACAGCTGGTAGAGAAAGGATACCAAGTGAGATATTTTCAGCAATCATAACAATTGCTCCTTGCCACCAAGTCATGGTTTTGTCTGATGATACTGTCAGCTAAGTCTTCGCCAATCAAGGAGTAAAGAAGCTTACATTGAACCTCTGCGCCTTCCTCATTACCAAAAGCATCGAGAACCTCTGCTACCTTCATATCAGAGGACTGATCGTCCGCCCTGATGTTACCTCGAACATTGTTGGCGGCTGTGATATCATCCTTGGTGGCTTTATTCATAGTTGCCTTTTCGGGATCCATATTTGCAAATTTTTATGATTCGTTCGCAGATATTTGTCTGTGGTCTTTTCTCAACAGTCGAGATGTGTTGCTGTCGATTTCAAATGCTAATGATTGGCGTTGGAACAAGAATAAAGGATTGAAGCTATTAGTTGAGGAAGGAGTAGCTGAGTGTTGAAAGAGAGTTGAAAGATGGCAAAACAACACTATAGATGTGGAAACGAGACGAAAATATGTAGGGTTTCTGGACGGGGCTAGACACGCTCGACACCGAGATAAGCCAAAGATTGGCAATCAATTTCTATTGAATTCAAGTAAGTTCAATGAGGGGAACGTCAGTGCGAATGGTAAGACCATGTTGGAAGGTGGTTCCCAAGACGTAAGTAAAATTCTTTTACATGGGGTTTCATCAGTGACAGTGGACCATCTGTTGCTTTGCAACTCCACTAAAAAGTAACTATTATGTTTTGGCGAGGCGACGTGACCAACGGTCTCCATGAATTCGCCATAATTTGATTATTTTCCAGTGTGATCTCGGTATTGAACATGTACGTTTTGACTAATTCAAGGGTATTGAATCTGGGGTAGTGCGTGGTATTGCATGCCATACCTTGAGGATATCAATTGTGCCAACAGTATGAGTTGGATTGGACTTGATCACTGATGCAAGTAATCAACACGATGTTCCAAAGTCACCACGTTTGACTTCTCTCTTCTCCAACATCCAAATCTGGAGTAAATTGATGTAAATTTTTCAAGCGTGTACCTGACTGCTTCCGCCTTACGTTGCAGATCATGCGAGTCAGTAGCTTGATTCGACAACTCCCGCAGCCTCTTCGGGCCGCCTTTAGACGAAAAGTAACCTGAAATGGTTGAAGGTGTTTTTTTCCATCCATTCACCGTCTTGTATCCACCCCGTTCCTTTCAGTTCATTGAGGCGAAAGTATAATAAGATACCGAGCACGCAGTGTGTTCGTACTCCGTAGATAAGAAAACCGAGACGAAATCCGGAATTGGTAAACCGATGTGATCATCTATCTTTGAGACATAAGCATATCTATCTATGGGGTAGAGTAGATGAAAATGGTCTCACATTTTCCCAATCGCTCGCAGCCTTGACGCGATATCCGCCGTGGCTCGAGTGGCTCGAGTGATTGTTATCCCCCCCCCTCATTTTGGGGAATCATCGGAATCGAAGTTGATGCGTGATGAAGGGGGGGAGGGGGGGAGGGGGGGGCAAAGAACCATTGAGGTAAAGCGTGGGTGTTTCCTTCCGGGATCATAGTATGAAAGAAAGCTTCGTATAGATTATTATACTTTGGACTTTGATCTTCATTCCGCAGTATAAAATTTCCATAGTGGTAATGCCTTGGCTATGGGTAAGGCTTACCAAGGCATTATTAGCTTTCGTTTGCAGACGTTAGATTAGAATTTAGAAATGATATGACACGCTAGAAAACACGACGAAAAACTTAATAAAATTCATGACCAATCGTGGTTCTTGAGAATAACGTGACCATCGTCTCGGTGCTCGGAAAAGGCTTGTTTAGCACCGATATGACTGCAGCTGATTACTAATCATGTAAATACGCCTGAGGCTCTAACCGCTTCAGATCTCGGGTTGCAACGGCCATGGACATCTTTTCCTTTTTCTTCCTCTTTCTTCCTTTTTCTTCATCTGCCGTTGAAACTCTCTTTACTATTACGCCTAGATAAGGTTACAACTTACAACTCATAGTTCGAAGTCGTAAATCTTCACATTGGCACGAAGATTGGTGGACGAAACTCCGGATAACCTTCCTTCTTTTACCTTTACCTCTGCATCTACGTAGGTATTGGACGGACCTGGCTGGGTATCGATAAATCTTAAAAAAACTTGGAACATCATCGCCCATCAATCCTCCGGACTCCCGGAACATATGACGACGACTCTCGAGAAGGACAGAATTGACAGGAATGACAAAATTGACAGGATTGGACCAAAAATACCCGACAGACGGATTGGCCGACACAAATGATGTCAATCTTGATTACCGTGCTGTGTCGTGCATGTCGTGTCGTGTCGTGTCGTGTCATGTCGATGAACTACGAGTAATTTGATTGATATTGCATTAAATCGCTCAACCTTTCTTGGCCGATCTCTGGGGTTTCAACTTCCATTTCAAAATCTACTCATTGTGCCTTGGGATTGTGAAGATCATAAAACTAGGGTTCCTCAGAAATTGTAACAATTCATAAGTTGTAGAGTTAATGCAAGCAGGCCTTCAATGCACTCACTGACGATAAACATAATTGAAATACGTTCAATTTCATCAACCATGCACGAGATGATCCTTCAAAATGTACAGTGGTGAAAATGAAAACGAAACAAGACGAAACTAGTATATCTGCAACGGAAAGTACTATTTTTAATTCCATCAACGAGTCAGACTGGAGTGGATATACATTACACGATTTTGTAATGTTTGAAATCTCTCGTCTTGACACCTCTTGCGAACATCAGATCCAATTCTTCGTACGTCCTTCCCTTGGTTTCGGGAACTCTGAGCCAACACCAGATAAGACAAAATACCGAACAACCACCTGTCTAATCGTCAGTCACTATACTCTTTTCGATATTTATAGTTGTGAATAATGATAAGCAATACCTCCACCAATCGGTTTCTTCCTCGGTTGTGAAAAATGATAGAACAAAAGAGTTTACTCACCATAGAAAAATCCAATCTTTCCCCTCCAATTTGCTTGGTCCGGATTAATCATATAAGGAATGGCAACTGTCATAACTATCCCAACAAGTGCTTGCATCGCCGTAGCCACAGCAATAGTTTTCGAACGAACTTTAGTCGCTGATACCTCACAGAAAATCGTGTAGCAAACGGGGCCAACACTAAGATCAAAGATACCATTCCAAACGATCATGAGGGTCGATTGTGCCCAGATGACACCTGGACGATTCACATAATTTGGTACACAATCCAGAATCCCAATAAGAAACATAATGGTGGTGAGTAACGCGAGTCCGATGTTGTAGATACGTCGTCGACCGAATTTTGATATCAGAATCCATGACAAAAGGGTTCCTACGAAGCCAACAGCTAGAAATCCCACGCTCATATCAAATGCTTTGGATCCAGCGAGACCGGCAACTAGAACATTGAGTTAGTAGATTATCATTTAGTTCTTCACAGAGTATCCCAATAGCAAAAACGGATGTACTTTCAACAAAAAGACCTTGAATACAACATCAGAAGAGAGAAGACTTACGTTGAAAGAAGTAGGCCGCATAGCCCACTAAGTAAATCCCACTGAAAACCTGCGTCACAAACACTGCAATTGCAATCTCTGTTCTCCTGATATTAGTCTTGTTAAAAACATCCCAATAAGTTGTTCCTGTCTCCATTTCCACCTCCAATCTATCCGTCTCAATCATCATCGCCAGAACCAATTTGTTATTGATTTCCTTCGATGACAATCTATCCAACGATTTCTCTGCTTCTTCAAGTCTATCTTTCCTGACTAGCCACCAGGGCGATTCAGGCGCGAAAGGGATACCGATCAAAATAATAAGAGGCCAGAGCCATTGAATTGCAAAGGGAGCACTATATGCCCAATGATTATCGAGACGGGATGTTCCAGCAATGACTCCATTTGCGATAAGTTGACCCATCACGAAACAAAGATTGACATACGAAGTTAGATGACCGCGAAGCGCTATGGGACATACTTCCGATGCGTAGGTAGGGGCAATGGTCGTATATGTGCCTAGGATGAGACCGCCGATAAGTTCCCCAACGAGCAGAACAGGGAGAGAGCGCGCGAAGAATTGCACGAAGATAAATGCTGCAGTACCGGATACACATGCCATATATGTCTAGCAATACCAAAGTTAGCTTTGACCTCACATCAAATCCTTCGCGCTTGTAAAGATTTCGAAAACCCACCCATTTCCTTCCATACCACTCCATCGGATACCCAACAAGTAACGCTCCCACCACCTGTCCAATCGGATTGCCCATTCCCAACGCCGTCTGCCATTGCGCGCTCACGATATACTCTCCTTTGTATCTATATCCAAAATCCTTCTGGAAAGCAGGGGTCGCATATAAACTCCCCAGTAACTGGGGATCAAAAGCCGTCATGATTATTCCGAGCGAGAAAAATGCAGACCAAGCTATCGCAGCGGGATAGAGACGAAGCGCATCGCGAAAAGACATGGAATGTTCGATTTCCGTCGCAGTTTGCGCATCGAGATGGGTTTGTTTGTTGGGGAGATGCGGAGGGTCGATGGGAAGAGATACATCTTGGAGGTGTGGCTTTGTGGCCATGTCTTCTGATTTCTGCATCTTGATTCCTGGGGTTTGATGATGTTGAGTAGATGAGGAAGTTGAAGATCAAACCAGCTTCCTTGGAACGTGGAACTGATCTCGAAGTTTGCTGTCGTTTGATGTGCAATATCCAATGTCCAATATTCAATATCCGTAAATCGTCACCCACTATGTATCCTCAAACATACCCGTTGGAATCATATCATAGTATATTATATGAAAAGAGGGATCCCCCTCATTATATCGTGAAATCTTATCGCACTTGCGAAAGCAGAAGAAACTAATCCATCCATAGATACTTATCGATGATAAGCTGCAACTCATATCTCTGCAGATACGGGATGCGACGTTATGATATGATATGAGATCAGATTACCAAAATGGGGGTGGGTGTACCGTTCCCATGGAGCCATAAATGGGAGCGAGTGCATGTGGGGAAACCCAATCAATCCCCGCGGTCTTGGCACTCCCGGCAAACCGATAACTATAGAGAGACATCAAGGAACGGTCAACTGAATTAGGAAAGTAGATAGGTAACTTGACGACGTTTGGTATGGTAGTTGAAGTATTGAATTGGGTTCGTTTGGAGTTATGTACCGAAGTCGGAAACATGCTTGTGTTCAGTCTGAGTCAGCAGTCTGTCTTGACGAATAGAAGAAGGCGGGTATGTCTTCAGGACGTTTACTTATCATTATCGCTATTCCTATATACATCAATAGTGTATTAAGAGCGGAGCTTGGTTCATATTGAGTTTGTATCTACTGGTGGACTCAATTCCCCGCAAATCTATTCAATGATACGTTACAAGCGATCCAGACGGTGTGGAATTTTGACGTTGCAATTCATTTCTACCTACATCGTACTGCTGATTGATACAACGACTTGCAGTCAGTGATACTCTTGGTATCGATTTTCCTGCAGCCAAGGTGCACGGGACATCCAGCCGCAAGTGCGGAATACTAAAGTTGGATGTTTGGGGAAGGGACAGCTAGCCATTATATAGAGAATGGTCTTGGCTGTTACTTTGATATATGTTGTACGACCCGTGAAGGATTGCGGGGTAGATGTTCTGATTTGCGGGAGGTTTTTATGTTTTTCTTGGGCATGATTCTACGAGCTGTATTCTGCTGTCTCTGATATGTATATGAATAGTCTTGTACCGAGAAAAATACATTAATAAAGTAGATTCGAAGAGAGAAACGAATTTCCTCATAAAGTCGCGAGATAAGTGTACTTGAATACAATTCTAATTGAAAAGGAAGAAAGAATCATTGCAATGTTTTTTCTCGTGAAAATCATGATTCCTTGGTTTCTACAAACAGCATCTCTCATTCACGTTCTCGCTCTGAATACATCTTCATCCTCTCAAAGTTCAACAACAACTTCCTCAACCGCCCAAGAATGCTCACCAGGTCCTGATCCCCCACTTTCCCCGCCCCTGAACAATAGTCTCGCTCTCACCCCTCCCATGGGCTGGAGCTCCTGGAATCAATTCGGTGATTCGATCGACGAGAACCTCATCAAGTCCACTATCGATGCCATGATCTCCAATGGTCTAAAGGACGCCGGCTATATATATGTGAACTTGGATGATGGTTGGCAGCGATACAAAGGACCCCGATCCGCTCACCCTCTCGAAGCCGATCCTGTCAAATTTCCAAATGGAATTAAAGCCGTAGCCGATTATGTGCATGAACGAGGATTTAAATTAGGCATCTATTCGGGTCCGGGTGATGAGACTTGCGCTGGGTATACGGGGAGTCTTGGGTACGAAGAAGAAGATGCAGATATGTTTGCTAGTTGGGGAATTGACCATTTAAAATATGATAGGTAGGCTCCCTCTCTCTCCGAGCATACCTTTGAAAACTTTCTGACAACCATAGTTGTTGTTCCCACAAAGATGCGCCCAAATTCATAGTTCAAGAAATTGTATTGAAAATGTCCAAAGCACTCCTAGCAAGTGGTCGTCCCATCGTATACCACGCATGTCATTGCGGTTGGGCCGATATCTGGGAATGGGCCGCCGATGAAGGAGCAAACCAATGGCGCATCGGTCAGGATATTTCTGATGAGTTCAACTATCCTGGAAATCGGGAAAAGTACTATTTCGACGTCTTGGACATGATTGATCGAGGAAATGACTTGGTGCAATATTCGGGTCCGGGTCATTGGAATGATTATGATATGTTAATCATTGGTCTCAATGGGAATTCGACTCAGCTTGTTGGAACGGGCGCGTCGAATATTGAATATCGGACGCATTTCAGTATGTGGGCAATGGTAGCTTCACCTCTACTCATTGGATCGGATGTAAGGAAGTTGGATACTTATGAACTTCAAACTCTCACCAATCAAGAAATCATTCAGATAAATCAAGATCCGCTTGGAATATCAGCCCAAACAGTGGGTGTGGGCTACGAAGCTGATGGAGATCTTCAAGTTTATGCCAAAGAAATGGCGGATGGGAGTTATGCTATCGCGTTACTCAACCGTGGAACTTTCACGGCGGAAATGAGTTTTAGTCCTCGTCGGGATATTCTTATGACTTGGGATCATTATCGAATTCGTGATTTGTGGAAACAGAAGGAGGGTCTTTATGATGTTCCATATACTGTGGATGTGATGCCGCATGAAGCTAAGATTTTGAGAGTCTGGGAGGTGCAGAAAAATGCGTCGATGTGCTTTTTCCAGTAAGATATCAGAAGTCAGGTTTGGACGATTGATGTTTATTGAGAGCTATCAATACCTATTGACGCAATTTAATATCAGACCACAGAGTATGAAACCACTCTGGCTCTGTTGTGATGAAATACGTATGTGCCCGTTAGAATACTACAATGAATCTGTCGAATCAATTGTCTGAGTAATAGTTGAAGGAAAGGTAGAAATATTCAAAAGAAGAAAAAATCATTGAGAAAAGACATCGTTGGACGTGGCGAGGTTGAGCAAAATGAATTCTGATACCATTATTTACAGCATTTGATACTTTCCTCACAGCCACTAGACTCCGTGAACATTAAAACACCATTCCTAAGGCCTCTCAAACAATTTGTTGGAATCAAACTCCATTCAATGCAGCCTCCGATTCAGGATCATGGTAATGATGCATCTCAAACCCTCTCCCTTCATAACCACACTTTTCGTAAAAGGCTACCTTTTTAGAACCACAGTCAAGTATACTCTGTGATATGATCAGCTACTGATGTATTTTGGAAGCTTGATATGGAATATGATAAACTCACCTTATAACAACCTCTCTCGGAGGCAATATGATCCAAGGCCTTGATAAGTTTCGTTCCAAACTGCTGTCCTTGATGATCCGCCGAGATACACACGTCTTCTACATGACCTTGCAGACCCAAATTTCCAAGGCTTCACCAATGACACATTAGCCCTTCCGCTCTTTTCACCACTGTCTGTTCGAAATAAAAAACACTCACAATTTCATTTCCACAACCAGTGTCCCAGTTCCCATAATAAACTCTCCATCACCCTCACCCCCCTTCTCCTTCACAATCACCAACACATAATAAGTACCCTCACACTTCTTCATCGCATCGAATCTTTCTTCCCATTGCTCTTCGGTAATGGGTCCTACATATGCTAAATCTCGAAGAACACCTAGATATCCATGATGGAAATCCGAGCGTTGAAGTGCACGGAATTTATAACCTTCCGGGAGGGTATTTTGACATTCTTCGGAGATCAAATCGTTTGAAAAAAGTGATACTTCTGAGGAGGTCATCGTGAATGGAAAGATGCGTATTATTAGACAGCGGAAGGTTAAGGTTATGATGAGATTATTGATGTTTCAAAGACAGGTAAGTTAAATGTCATATAATATAAATGGGGTGCATGGAAGTCACGAGAAACAAAATACGTGGCAGCTCACGTGATATGTGTGCCTATTGTCTTGTAGACTGTAGATGAGGTCTCCAATTTGTTTGATGCACCAGATGAACGTTCCTCTTTTGAAGGTTGCATTTGCTTGTAATCTCGGCGAAATTCGTCTCTTGGTTGAATGCTATACTGGTATAGAGATAAATGAGTCCAGCCAGCAAAATTCATGGTAGATTTCCGACAGTGATTGATTGGTCGATGCGTCGGATGCAACGTATGTTTTGAGGCTTCTCAAAAGTGGGAAATCAAATACAGACTGATAGATATACGTGACACTATCACTTCCTGGTTACATCGTGATATTCAAGATGACTTTCAATATCCATCTTCCTCTCAGTGCCATCGATACCATCAATCAACCTCCACTGTATTACCTCCAATTCCAAGATGCTCTCATACTTTCGACGGGGTTCTTTTGGACCATTGCATATGTTCTATACATTCGACAAGCGTATCGAGATGAATCTTATGGGATGCCTATCATTGCACTGTAAACACCATCACTCCATATATCGCTCCGACTAACAGGATACAACAGCTGTGCAAACATAGGGTGGGAGATAGTCTATGGCTTCCGCCTTCCATTCACCCTGACTCAAATCCTCGTCTTCGTTCCCTGGCTCATTATAGATGCCTTTCTTGTGCATACTACAATGAAATTTGGGCCAAACCAGTGGAATCATGCTCCCATGATATCTCGAAATTTGAACACGATTCTTGGGGGAGGTATTGGCATGATGGTGGTTCTGCATTGGGCCTTTGCGGAGACTTACAGGGACGATATGGATGCAATGTTTTGGTCGGCGTTTGTTCTTCAGATGTTCCTTGGGATTTCCTCAGTTGTGCAGTTGATGGAGAGAGGTCATACAAGTGGTCATTCCATTGAGACTTGGTGAGTTGTATGGTTGATGATTTGGCATTCTCTTCTCTCTGTGCTAACCAGGACAAATAGGTTTTGTCGTTTCATTGGTTCAGCATCTGCAATTTTGACGTATTGCTGGAGATATTTCCACTATCCAAAGGACTACACGGTGGTCGGCACACCTTTAACAACATTTCTTTTTGTGGCGGCTGAACTGGCCGATCTATATTATCCTATCGTGTTCAAACACCTGCGAAAAAGAAATGATAAAAGCAAGGTATTGTAAGATGAGTGCAGTAGGATGCGTTAGCCGGAGACCATGATTCTCGGCGGAAATGCTTCTGATTGGCGAACCATCGCGGTAACATTTAAATAGTCGCGCAATAGACTTTCTGACTTGTTATGGCGATGACAATCATTGATAAACGACCTAGATAGACTTGTAGGCAGGTGTTATTCATGATGAAGTAAGGGGGAGTAACTGGATATATAAATAGGTTCACGCTCGAGTAATTGATAAATCCGTGCCCCGCGAAGTCCTTTTACCAGTCTGAGAGCAGCAACGCTTGACTATAAGTACACGTCAATCCTCAATTCATTCTTGTTAATGTAAATATAATTTCTCGAGGTCAAAGTCTTCAAAGAATTCATCTAGAGAATCATCCAAAGGACGCTCAGTAGCCTAGAATATCAGGTACTACCTTCCTCTAACTCTACATTCAATCAATCGACAATCAACCCACATCGACCTACAAACCCCAGATTTCCATAGCTAACAGACCTTCAGATATTCAAAGCTCAACCTCAACCTCAACCTCACCCTTCCCATTTTCAATCCATTTTCGAATACCTTCAATATGTCCTCCAACACCACTGCCCACGAGGTAGTCATTCTGGGTGGAAACTTCGGCGGAGTCAACGCCGTCCATCAACTCCTTCGTCAAACTTTACCTCAGCTCCATCGTCTCGATCAAACAAAATCTTATCACATCACACTCATCACCCCCAACACATCATTCTTCTTCAAGATCGCCAGTCCACGAGCTCTCATCAATGGAACTTTAATTCCCCATGAAAAAATATTCGTACCATTGTCCGAGGCCTTTTCAAGATACGACGCCTCGCAATTTGAATTAATCCAAGGCGTGGCTGCGGCTTTGGACCCCGCAACGCGAACCGTCACCATATCAACGGGCAATGGAACTACAGAAACAACGAGACAAATCCGCTACGACTCTCTCATTATATCCACTGGAACAACCTCCAAATCCCCACTCTGGTCACTCCACGGTTCAGAATCCCACACAAAAACCGCGTTGAGTGCATTACACACTGCTCTCCCCACCGCAAAAACTGTCCTCGTAGCTGGAGGTGGCGCAGTCGGTGTTGAAACCGCCGGAGAAATTGCATCGAATTATCCGACCTGTAAAGTTACACTTCTCTCTGGTGCCAACAGAGTCCTTTCGAGAGTCAAACCGGCAACTAGTGCACGAGCCCAAGAATATCTCGAAAATATTGTTCACGTCGAGGTTATCAATGACGTCCGCATTGAAAGTACAAACCCTGCCGAGCCGGGCGTTTCCCCTACTACCTTAACTCTCAGCGATGGTAGTAAACGCGATGTCGATATCTATATTGACGCTACTGGAGGAACACCCAATAGTGAATTCCTATCGAAATCATGGCTCGATGAATCAGGTCGCGTCATCACACGCGATGCCTACTTCCGCGTCAAGGGAAATGGTTCAGACGATGTGAAGGGTATTTATGTATTAGGAGATCTCGTAGCCGGAAGTACTAACTCAGCCTTGGAAATGGACCCTATGCTTGCAACATTATGTTCTTCTCTCGCTGTCGATATTGCCACCGATCTTGGCGTCAAGAAGCCTGCGGAGCGAACTCCCGGATTGTTGGGCTCGGTATGGAAAATGATTGCTGGGGGCTCTGGAACTGGATTTCCCGTCCAACAGGAATTCAAACCAATGAAGGAAACAATATTCGTACCGATTGGAAATGGAGGTGGCGTCGGACAGATATTTGGTTGGAGAATTCCTAGTTTGATGGTGAAAGTTGGCAAGGGAAAATCTTACTTGATAGAGCTTATTGGACCTATGATTTCAGGGGAGAAATTCAAGAAAGCTTAATTTGATGCGTATGGATTAGGTTGGGTTATGGAAAGGTCTTGGGTTCAGATAGTAGGTGCACTGGTGCTAAGGGTGATATCCTTTTCAAGATTTTATACAATGGCGTAAATGAAGATCTTCGCATTACATTTCTCTATTCTTTGATCAGAGGCACATGGGGGAGAATAGTTCATTCAATTCTAGCTAGTATCTATCTTCAATTCTAAATCCCAATCCCATGTACTTTCCCCCCTCTGAATCTTTAAGTTTATCTGATCTTATAAGAGTTCCTAATTGCCACTTACTATAATTATACACCTTACTCCTACGAATGAGAAAGCGTCAAAGATCCCCAAAGCAGCGGACTAACAAGTACCATCCAATACCCGAGCCCCTCAACAACATTATCCGAATATGATGCAACAAAAACGAAGCCCAGTCACATACGACCATAGACTGAAGAGAATTGGGCATCCCGTCCGCTCTGCCATACACAAGCTTCAGATCGGTGGATTAGTAGTTGGGTGGGTGACCACCAGCGAATCCCCACTGTTGTATGTTTTTTTGCACATTTTTTGCTTTTGCTTTCTTCGATTCAACATATATTGTTAACTGTGGTTGTGTCGTTTGGTATGGAGGATTGGAGTTTTGCGAGGTTGTGTGAGGGAGGCGAAAGTGCGAAGGTTGGGAGTAATTGTCATTGTTAGCGAGTTGGATAGGATTGATAGTCTCATTTTTGCAGAGTCTGTATGAGGGGGTCCAACTGATGATTGAAAAGTGTCTAAATTGGATAGGAAAGTATTCACATACCCTCCCTGTATCTTTAGCTCTCTGTGTAGAAACAAGCTATCCTAAGAACTCCACAGGAACCTCAACCCACTTATCCCTCAAGTAATCAGTAAACCCCTTTCCCAGACAATCCAGCCGACTACTACTACTAACACCTCTCCCCAAATACCCATAGATCACAAAATGCACCGCCATTATTGCCGGAAACTCGACTCTTTCAATCACGTATCCTTCTTTCCATTCTTCGCCCAACAATTCTTGCATTTTTGAACGACTGAAATGGTTCTGAAGCCAGGTGCATAGTTTGGGATTAGAGGATGAAGGGATGAATATCCAGCAGATGAGATTTGCGCCTTTATCGCCAGAGCGAGCGAGTGCTATATCGCCTAGTCTGACAATTTTTGAAGGTCCAAATGTGGAGAGAGGTTGGGGAGACAGGATCGTATGTCGCACGACTAGTAAATGGTTGATATTCTGGTGGGTGTCCGCATTTAAATGTCTGTACTTCATTATCGGACCTGATGATATGCATTTGTTCATCAAGTTCATCTTGAGGAAAAAGCGCTAGATAGTATGCCATAAAGGGTTTGGGGGTCGCAGTACACATATCGAGGGATGCATGGAAACCTGAGAGGTGTTGAAGAGATATCTCGGAGAGGGCTTTGACTAAGCCTTGGAGGATTACAGCTTCGATGGCTTCGGCGAATACACGACAATAAGTTGTGCTGCTGAGTTGTGTCGAAGGGTTCGTTTCGGGTGCACCGATGCTATATAATCAGTAACTAGTTTATTCAAAGAAATTGTAGGTGCAAAGGGAATCTTACGGTTGAAATTCCAAGAGCTCAAAAGATTTATCAATTCAAGCGATTTGTAATTTCTTCTCATCTGCCTTTCAAACAGAGCTCATTTCTGTTTGGTACCATAACCTGTTGCGTTTACTAGAATTTGGCATTGATATCCGGCATGATAAAATCTTGCTGCTTTGGTTGTTGGAGGTGGCGGAAGACCAATAACACCGGTAACTTTGACACTTTTATCATTACATTAGTAACGAATCTTCAAATTGGAGGTAAATTTGTGACACTCGCCGGTTCTCCGATATTTGAGAGACAGATATGTCATCAAGGACGGCAGTCACATCACTATTCAGGTAATGATTACCTTGAATCTCATAGAGAAATTGGGCCACGACAGTATCAGAAGTAATCATCCCACTAGTACTTTCATGTTTAGTGATCGTGCAAGAACCATCTGCTTCGATTTCTGCAATAGGGAATCCTGGATTAATGAAAATTTCCTGGTCGTATTTAGTGAAGCCGGAAAGTTTGGCTCCAGTTACATAGGCTGAACATTGTATTAGATGACTGGGGATCAAGGACCCAGCAAGAGAGTCGTATTCAGTTGCTGACCACGAGTGCCAATACTACAGCAAATACTACAGCATTCTGCAGTCAGTGAATGCCTATGATCAGAACAGTTTCACGAGATAAAATATAGACTGTTTCAAAGGAAGCCGAGGAAGGAACAATGTGAATAAAATCGTAAGTATTAGTAAACTTACCCATGCAGCGGCAATGACAGAAGACGCGTCAGAAACCCGCCCGCAGATTATGATATCGGCACCTTCACGCAAACCCTTAACAATAGCATGAGCTCTAAGATAAGCATTACTTAAAACAATAGGAATCGATCTATCTTCCAAAAAAGAGAAGATATTGGCCGGCAATTGTAGATCCAGATTCCATGAATCAATGTGTTTCGGTAAATCCCCACGTAAGGAGGCTATATCCGATCCGGTATGTGAGATCAGGTCATCCCCAGAGACCCAGCCAATTTTAAGAGCAATTCCGCGTTGTTTGGCAAGTTCATCAACTTTTCTTGCTAAGCCTTCGGGATTCAAAGCTCCTCCGTTGATAACAACCTTTGTCTTTTTCTCGGCTAGCAATTCAAGGGATCGAGACAATCCCTCTAGAGCAGTTGAGATATATCCTGGATGATTTCCAGCTCTATGTGCCTCTGCATTCTCGGCCATATTCATCTCTTCCCATATTTTATTAGTTTCGATCATGCTCCTTACACATCCATGTCATACCTGCAAGGTAGTCACCGGTGACGAAGTCAACATTCCCATGTGAAATCTGTTCGTACATCCTATAAGCGGGATCACCTCGGGGGAGGGTCAGTGTCTTTCTCAGGAACTCATATCAAAAATCACGAACATAAGTAACCTGAACAATTAGCAACTCTGACGGGTCTTCTGGGTTGAAATGCCCTATAGATTGGCGTTTCATTTGTCCTCACCATAGCATCGAAGCTAGGCTCCGATTGACAAGACATGGATATTGGAAGGTATTAATAGAGAAGGGGAAGGAAAAAAGACGAATCTGAAGGTATCAATTTCACATAAAGCCGATATATGAGTTTGGCTACGTAGGTTTTCATCAACCAACCTCGGTGGCTCGGTGACTTGTAGTTAATATCGAGTTTTGAGACTACTGCAGGTGATGATGCGTTGGGTAGTTCTTATGCGAGCGGATGAAGAGGATCTGCCGTCGAGATTTGCAGCCATGACCACAACTAAGTTATGTGTAGTGTTTGATATACAACACATACTTCTAGCGATCATTGTGAAACAAGTAGCAACAAGTCACTGAGGCAATGACGGAGAGGCGAATCTTCTTTCTCTGTGGTTGATACTAGATTGTGGAGTAATAGCACGCGGCCGATCTGCGGCTCATACTAAAACACAGAGTTTATTCCATCCCAAGTCCCAAATAGGAAATTTCTCGTGAAACCATCATCGACTTTGAAGACTCAGTCAGGAACACGACAGCCCAGAGGTTCTTTTGTGTCAGTCAACTCATTGTCTGATCGTTTTCTTATAGTAAGAATATGGGTAACTAATCACTTAAGCCGAGGTCCGATGATGGGCTCCTGCAACCTGTTAGAAAGTTTGATATAGTGGCTGCCACTCTGTCAGTATGAGTACTCCTATAAAGAGCTTCCGGTGGGAGGTACCTTCTTGAGCATTGTTTGTCACTCATTCAATGTAACAAGAAGATCATGTATTCAGTACCAGAAGAGAGCAAAAAGGTTTTCCAACAAGGAAATTGAAGAATCCCACCATCATTCCCAACCTGCCGAAGGACTTTTTGGATCATGGCAGGAAGATCAAGTTCGAAGGAGAGGATGCTCCAACTTTACCAATAAACTGGCGATTTGCTGAGAATATATCTTCAATCAAAGCTTTGGAAGCAACAATGCTTTTATCACTGTTGAGAAAGAAATATGGTGTGGAGCCGAAAGAAGTCATCATCAACACGTGAGTAATGATAACCGATATCCCTACATCGTGCACGTCTCTATATTATACATGTTTTTAAACTTATTCTACAATAACTTTAATATTTAATAATAAATATATTTAATAAGATATAAAGCTATAAGTTATTTAAAAGTATAATAAAATATAATAAATTAAAAAAGAAGATTTAAAACTTTCTTATTTAAATCTTATAAAAACCTTAATCTATTAGTTTCATTTTGATTGTATAACTCCTTCCCCTTTTTTTATTATTAATTTATTCATTATTATTATATTAAAGAGCTTTATAGCTTTCTTAAATATTAGATCTATAGTATATAAACCTTTTTAAAACTTTAAATCTTTTTTAATAAAAAATCCTATTGATTTATAAGCTCTTTTAATCTCCTCTTTAATATCTTTTATAAATTGACAATCCACCTTCTTTTGTACTACTCTCTTTTTAGCTTTAATTACCTTCTTTTCTTTTTTAACTTTCTTATTAGCCTTCTCTTGTATCTTAGCTTCCTTTTTCTGTTTTATAATAAACGTTTTTCTAATTAAAAGATCCTAACTTTTTTAATTTGAAAGGAGGAGTATAAAAAAGCATTATTAATCTTCTTCCCTATAAGGTTTAAATATTTGAAACAAATCCTTTTATTTTTTTTATTTTTAAAACCTCTTCTAAACTTTTTGTTCTATATAATTGAATATCAGTTTTAGTTATATTAGTAAAAGCAGTTTTAAAAAGCTTTGAAATGATTTCGAGATTCTGATTTCATTAAAATTCTAATTTAAATTGATATAAAGTTTTTGATGTATATAATGTTTTAAATTTATTCTTTATAAGCCATATCGATATAGATAATATAATAGTTCTTTTTGATTTTATGTTAGGTATAGTAGTCTCCTTATTGAGTGGATAAATATCTGCTTTTTCGAAGGATTGTAGTATATTATGAGAAATTGTAAATTGAGCCCAAGCCACTTTAAAGATAGCTTAAAAGTTGTGTTTCGATATACTAATTAAACCTCCATTTTTATATATCCAATTGTTGAGTTTTATATTATAATTTATCAAAAGGGGAAGGAAGTAGTCCATATCGAGTGATTGTAGTTAATATATAGAGTGAAAAGATAGAATTAATAATATAATTTTTAATTCGTTATATTTTAATATAAATTTCATATTAATATAATTAGAATAATTATTTACAATCAATAGTCAGTATCTTTTATCTACTTTTAAATATGTATAATATTGAAAAACTTTTGTAAATTAATTAAGCTTAATGTTACGGAGGTACCCGCACCGCAACATGGATTATAAGATAAACCTAAGGCCTTGGTGTTGGAACCTACGAAAACAGCACTGTAGGGACAGTTGAATTGAAGGGTAACGAAAGATAGCGGTAACCAGATAAGTAATCAGTGATTAAAAGATAGGTACCTATCTTTTGTTATTACCTACTCTATAGTGGGCACAGGGTAAGCAGCAGTCACAGGTCGGCTAGAGAGCACAGGTTAGATAAGCGGTGGCACCATTACCAGTCACGGGATGGACATCACGTGATCAGGAAACCGACTTGTCGAAATCGGCTTTACGGTAATCGACTTGTCGATTCATAAGGTACGAAAATCTATATAAGGGAATGGGTTTCATTATAATGTAGAGCTTCGTGCTCAAGAACAATCATTAGTTTCATTACTATAGTTACGAGAATTGCAACCAGTTACAACCTTATTGAATTCCTACTTGAAGTCTAGTCTAAACCACCTCGAGAGAACTCTAGACACTTCCACGTGACCCTAGAGGCAGCTTCCGTAACAATAAGATAGGTTATACTAATACATATTAATATCTTTTATTAGAATAGAAGAAGATTTTATTAAATTAAATTAACAAATTAATATAAAGATTTATACTTTTCATAAATACTATAATTAGAAATTTAATAGAAAAGATAAAAGGATGTTGTATAGGAAAGAACTAGACGATTAATTTTGTTAAACAATATAAAAGTCGTATTCAAAGTTGATATCTTTATTGTATTAATAATTTATATGTTAAGGCCAATAATATAAATATATTTGAATATTTTTATAATCTTATTAATATTATTTTATATTATTGTTGATTTATACTATTTAAAAAAGTTTTTACTAATTTTTCTCTTTTATCTATTTAATTAGTAAAAGCGATTATAAAATATAATATTATATTGAAAAACATATATAATTAAAATAAGAAGAGATTTCTGATTGATTTTAGAAAAGCTATAAAGAGAATAATAAGTATTAGTATATATATAAAAAAATAGAGTTATAAAAATTAAATAAAATAGATTGAAAAAGTTCATTATTCTTTTAATATATATAACTACCAACAATATAATTCTCCCACCTACCTTAATTTATAAAGAAGAATTAAATAATCTATAAGATATATAAGTTAATAAAATGAATATAAAAGATCAAGTTTATTTTAGAATCTCAAACAATAAATAATCATCTAATACTTTTAAGTGTTACGGGAGCTGCCTCTAGGGTCACGTGGAAGTGTCTAGAGTTCTCTCGAGGTGGTTTAGACTAGACTTCAAGTAGGAATTCAATAAGGTTGTAACTGGTTGCAATTCTCGTAACTATAGTAATGAAACTAATGATTGTTCTTGAGCACGAAGCTCTACATTATAATGAAACCCATTCCCTTATATAGATTTTCGTACCTTATGAATCGACAAGTCGATTACCGTAAAGCCGATTTCGACAAGTCGGTTTCCTGATCACGTGATGTCCATCCCGTGACTGGTAATGGTGCCACCGCTTATCTAACCTGTGCTCTCTAGCCGACCTGTGACTGCTGCTTACCCTGTGCCCACTATAGAGTAGGTAATAACAAAAGATAGGTACCTATCTTTTAATCACTGATTACTTATCTGGTTACCGCTATCTTTCGTTACCCTTCAATTCAACTGTCCCTACAGTGCTGTTTTCGTAGGTTCCAACACCAAGGCCTTAGGTTTATCTTATAATCCATGTTGCGGTGCGGGTACCTCCGTAACACTTATAGGAAATGGTTTTATCTTTATACTGTTTTGAAAGTGTAATATAATTGATTTTATATAAATGAATTATCTGGGTGTATTTAGAATATTCTTAGTTTTTAATATAATTTAGTGTAAACTCTATATAGCTTTCTGAAGATATATTGTTGTGATATTCAGATAATAATATTAATATTTTTGAAAGCTAAAAAAGCGTGTATGATATAGGGACGTGCACGATGTAGGGATATCGGTTACTATAGCGACGCTGTCTTGTCTTCTAAATTCACACCCTTACCCCTTGGTCTCATACCTCATCCGTCTTCGTCTTCGCTTTCGCATCAGCAGTTAACAAGTAACAATAAATACAGCGATCATGCACAACTTTTTATCATGTCTACTTTATTGTGGGAGATTGACCACGAAGGAGTCAAGGCGAACCTGTTTAACGGCGTTGATCCGAATTCCGAAAATGGAAAACTTCTTGCAAAATGGTTCCCTTCAACCGACATTCACAGATTACAAGGAACACATCATCGTGCCTCATGTACAAACGTTTACGAGACCAAAGATGGAAGGTACTTTCACAAACATGGTAAGAGTGCTTGCAAATGATTTTGCAGATGACATACTTGCTCACTTCTTTTAGGAAGCATGAATCCAGATCCTAGCTTGGATAGTATTGGACTGCCTCATGATATGGACCAACCAAGCGTCGAAGCGTCTTGGAATCCATTTATAGAGAAGATAGGAAAGATAGAATCAGATGACATGCAAAGAATAGCATCAGATGAGTATAAACAGGCAGGAACGATATGTTGGACAAGGGAAGAATACAAAAATAGTGAGCATGGCAAAGCCAATGCTCACGTTGGATTATTTGAAATCAGGCATCATCCAAATAACACCCAAATTGCAATTTGGTGGCCAGAAACAGAGCAAACAAGCCCAAAGCGACCCTTGGCTGGCTTGAAAATCGTTGATATCACCCGAGTCATCGCAGCTCCAACAATCGCAAGGGGTTTAGCAGAATTGGGTGCAAGTGTCATGAGAATCACTCCTCCGCATCTCCAAGACTACTCTTCACTGCACTGTGATCTGAATTGGGAGAAATGGAACACTCATTTGGACTTCAGGGACAAGGATGATCTTGAGAAAGCCAAGGAATTGATCCGAGACGCAGATGTTGTTGTCACTGGTTACAGACCCGGAGTCCTTGATAAATACGGGCTCGGGAATGATGGTATTCGCGAGCTAGTCAAAGATAGAAGTCGGGGTATTATCATCGCAAGAGAAAATTGTTACGGATGGCATGGTACTTGGTCATATCGTAGTGGGTGGTAACAAATTAGCGATGCAAATTGTGGTGTCTCTATGGAATTTGGTCGAGCTATGGGTAACGATGAGCCTGTCACACCCATCCTACCAAACTCTGATTACTGTGCTGGGGTATCAGGTATTGTTGGAATCCTTCAAGCACTGATACAGCGCTCAGAAACTGGTGGCTCCTACGATATGGATGTGGCTCTGAATTACTATTCCCAGTGGCTTGTCAACTCATGTGGCATGTATCCACAAGAAGTCTGGGAGGATTTATGGTCAAGGAATGGCAAACCTGTCTTCCGACACTACCATAATATGACCTATACAGTACCCAGGTTATTTCAGATCCTGATTAAATCAGGCACAGGCAGGAGTATTTTACGCGATGAATTCTTCGAAACCCGAGAAACAAAGGCTGTCGGAGTAAACATCAAAACTGTAAAACCGATTTTGAGGTTTCCGAACAAAGAGGTAGAATTGAAGTACAACGTTGGTACCAGAACAAACGATATCGATGCTGCGCATTGGCCGACTGATCTGATGATAGAAATAGTAGTATAAAAGCCTATCAATTTTGACTATTCACTTGTGAGTAACCAGACCACCGTTTTGCAATCAGAAGGCTGTATGCCGTAAAAATCACTGTGTCAGTTGTTGACATGATATATTGCTTCGCCGCGATAGCTTATGTGCTTTTCCAAAATGAGCTGAGTTATCACCGCCACCAATAATTGGTCTCTGCTGGTTCAATACTTCATCTGCCAGTTCTTTGTTAATTTTGCACGTCTCTACTCCCCTACTCTCTTTACTAGTTGCATAACTTTTACCACTTCACAAGAATCAGTCAGTGATTGATCATCATGGCGTCTCAGTCTGATTTAGTTTCCAGCTCTCAACTTCCACAATCAGAACTTGCACCCGAGATACTCGAGGCTCTCAACTTTGAGCGCTCTATGTGGGTCACCGGATCTGTGCATACCGATCCCTTCTACACGCTCGTGCTGAAATCTCCTTCGGACTCTTCACTCCCAGGAACTCTCCTAAAAGTCCAAGAAACTGTCGATCCTACCTTGTACTCTCTTCCTTCTTCCGTCTCAATCTCGCGTATCATCTCACAATCTCTCACTCTTACCGGAGACCCCGTTCCTGTCTCCGTGTACATACTTTGGGCTCTTCTCCCACGAAGGAATTCAGATGGTAGCTCCCAGATCGTCGCCTGGGCCCATGGTACCTCCGGTATATCCTCCGAATGCGCTCCTTCTCACCTCCGAAATTTATACCAGCACTTCTTCGCGTTCTATCTTCTAGTCCTATCCGGCTATGTTGTGGTTGCCACTGACTTTGCCGGTCTAGGTGTTTCTTATTGCTCTCAGCCACAGAACCAACCGATCATTCACCACCTGGGCACTATCTCGCTAACCCTGCTGCTGCAAACGATGTGATATATTCGATTTTGGCGGCTCATTCCGCATTTCCATCCCTAGGATCAAAGTTTGTATCAATTAGTCATTCTCAAGGCGGAGGTGCAGTTTGGGCCATTGCACAACATCATGCTAAGGAAAACATCGAAGGGTACCTTGGAGGTGTTGCAATTAGTCCTACAACAGACATTAGAAGTAATTTTGATCCAATTGGAGCCGTCGTCTGGGCGGTAATGATGCTAGGTCTGAAGAATGTGTTTCCCCAATTTCAGTACTCGGATGTTTTTACCGAGGAGGGGTTCGCTGCGTTGAATGCTTATAAGGATATTGAGAGGGGTGGAGCGGTGGGCCGAGTATATTCTCACCATTGGCATTGGAGGGAGAGGTTGGGGGAAAGTTGCTAAGACATGGGTGGAGAGATAATGAATGGGTTATCAAATATAATGATTTGATTATGAACTGAGGCAAGGAAATCAGTGAACCGCTGTTAGTTTATCCATGAGGAGAAAGACCAGCTCATCGATTTTACCCTTACGGAAAAGGCTGTTTATTATATAGCTATGAAGTATCATGATTCTGAGTTGGAATTCATAAGACTATCTACTACGCACGACTCGGCTATGACGGGAAGTCAGTGGATATGGATGGATTGGATTAGAGCGAGATTTGAGGGCAAAGTGACAGATAAGTGTGGGGAGATGCCCTCAGAAAAATGGGAAATCAGCTGGGAGAGAAGTGTTGTTTTAGAGAGACTGAAGGAGAGTTATGGAATTGAGACTAACTGGCTCATGGCACGCGCGACTGAGTTTTATCCTAAATTTTGACCGACATACTTACGGGACTATGGGATAAAGTTTTGGATAGTCTAATCTGAAATCCGAAAATGGACGCCTCTCAAATGATGTGTCCAGTCGAGTAATTTGAACCCTCTCATTCGCTTATGATGTTGGATAGTTTCCGGAATTAGAAAGTTCATATATAATTTAGACTTTTGAATACCCTGCACAGATAAGATAATCGCTTGTGTTTTGGGAACCATAACTGAACTTGATCAAGTATCTGGGCCTTTCTAGTATTGGCTAATAATACTAGAAAAGACGTGATACTAGAACGAATATCGTGACAACTTGCTGACGACGGCATAAGATAAAATCAAAGACGCCAAAGACCCGGGCGTATAGCATTACCGTTGACTTCAAGAACCATACCATGTTATATTTTTAGAGAGGGGAAGATAATAGATCGACCACAGAGATTGCTTAAAGTGAGTTGAGGGGTAAGACCTCTGGCCAATACCAGATATCACACAACTTCAATTATTGGTAAGATAAGACGAGATTTATCTCAACGCAGACATACAATATGACCTAGGACGTCATATCTCCCAGATAATCTATTTTAGAAAATCAGAGGTTACATCAAGAGTTTTCTGGTGGTGATATGTATTATCGTCGTTGATAACGAAATGCATGTAGCCTATGACGAGCTTACAGGATGAGATCCACATCAACCACACAGCTGTGTTATCAACCCCAGCATCTATCATTTTCCTCACTGCCGATTGCGAACCCAGTAATGGCGCAACGAAACGGTAGAGTGTGGGATTTTATGCTGTTAGACGATTGGTCGCTCTAAACGTCGTACATCATCACGGCTGTGGTGCAGTATCTTGCCAATTGTGCGAGCTGAGATGTGGAGTTGTTATGGCTTTTTGTAAGATGCTTGATTTTGGTACTTAGCTATGAGGCTCGCTGTGGGTAATGAAGGTTCAGTTACTGGAGGCTTATATCCAAGATGTCGGAGATCAAAGATTCAGAAATCGTGGTGAATCGCCATACTGGAGAAGCGGAGTTCAGAGAACTTGGAGCGCTCGAGTTCGTTCACGAATTCGGAAATAATGGATCGAAACCATCGTATCAAGAAGCTTCTGGTGCGCCAGTCGAAAACGAATCGCCTCTTGGTTTGCAAGTTACGCGGTTCACTACGATATTTTTGAATATTGGTATTGTTCACCTCACTCACAGTTAAGAAAAGACTACTAATTGCCTACAGGTCAAATGATTGGCACGGGTGTCTTTTCAACTCGTAAGTCTAACACCAATCACATGAAACTCAGGCTAATGGGTTTCAGCCGCAAGCATCCTGTCAGGAGTAGGTTCAGTCGGTCTAGCTATGATCTATTGGACACTCGGTCTACTCATCTCCGGTTGCCAATTTTCAATCTATACCGAACTAGCCAGTTTCTTTCCGAATAGATCTGGAGCTGAAGTAGTGTATCTGGAACAAGCGTATCCGAGACCAAAATATGTTCTTCCGACTACGTTCGCTGTACAATCGGTTTTACTTTCTTTCAGTAGTAGTAGTAATGCTATTGGTGAGTAGCTTCTCAACGTTGCACTTAGTATCAATGAAAACTTATAAGATGATTAGTCATGGGTAATTATCTGTTTGCCATGGCTGGTTACACACCCTCAGCTTGGGAGCAGAAGGGACTGGCGGTTGCTTGCATAACTTTTGTCACTCTTCGTTAGTATCAATTCTCTCTCATGAGATGGAAAGCGGCTGACGTGGTGTCATAGTGGTGATCTTTAGCACTAAACATTCTCTGCGAATATCGAACGTGATTAGAGTGATCAAGCTCATAACGCTCATATTGTATGTCATTCATTTTGCTTTTCTATTTGAACTGATATATTCCTTTAGCATCTCAATCGCAGGCTTAGTGGTACTAGGTGGTCACACCAATGTTGCAGATCCCACAGAAAACTTCAAAAACGCCTTTTCCGGTACGACAAATAGTGGTTATGGACTTGCAAATGCACTTGTCAAAATAAACTTTGCCTACTCAGGATACGCAAATGCATTCAATGTCCTTGCAGAAGTGAAAGTAAGGTTTAAATATCCCGCAACAGACTCAAGAAAATGCTAATACTCTCAAGGACCCAATAAGAACCATAAAACGTACCGGACCCGCTTCGCTTCTTGTTGTGGCTATTCTCTATATTCTTTGCAACATCGCTTATTTTGCAGCTGGTATACAAACCCTCTCTCTAACCACCTCTAGATCCTTACTAACACACCCTCTAGTCCCCAAAGAAATCCTCAAAGAATCAAGTCAACTCGCCGCCTCTCTTTTCTTTACCGCAGTATTTGGTTCCGGCAGATCTGTTCGCGCCCTCAATTTCCTCATCGCTCTGTCGGCATTTGGAAACATCGTCTCAGTTACTATAGGCTCATCTCGCATCATCAGAGAATGCGGCCGTCAAGGTGTACTTCCCTATCCTCGTATGTGGGCTTCTACTCGACCTTTCGGAACGCCTCTCGCTGCTTATCTTCTAAAATGGGGTTTGACTATTCTCATGATTTTGGCCCCTCCTTCAGGTGATGCTTTCAACTTTATCGTGGATTTGTACAGTTATCCGAGTAATCTGTTTTTATTCGCATTGACTGCGGGATTACTCATTATTAGGAGGAACAGAAAGAAGTTAGGTATCGTGGACGAAGATTTTAAAACGTGGGATGTAGCGATCTATTTCTCATTGGCAGTTAATATTTTCTTACTGGTTATGCCGTGGTATCCTCCTCCCGGAGGAGCTAATGGTGGAGACGTGAGCTTTTGGTATGGTACTTATTGTGCTGTTGGCTTGGGTATTATGGGTGCCTGTATCCTCTACTACGCATTCTGGATCTACATCCTGCCTTACTTTGGCAAATACCAAATCCGACAAGAACTGATAGTTATGGATGGTGAAAGCTCAAAAGCTCATCGTCTGATCAAAGTACAGAATGCTGAGCTGGAAGCTTGGGACAGAGAACATGATGCTCTGGGGAGGAAAATCGATTCAAGCACGCCATCGGAGGGACGGTGGGGCTGAGAACGTGTTGGAAAAAGAGTGAAACATTTGAAGACAATTGAAAGAGTTTGGAATGCGGAGATGCAGTCATGACATGGAAGGCCATGAGACTGGAATGGTAGTTGTCATTAAAGCTTTGGCAATTAACCGAGCCTTAAGAAAGAACATGCCACGCCTAATTCAGTTTCCTAGCTATGTTATGTTATTGAAAGCCTCTTTCAGAGTACAAGGCTTCTTATTGGGGTTTTCCACGCCTGATTTACGTGTAAATTTTACGGATCACTGAATTTACTGGATTCAAGCCAACAAACTACACATAGTGATTTTTTGAGGTCGAGTATTGGTCACTTGAGGAAAGTAGTGGACATATTAGCCTCATAACGACCATCTTGACTTTGGATAGAACATAATATCCTTAAATGCCAATTCTTTTAAGCTCCATGCCAAAATCAACGGCAAAAAGTTGACACTTGTAACAAGTCATGACATCTTCCGCTTTAAGAATTATCCGCAACGAAACTACTGCTCAGTGTGAGGCAATGCGAGCTCGGGAGCGCTTAGCTATATAGCTTCAACTGAAAGCCAATAGTTTCATGACGAGATCTATGTGAAGCCCGTGTTTATTAATGCCCTATATAATTTGATGTTTTGTAATACAAGATCATGAACATTAGACCTAACAATAAAATTCAAAACATCTCAAACTCTTCTAGGGCTAACATAAAGGCCATCGTAAATTAAGCTTGTGTTAAGGTCAAAGATGAAAAATAAAATCTACGAAATGATCGAAAGATAAAGAGATAGAGATTAGTGCCTGACTAATTACTCATATAGTAACCTGCATCGAGGTTCATAAATTAAATTGAGAAGGAATAAATATAAGAAGCGCAAGTCATTTGAACGTCAGACGCTGAGCGCGAAATAGCTCGAAACAACACAAAGAAGAATGATAATTAGCGGACAATGATTGTAAAGAGAAAAGAATCGGTAATATTGTTGATAGATAAAGTTTACCAAGAATCAAAGATACAAACGTTATTAAAATGTAGAGATGTCATTACCACCCCGCTTGTTACCTATCACATGGAAGACACATATACATTTCTGTGCGCTTTATTGTTTTATATTGAATATCGCGTCGCATTTTTCCCCTTTGGTTACCTGGAGGAAGCTTCCAAGTAGCGAAATGGGTATTTATTTGCATAGCTCTTCTCCGACCATGAGCCTTAATGGCTCAGCGAAAATGTCCAGGGTGTCTCTCCAAGAGGTTTGGTTTCGGTTGCGGGATTTCGAGGCGTGTGAATCTGTGATATAATAGGCTCGGTCAGCTTGGAACCACGTTTCGCAACTGCAAAGATCCAGAGTATTGTCTTCTCAATCGGTCCTTGGACGTTTGCTAGCGTCATCACCCTCATCGTGACCATTTGTTTCAGCCTCTCCGTGGACCTCATCATGTCCCCTGACCCTTCCAGCGCCTTCACCAAGTACTTCAACAGATTCTTCACCTCCAATCCAATTTCCATCTGCGTCAAAATATTCCGAAACATTCTCCGCAGTAATCCAGCCGCCACTACCTGGGAATGGAGGCGGTAATCCACCATCTGTAGCTCCTTGCTGTACTCCTGGAAGTCCGGTAATACCTTCATATCCAATATTACCTTCGAATTGAAATTCAGGACCTCCAGCTTCCATATCTTCGTCTTCTTCGTCTGGTACAAGATTCGAGCAATTCGTTAACGCTTCGTATAATGTTTGTGTAGCATCTGGTTCGGCGGGAATGAGGACCAGCTCGATAATTGATGGCATATCATCTCCAGCTGAAGGAGGAGTCTCTAATTGCATGAACAACCCAGTCACCTCTCCTTTCAATGCATCTGTAGGATCAGGCAGACGTTGTATGGCATGTAAGGATATAGAGGTATAGGGAACTGCGAGTCCAGCTGAGGTAGTTTTATTGAATATAGTGACATTCCTAGATGAGGAAAAGAGTCAGCCTTTGCGCAATGTGTGTATTGGTGAATGATGAACAATTACTCAGTAGAAATATAGGCGTCAACTGTCTCTACAACAGCTGCCTCTGAATTCTGTGCTGGTCCCTCTGCAAAAAATGGCAATTCTTTTATATAGTCTCCATAGGCAACTGCGCGCGCACCTTTGGCATGATAATGCAACACAGGCCTAGCATCGTAGAATGTGCTTGGTGTTTGTGTTTGATGTTCTACTAAAGGTGTGAATGAGTCCAAAGTTGGCGCCGAGTGGATTGTTGATAGAGGCATGTTGGCTTTCGAATAAAGAAAGCAAAGTAAGGGTGTCTAAAGCTTCGCCGTTTCTGATTCGTTTGAATTCGACTTTGAATTTATAAGTTTCGTGAATGAATGACAATTGTTTGCTGTCCAACAAATCCAACAGACCCCTCTAGAATTATTTCAATACGGCTGAATTGAGGGAAGGTATTCGGAGAATGCGGCCGCTCGGACCAATATTTATCCGCGGAAATTCCCACTATCAGGAATTGTGCAAGTCTCAGTCGTATCTGATTTATCACTTCGGCCCCTTGAACTGCCATAACTCTTTCGAGAGCATGTACGTTGGGTATCAAAGCGAGCAAACATGAGCGTCCTATCATATTGCATCTATTCAAAACATTAAACTCTCAAACAGGCAAGGATCCATTAAAAGTAGGAAAGTAAAGCTAACTAGCCCAGCAAACGAACATCTGACAGAAGTCTGTGGTATATATGCGGAACTCCAACGAGTCCTATACGATTCCAAGCAACAAAGCAAAACTGCAAATATTATTCTCCTCCTGCACTCTTTATGTAAGGTTGTACCTATAGACACCAATTACTCCGTCTTTCCATCACCATTTTCCTTCTTTTTCTCTTCGCCATTCGCTTCCTCGTTCTCTCTCTCCTCTTTCCACTTGATTCGGCCCATAACTAATTCCTTTAAAAATCCGTTTTCGCCTTCTAGTTCCTTTATTCTACATTCCATCATCCCAATCCTCTCTTTCTGTTCCTTTACATTGATTTCTAGACTCTTTTCTCTCTGTTTCTTCTTCTGGCGAAATCGTGCTGAGGCTGCAGTCGATGCATCGCGCTTGGCATTTGGTTCCCTTGGGGAAAGCGACTGTGTGGGCGAGGAAAGTGTTTTAACGTATAGAGGTGTCGATGGCGGGGGCTGAGTGTGCAGATATGGATGCATAGGTATGGCTAATGAGAGTTAGTACCTCGAAACTTATGGACTATGGTGATCTTTGGAGAATATTGGGGTATGACGATTGCCGTTATTCTATCCGAACACTTTGTTCTAGAACGCAAGTACATTTTCAATCGCCCGCGAGTGCATTCTTCTATCCACAAAGCGAAAGAGATAAATAAGAACTCACAGGCATTTTGTCTATCGACCCAATTCATCACACCTCCCCACATGCCCATCGAACCCTCGCTACTATCCGAGGCCGGGTATGGCGCTATTGAGGTATCATAGCTCGGATTCTGCGCCAGCCCTTGAGTGAATATTCTAAGATCATGCTGGGCTAGGGCAGGGTCTAAGTAGGAACGTTGTTGCTGCTGTTGTTTCTGAAAATTGGGTTGTGATTGAGTATCGAAATTCTGCGATTGGTAGAGAAGCTCCGATTCTGTTACCGGAGCGGTAGACGGATATATCTGCGTGGCCGTCATGGCGACTTGTTATATGGTAAATCGTTGTGCTAATTCGACGTGACAGGACGACAAAACAAATACACCAGAAATGCAAATATCACACAATCTTCAGGGTATTTATTGTAACACCCCGCCCAGTTGACTCGAGCACAATGCTGGAAATCAAAGTTCGACAAGTGGGATATGTTTGATTTATGGATGTCTATTGGCGGTAGAGCGTACGAATATTATGTAAGTATGCTCTATCTCTATGCCATAGCGTGGAGACACTTCTAGGGTCGTGCCGTGGAGATGGGGTGAGGCGTCGTAAGGCGTAGGTGAATGGATCCTAAGTATGCGGAAAGGAACGCCCGAGACTAGCATCTATGGAAGCGGCAAAAATCTGCGTGAGATTCCCTCATTCAGTATGATCCCAAACGTAGAAGTGAAAAAGAAAGGCCTTTGCGAATGTGCTTCAAACGACCACTCGTACCATCTAGCGAATGTGGGGAAATAGAATCCTGGCGAAATGATACCGGCGAAATCCCACAGTGACACAAACTCCAAAATAATAACGAATGATGAAGACGAGATAGACGGACTATCGGATTTTACCCGAATACCTTCAACATATAAAGCTTTATATGTTTCATTCAATCAGGCCCTCTCGATTACCGAGCTATAACTCTATTCAACAAAAGGACCGAAGAAAACAAAGATATTACGAAATGTTGAACATCTTTCAAAAGACAAAGGAAGTCGAGATCGAAGAATTTTGAACCTCCTCTCAAGTAGCCCACTTCACTAACCAAGTTGATATTGACAGGACGTATTCGAATCCAATCAATTCTGCGTATAGTAATTAAATTTCCGATTCCCGATTGGACTCCACTTGTGTCGATGGCGTCTTGTATCAGAAGGGATGATAGAGTGGATGAAGTGGACACGGTAGCTAAGAGCTTTCGTATCTTGCGGACTGTCCCGAGTTTAAGTGCTCAATTCATGATATATAACTGCTCAAATGTCCGTTATTTTCCAATCGTTATTTTCGATTGCTTAAGCTGAATAAGCTACCAACCCCACTCATGCAGCTGAGAAATATCAATAAAGCCACCAAGTTTATCGGAAAAAGCGCCAGTGTCACGATTGATGAAAGGGTGGAAAGACATCAGTACAAATTTGTACTTCTCCCGAGTTGCTTAACCGGTCGAGTGGGGGTTCCACAAAGACTTGCTAGCATGCATGTGCATTGTACAAACAAGTATTTCTACAGGAGTTATCATTTTGGGCCATGCGTCGCGGAACTCAAATTTTGATATCACTCTCCCGCCTTTCACCGGCAACACTCATGAATCCTTCATCAAAATAATATAAAATACTCCCCAATAAGCTCATCTACTTTTCTTTTTCTTTCTTCTCTTCTTATCCTTTCTATATGCTGAGATTTGAGCCTCTAAGGAGCACCAAAGGAATAATCGGAAAGTTCGATTTTCCGAGGTGTATTGAGCACGCAATACAGGGGTTCGATGAGCTCTTCGATTTACGCGAGGTGGACGGCTGGGAAACCGATTTTTCGATTTTTATCTTTCTTAAGTTTCAATGAATGCCCGTTCATGCATTTTGTAGAGGATACAAGCTCTCGGATTCAGAATATTCCCCTCGATGATATTGATGACGATGATTTTGAAGATCGTCGTCAATGAAAGAAATAGGAGTTCGCTTGGCAAGACTCCCGACATTTCTCCGTCAGTGTCCTTAGACCTAAAGTTGAGGTTTTTGTGGGAGAGTTGAAATCCGCGGCGCGGGGTAATGAGTGGAAGGTGTGCCGATTTCGTTTATGATATCATAGGGTGGTATTCTATTACATCGTAAGGTGGTATGCTATTATTGCAGGGTGTTATCGTGCTGGGATGTTTTATGGATATTTTTCTAAAAACATGTGCCGGTTCTGATAAACAGGGAAACGTTGTTCTAGATTTCCATCTAGCATTTTCATTGCGTTATCTTGCAGTCGATTGATCATTGTGGGTGATCGATCGCCTTCGAGACTCCTTGAATGCTATGTATTAGTCGGGGCTCGAAGTCTTGGATTGATAGTCAATTGGCGGAGACAATTCCAGGCAGCACCATTTATACAGGTAATTTTGTCCTCACTGATGCTGTGTTCAGAGAGAAGATTAATTTCTCACACAATATCGAGCTGCAGAGCTTCATTGAGATGACAAACGAATCTGCACATACGATATATCTTATCGAATACGTAAGCTGTAGAGATTGACAATATTAGATATTAAGCCGCCAGCTCCTATTCACATCTAAAAAGCATTCTCATTCTACTCACCCCAAGATATCTGCACTAAAGCAAATTCTCATTACTCTCTCGAGTCTCGAACTCAACAGACTTTCTTCAAACAATCACATTTATGAGCCTCCATTTTGACGCGTAGGACTTTGATCATGAATGACGAAGCTGGATGTATTCTCTGTTACCTTCTCATTTACTTACACTTACACCAAAACCAGCGTCATCATCATCATCATCACATCCTCATCTCCCACGCGCACGTACTTTAACAGACTATAGAGCTCCTCCTCCACATCCACGCACATCTCCGCACAAAGCTTGATTAATAATGATTTCGCGACTTATCTATCTCATCTCCATCTCCAATCACAATTCCAACTAGAGTTCCAACTATTGCTCTATCTCCAATTCCTGTCCCCACTATCGTATATCTCATCCCAGCGGTGAGTGAAGTGGATAGATTACCTTTCTACATCAGCATTGCTGCTGCATCATTGCAGCAGAACAGCTATATAAAAACCACAATCTGAACAACAGTATGTTCACAACAAACATAATTTGGAGAAGTCGAAAAGAAAAAGAAGAAGAAGGAGGAGTGGAGAATGATACATATAGATATAGAGCGGTGAGTATTGCGTTTTGCGTATGCGAATCTACACGTATACGTAATTGCTGCTTTGATTCATCTTATTGTATTAGGTGAGTGATATGTATGGAGATACTCGTATGTGTTGTTGATGATACTCGGAAATATCCGTTTTGACGACCATCGTATGATGATTATGGAATTGAGGGAACTTAGGGAAGACGCATCGCTTGGTGAGTAATACTAGGTAGGGTAGGTAGGTAGATAGGCAGTGTACATGTGTAAGATCATGTAAGAAAGTGAATTCTTTAATATGGTAAGTGATATGAGATAGCTAGTGTCTACTGCATAGGTATGGACTCATTGTAGTCTTTTTGCGTTTAGGATGTATATGTGAACGTAAATGCAAATGTAGTCGCAAATTTGTATATATTTCATATGTCTCCTCAAAGGTGCTAATCAAGACTCCACAGTCCGTCGAGAAAAAAAAGAAGACAAGACAAGTATAATTTCAAACCACCCCCCTCCTCAAAATTGATGCTAAAACAACACAACTCACTCCAACCCAACGAAAGTCACCCTCAAGCGATTATAAACAGCGACAAAAGGTCGCAAACTTTTTGCAAACTCACAATAAGGTTTTCAATCAAAGAAATCGCTATTGTGTCCATTTTCTCCAACCTCAAGCTCTAACCCCAGACTCCAAAGCGTATCTCCATATCTTGAGATCTACAACCCAACAAGCTAAAATTTCAGCATCAATCTCGCAGAGATATTCACAACTTATCTTATATTCTGCAATATCTCTATACTACAATGTTTCAATATTAATTCCAAGAATATACAATATCAG